ATATTCTATATATTTTAAGAATAGTATTAAACCTATATTAATAATATCTTTATAATCGGTAATATACTTAATAAATATATTACTAAACTCTACCTACTATTTATAAAACTAGAGGAATTTAATATTACTTTAGACCTAAAGAAAGTATATATTAGGTTTCTAAGTTTAATCCTACTAAGTAAGGATATTAACTCTATAGATATATTAATAACTACTAAGAAGGTAAAGGTAATAACCTTACTAGTTTTTCTATATATATATAAGTAATTAGAAATATACCTTAAAATAATAGGTAATTTTTATTATTATATTAAAAGCTATATATAGAAATTAGAACTACTCTAAGTCTATAAAATAAACTTACTAAAAGGGAGTCTAATTAAAGGTCCCTAATACTAAATATAGAATATATAAGCTATTCTTAATAAACCCTCTTAGGCTAAGCTTAAGAGTTTTTATCTACTTTAGGCTAAGTTTTATAAACCTAAATAGCTAATATACTATAATCTTATATACTAGTTCTATATTAATACTAATAGTTTAAAGGAAATAGGGTATAGTACTATAATCTATTATATAAAGATAATATTTATTTATAAGGATATTTTAAAGCTACTCCCTATTATAAAGATCTAGTTAATTATATTCCTTAGCTAATTTCTTATAAATATAGAGAAAAATTACTAACCTACTAAGCTTAAGGTTTTTACCCTCTACTAAACTCTCTATAAGGTATACTATTTAGTAGAGGCCTATCCTAGTAACCTTCTAGCTATAGTATATATTAACTATAGTAGTATTATAGGTATTACTAAAGTAATAAACTTAAGTTCTATTTCTTTAGAATATTAAAATCTTTACCTAATCTATATATCCTAATTTATCTAATAGTTTTACCTATATATCTTCTATAAACTAGAAAAAACTAATAAGATTACTAATACTCTTTCCTACCTACTATATATAGACCTATTAGTCCCTAGTATATAAGATAATCTTAAAGATATCCTAGTACTATATATATTTAAATAACCTATAGTAGACTAACCTATAGTATACTTCCTTATAGTATTAGTACTCTAGTTAAATAATAATACTAAGGATTATATCTTATAAAGATATTAGTTAGATACTTACTAGTTAGCTCTAATTAATATTCTAGAAAGTATTAATACCTAGTAGAATCCCTAAGTTAAGAAATTACCCTACTACCTAGAGAATAGTTTAATTATTTTTATAAATTCTAATAATAAGGAGAGTCTATATCTACTTTAATCTATAACTTAGGAAATTTTTAACTTAGTTTATAATAAGTAGATATACTAGGGTTTTAATAGAACTTAATATAAGCTTTATAGTATTATATTCTATAAAGGTACTAAGCTCCTAAAGTAGTATATTAAATATTACCCTATTTATTTAAAGTATAGGATCTACTATTATTACCTATATAATTCTTTCTAACTAATTATTATCTTACTAATACCCTTTTATACTATTACTTTAGATCTAATTATTATAATATCTATTTTAACTAATAGATATAATATAACTATAACTATAACTAATAAATTTACTAAGTTAATAGGAATAATACCTAGTTATATAGACTAAGATAGTAAAGATTAGGTACTAGGTACTCTCTCTTTCTAGTAGATAGTTAATTAAGGAATTCCTATAGTAATTATTAGTAATTATAACCCTAAGTTTATATAAGGCCTCTAGAAAGTACTTTTTAACTTTATTTATATTAAATTATTTTTTACTACTACTTATTACCTATAAATTAATAGTTAGTTAGAATATACTAATTAAATAGCTAAAGTTACTATATAGTATATAATCGCTATTTATCCTAATAAAGATTAGTTAAACCTATTACCTACCTTCTAAGCTATATTAAATAGCTTAATTAATATAATAATAGGTTACTTACCTTATAAACTCTTATATAGTATCGAACTATACTACCCTTAGTTACTTTTATACTAAGCTATAGCTCCTAATATTACTATATATATAGATACTAAGTATTCTACTACTTAAGCTACTATATATATAAAATACTAATATAACCGCTATTATAGGTAGATTTTTTTTAATATTAGTAATAAAGTCTATCTTAAGCTAGGATATAGATATAATATACTATTAAACTAAGTTTTACTAAGGTAATTATAATAGTATTATATTAGATATTTTAAAGTATTTAAATATATTAGGAAGCTTACTTATTATTTAAATATTCTAACTAAATTAAGAATCTACCTAGTTATTAGTATTATATACTTAGAACCTACCTTAGATAATAATAATCCTTAGGAATACTAACTAGATAATAAATACTATCTAACTATAGATAAGTATTTCTCTAAAGATATTATCTATAAGATTAACTATATTCTTACTAAGTATATTATTAATATACCTAGTTAATCCTATTATAATAGTACTAGATATTAAATTACTAAGTATCTAATCTATTAAAAAGACTAATTAGTTAAAGATAACTATTAGGTATAGGAAAAGGATTATATTAGATATAATAAGGCTATTAAAGACTTTAAGGAATATTAGGATATATCCCTAGTAAGTTCCTAAGTACTATATTTTCTTTACTTTATTTTTACTTTCCTTTTACTTTTATTACTATCTATTCTTACTACCTTATATTACTTAACTCTTACTTCTAATTCCTACTTTTACTCTAATTTAAGTTTTTAACTCTTATTTAACTATTACTTATTATTTAATATACTTATTCTATTTTTCCTACCTCTATTACTTCTTTTTTTATATTAACTATTCTCTTTCTTATATATTAGACTTATTATATTAAAAAGAAAGGTACTCTTATACCTTAGTCTATTATAGGGAGTAACTAATATACTTTACCTTCTAAGATATATATTTAATAATTCCTATATAATATAATCTTATAATACTACTTATACTAAACTAGAACTAGATAGATTAATCTAAACTAGTAACTAAGTCCTAGTTATTATAGATAGTAAACTATTTCTATAAGATATCACTTAGTTACCCTTATATATAAGATATAAGTATAACCTAAAAGGAAGGCTAGTACTACTTAATAACTATAATATTCTACTAAGTAATAAGCTTATTTATATAATAATAAAGGAACTATTTTAAAAGAAGTATACTAAGTTCTATACTATCTAGGATACTAATAGTAAACTATATACTAGTAGGATATTATAGGACCCTAACCTATAAATCGACTTCTATAATCTCTTATATATACTAATCTAGAAATATTACTATATATTTATTAGCCTTTATATAGCTATAAAATATAGCTACCTAATAATCCTAAAGGTAGATTTAAAGCTTAAAATTAAAAACCTAGTTTTTATAATTAGACCTATTATCCTAGGTTATCCTTTTATAGAGGATATAGTTATTAACCTAGTAGTAGTATTTTAAACTTACTATATTAAAGAATAAGCTGAATTTCTATACCCCTATTCTATAGTATATTAATTATATAACTACTATAGTTAGTATACTATACTCTAGAAAGCTAAAATAAACTTAAAGATACTAGATATTAACTTAGATAATTACTATTATATTACTATATTCTTATAAGGACTAAGACCTTCCTATAGTTTTTTCTAAGAATTCTCTATATAGTTTCCTTTATACTTAGCTAAAGTACTATCTTTTACTTTCTCTTAAATAGACCTAAAAAAGATAAAGATTATAGACTTAGTTTAATACTTATATTAGAATATAAATTATCTAACTTAGTCTAATTATAATACTTAATAAGAATATTAGCCTACTATATAAGACTAACTTAGTAATATAATTAATATTAGTTCTTCTACTCTATTCTCTTTACTAGATATTCCTAAACCTTAGAGCTAATTACTAGTTATATAAAGCTAACTATACTAAGCTAATACTAAGGAAAAGATCCTCTATAATTTTATCCTTTCTTATAAAGGTATAATAGAGTATATAGACTAGGTACAGCTAGAGATTAAGGATTTAAAAAGGTTATATAAATATATAACTAGATATCGCTAGCTATAACTCTAAGAGGCTGCTCTAACTAAGAAGACTAAAGCTATTACTATTAGTACCCTTATAATAATCTTAAATATACTTAGTAGTTTCCTAGATATTTAGCGCTAAGCTATTAGATACTAGGAAAACCTATTCTACTATCCCTACTAACTTTAATAAAGTACTACTCCTAATAACTAAGCCTAACTAGAGAGCCTATTACTACTAGGCGATAAAGAATATGGTAACTACTACAAAGCTCCTCTTAAAGCGGCTACCAAGAGGCTACTATATAACCCCAGGCGTGAATTCACGCCCTCAGATATCTATACTCCACCCTAGGCCTACGATAACTGACGGCGTTTTTTGTTTTCTTATCATTTTTTATTCTTATTTTTTATTGAAATTTCCTTTTTTTCTCAGCCAGAGGCCGAGATTTTTTGAGACCCGGTATATTATCATAGCTTAGTCATAGTTAGCTAGTTAGCACCCCCAACAAGGGGTTCATAATATCATCATCTTCCCCACCAAGCTTACTTGCCACAGCCGAAGCATCAAATGCAATTCAGTCTTCGGTAATTGGTAAGACTCAACCTATTTTCATTTCCTATAAAGTCAATTTTACTAATATTCATTTTCTCTAGAGAATGTCTCCCTTCCTGATTTCGGCCACATACTTCAGTTATTGCTAGACATGGGGTTTTTGCGGTTGCACTTGAGCTTCTTCTTTCTTCTTCTTCGCTTTTCATTACGTCAAACATTAGCGCTACTTGCCTGCTTTTAGGCCCTCTCATTTCATTTTGATATGGAGGTCTTGGGTCCGGACTATAGTTATCTCGGCCTATTCGCATCAACAGACGATTTCATGAACGCTTTCTAATTGTGTAGACTTTGATAAAATGTAAATGACCTGCTTTGATCTGCTTCGCCACACCGTATGATACAGAAAATGCCCGACTTTACGTGGGCAACAGGTTGCCCCTCATATCCACTGGCATTTCCCTTCCGGAACCTAGTCGCTTTGAGACACGTCTATCCAAGGGACCGAACCTTTCCTCGTGTATCCGACCGTAGGTCACACTAAACCATTCTACTGCTCGCTTATCCGAGCATCTATCGAGGATATCGTTATTGACCTCAAGATATCCACACATCATAGCCACCCAGGTGCTTAGTCTATCTCCCCAACCAGAAAACTCATTCTGATCATTCTCATCGTCAATAACGCTCCTGACGTAACTTTCAACCAACGCCTCTTCAAGTGGGTGACATATATTGCCGTAGATGTCGTAGCCCGTGGTAGAGACAGGGTCTTGCTGCACGTTGCCGGTCATATCCGGTACCTGAAGATTCGTGAAGGAGTTTGGGGCCAAAGTCAACTGTAGACTCCCAGAAAGGTCGTGATTGGGTGGATATTCGAACGTAATAGTTGAGTTATCCAGACGTTGATACTCCTTCGCAACCTCTTCAATTGCTTGATCTGGATCTGGGATCGCTGCCAATATCTCGGGGAGAATCGTGCGGTCAGGAATTATTTCATAGAATCCCAGGTGCTTTAGCTTCTGGCATGCTGTCTGATAGTCCTCATCACGAACGGCGATCATAGCAACCTATAAGACTTGATTAGTAGACGCTAGAATACCAATAAGTGATAACCGTACTAACACCTATTACAATAGGAACACCCAAGTAGTGCATTGCAAGCGGTCCCCATGGAAAGACAGCCAGGGGTGCAAGTACTTGGCCGATTTCGACGGTTATGGGGTCAGGCTGGGCCGAGCGTGGATGCCGAATCATATTTGGTTCTTGTGGCAGAAAAGAATAGATTTGTAGTTGGTTGGGTGATGATAAAGATGAGTGTAGTAAAATAAGGGCCCTGACTGAAATTCAAATACCGCCTTCCTAACTGGGCATACATTCTGCCTCGGCACCTGATTCTGCTTATCGAGGCCTATACCGCCTTTCAATTTTTACACCGCTTTTATGTCAAACTCCCCATATCAGGTACCTACAATCCATAAGATAATCCATAATTCCATAAGATTCCATAAGTCCATAACATCCATAACATAAATCTGTAAACCAGGCTTAGACAAGACTATCTATAACTCATACCCAATCAACATGCTATATATAATGGCGGTTAGCTTTCTGCCTGCAATTTCCGCGAAGGCGGCCACCCCATCAAAAATGTTTACTCACTTGATGGAACATGCCGGAATTCACGTCAGAATGATTTCTATACATTTCAATGCATATAAAATTACTTTCATACTACCTTACTATTTAATTCTTTTCGATATTCTCCCAGTTTATCTATGTTTTATGGTTCATATACCAATTAGCTATCCTATTAATAACTCTAAGATATTCGCGGGAATAGGTTCGAAGAATGATCCGATCGATTTGGACCCAAGTCCTGAAACCAGTCAATTATGCAGTGAAAATTCCAGGCCGTCGACTAGATGATATTCTTCGATAGAAACTGCGATAACTACTATCTCTTCGCCATATGACCAGTCTGATAGAATAAAAGGTTCTAGATCAGATATAAAGGTTCAAAATCATATACAATCAGTATCATCTAGTGGCATCCTTACCCATTGTCGAATACACACTAGATATAAACGTGCTGACGGATCATAGGGCGGTCGAGATGGGATCGGAATTTCGATCCTTATAGATACAACAGTCGAAGTAAGTGAGGGTGAAGTCGACGCTGAATATGATAAAGAAGGTGAGCCCAGAGGTACCAGTCGATCCGACTCCTAATGTGGTAATGGAGTTAATGTCAATGGGCTAATTAACAATATGATCGACTGGACGCGAAGATGATATCGGGCTATTTTCAACTTCAAAAGAAGCTAAGAGACTATCAATGATAGAGCTGTTGACCGGAAGTAAGGTTAAATACTCAACTTCAACATTTCTCTTATCTGTAGAAGAAGAAGACGCATCATACCGTGTTCTACCAGATTCGTTATCTAGCGAAGTTATTCCGGTTTTTGTGGAAGAATATACTGTTGTCGACGGCCTCGAATTCTCACTGCACGATTGACTGGTTTTAGGACTTGGATTCAAATCGATCGGATCATTCCTTGAGCCTGTCCCCGCGAACATGTTGGAGTTATCGATAAATCAACGGGGAGAATATAATTGTATGTAAACCACTAACAAATTAAGTCAACTTTTGTCCTATCATCAACTGCTTTATCAACCGCTTTACCATCAAGGGCTAAATCCTATAGTAATCAGGTAGATTATACGAATTTTTCTCATCAAAATGCATGTTTTGTTTCACCATGTAAACTAGAATGCATATACTAGTACGGAGTAGTGGGATCGAATTAGCTAAGGGGGGAAGGTTCCTGTGACAATCCCCTAAATGAATTATCTGTCCTTCCAACGCCGCGTTCGAAAGACCTATCGTCGTCACTTTCCACCATTACCTCTCTCGTCCGCCATATGCCAAATTGGCTACTACTACTCTCGATATCATAGGATTGCTGCCTGTCCTTAAGAGGTAATTCCGTCACAGATAATGTCCGCTTCGAGAGAGATTGTATGGAACTGTATGCGAGTTTGAAGCCGCAGCGCGTTTCTCTTTGTGAAGTGGCTTCACCAGAGGATCCAGTGGTAGACTCGAATGCCTTGCGGAATAAAGGGCGGAGTGTCGGGATACAAGCGGCGACAATGACAACATTTTGCTCAATCCTAAGCTGCAAGTTAGCACAGGCTTGGTAAACAGTGGGTAATACTTACACTCCCCAAAGAACCAACGGCACCACCTTGAAAACTACCAGATGTTAGCTGTTAGCTACATAACAAAACTAGGGTGGTCCACTAACGAGGATCAGTGTGGTCGGTAAATAAGTTCAAATATGTTGCTTTAATAATCGTAACAACCGCGGAAAGCAGTGTCAATCCCATCATAATGCAGACGCTCAGTCTTGTCGAAAACGGCATTTGCAGTTTCCAGAATGCAGAAATTGGTACAATAGCCAAAACAATATCCGTCATAGTTGTATATGCGCTGACCAAATACGAAAAGCCGTTGAAAATATCCGAGCTCCAACATGTGCCCTCAATGGAAGAGTTCCACATTTTTTCGGTGGGTTTGCATTGAAAAAAGACGATGAAAACGTATATCATGGCCAATATGACCTGGAAAATAACCATGGCGTATAAGAGATTTGCACGAAGTGGGTTGGGGTCAAGCAGCTGAACGATCAGGATGGCAATCGAGATATTGGGGAAGCTAAACGCTCCTATAGGTCTCGGTTTTAGTACTTGATTTTCTCTATTGAGTGGGTAAACATACCAATGTTGAAAGGAAATCCAATAATCTGCCAGTAGGCTGATTTTTCGTATCTCTCAATGCCATATTCAGCAACTACAGTTGCAGTGTGCCGACCTAGACCAAGAGTGGCCGAATAAGAGACGAGTGCCATGGCAATGATGCTGAGAGCCTACATAACAATTTCCACAGTGTCAGTCTTGTCTAGGGAGATCTGGAAGTGCTCCCTACCATCGATAAAAAAATAAAAAAATCATCCCAGCCAAACCGCTTGCTACCAATTCGGGCAAATAGCTTCAAGGAAACTGTTGCGATTGCAACGCCGGTGAAGAACCAACCAATGACATTCATATTCGTAGCTCGGTTTTCACTATGATCAACATTTGTGTTGAAGGAGGCCATGGTCAAAGGGTTAGTCCATTATACATTCGATGCATAGGAATCGATCGAGAAGAAACCCCCAAACAGCGCGTTTCTAGACTGAAAGGCAGTTGAAAACAATTATTGCGGGAAGCAAACTCGTGCAAATAGTTTGAATCTTGAAAGAAAGTCACGAATAATTTTTGACCTATGCCTATATTGTGGTACTAGCCGGTATGGTGTATCGACTAGTATTCCATAATGCGCTTGTTCATATCTTGAACATCCATGTAAAATATACTTATGGGCCCATGAGCGACGATGACGAATCAAATAAAAACAGGGAGGCAAGCTTTAGGAAAAAACTCTGTTCAAATGTGCCAAGTTTACTCAACATCAACGTCACTAAACAGATAATTTTTGACAGGAAGCTTATACTTGGATTCTACTCATCACTGTTGGTGATCCGGAACAGTCTTGAGGAGATATAGACATTTCTTCTACAAATACTTCATAGCCTTGAAGATATTCAAGTTGTAAAAAGTGGATTGTTGTTGGCCATTGAGGCTACTACGGAGTACTCCGTACTCCATGGCGGGTTAAGGCGACCGTGCGTACCCCTATTATCTCTGCCTCTGTTGGACATATTTATATCATATTTATAGTCATAAAGATTTTATTTGATACGTGTTGAGGAATAGGGAAATGGTGGATTGAACGTAATAGGGACTATCTTTACTGTGAACTAAGAGGCATAATCTCCTGAAATTCTAATTTTTAAGTACTTTAGGCACGGCTCAACTGTTTGCTCCGGACGGAGTACGTAGATCATTTCCCTAACTGAATGTATAGGTGAAACCTATCCCCTCGGCGAGCTAAACGATTTAGCTCATAGCGCCTCTTAGCTTATGTTCCGATTGTACATAATTAGGAGGTGAGATTCTTTCAGGCGCCAGTTCGCGCCAGGCTAGTTTTTTGAAAAGACTTAACATGGGTGATTAGCTCCCAACATACTTTCTGGATCTAGTGATGTGAGAACGGCCTGTTATTACTATCTCGGTTCAACTCCGAACGAGCACCCGCCAACGCCAAGGTAAGTTGTCAATTTGGAATAAGGATAGATATGGCCCCACTACGCTATAACCAGGTAGGTACTCCGTGCCTTGGTTTTTGTTGTGATCTAGTAGTAAAATGGCTATATCATTTCCCATAGAAGTCTAAGACCTGGTTGGTCAAAGGCCGCACTTGGAGGGTCCACGGGTGAATAATGGCTTATAAGTTCATCCGTGTCATCTACCACGTACTAGCAGCTAGCCTTAGACTATTTCTGGGAGAAAAATACAAGAATAGGGGAGGAAGAGGGGCAAGTAGGTCTTCTAACATGCATTATTTCCTCTTTAACAGACAGCGTCTGTTCTTTTGACTTACTGTCAACGCCAAATATCATCATGGCCTTCCCATCTGTCTCCTCAATCCTAGATGGGATTGCCAATTCACGCGCAGCATTTGAAAAGAACGAAGCGGGCTCAAGAGAAAGTCTGATTGACCAAAGCCGCGCGCTGATTACAGCATTGGAGATCCCAAGCGAGTTCATCCAGCGCACATTCTGGGCAGAGGTGAGAAGCTGCAAAATCGTTGGGAGCTTATTTTGCTTCACCAAACTAATTGGAGTTTACGATAGCCGGCTCAAAGCGCCATAATCCGTCTCGCTGTCGATGTGAAGCTTTTCCAATGCCTCAAGGATGCGGGAGATACAGGGCTCAGCCCATCGGCCTTTTCCCAGAAGACTCAGATCGACAATATTCTCCTAAAACGCCTAACAAGACATCTAGTAGCAATGAACCTCGTGAAATTCCATGACGGAGCCTTCTATGCCACAAAGCTGAGCAACAGTCTCGCAGCGGAGAACTACCAATCCAGCATCAGTTTCTGCTACGATGTGGCACGCCCTTCATTTAACGGGTTCCCGGAATACTTCAAGAAATCCGAATATAGTTCCCCTACTCTGGGTGGAACTGACGGTCCGTTTCAAGAGGCGCACAAAACCAACCTTCCGTTCTTTAAATGGCTTCTTGAAACACCACCACACCAAGAGCATTTCGACTCCTTTATGAGCGCGTACCGTGCGGGCAAGCCAGATTGGCATGACTTCTACCCCGTGGCTGAGCGATTAACCACGGGTTTCGATGCTTCTATTAGCGACGTTCTCCTCGTCGATATTGGTGGCGGAAAGGGCCATGATGTGGCTACCTTTGCTGCGCATTATAGCCCTTGCTCGGGTAGGATTGTGCTCCAGGATCGAGAGCCTGTCATTGCAGGTGTGAGAGCTGATGGTATGGCGCGAGCTTTTGAAGTGCAAGCTCACGACTTTTTTACGCCGCAGCCTATCAAGGGTGCACGCGCATACTCTCTTCATTCTATTCTCCACGATTGGAGCGATGAAGATGGCATCGAGATCCTGAAGAATCTTGTGCCTGCTTTGAAGAAGGATTATTCACGGGTCTTGTTCAACGAGATTGTGATTAACGAAGAAAAGCCTACACTCGCTGCGACCAATATGGATATGATGATGTTGGCACATTTTGCTGTGAGGGAAAGAACGGAGGCTGATTGGAGAGATATCCTGGCCCAAGTTGGATTGAGAGTGGTCAATATCTACACCTATCCAGGCGTTGCAGAAAGCGTGATTGAGGCAGGGCTAGCCTGAGGGCGGGTTTGTCCTTAGGACCATACAAGAAAAATAATTATTTTGGATTTCACCGCTAGTCAGAGGGATTGGGTAGTGGTGATATAAAAACGAGCGAGGTAGACCTAAGCATTGGCCAATTTTAGAACCGTGGAACGGCTGCCATTTCAGGCGATCTCAATGCACGTGATTTCGCGTTTCCCGTCAACCAGGACTTTTATCGACTTCAGCTCCAACATAAAGCACTATGGAGCTTCGACATGGCGGGCTCCTTCTCAATACCACTGGAAGTCTCATCATTAAAGCGAAAACGAAGTCATGAAAGCGATGGCGGCCTTGAGTCCGATGTGCCCTTACCCTTGAACGCGTCCCCCCAAGACCCTGCCGATCAGACACCCTCGACCACGGTCGATCCTCCCCCCAATGAATCTGATGTACAGACAGGTGGATCTCTCAAAACTACAGCCGCCAAAAAGACGGGTAAAGGGAAGAAAGTTACCTCGAAGCCCTCGAAACGAACTCCATCTACGCCATTGCCAGACGCCTTTAAGCGCCTCTCGCAAACCCATCGCGCCTTGAATCTCGTGTACACGTTTTGCTCCACGCGAAAGCACTTTGCCACCACATTCGAGAACATAAAAAAAGCAGTACAAGCTCAACTTGGTCAGGGGCGAGAACTCACGGTTGATGATGTCGCACGTGTGAAGGTCATAATTCCCGGAGCGGTCCTTTTCGAATATGTGGACGAAGCCAAGCTGGAAGTAATGACCGTTGGAGATGAAGAGATTACTCAGTATGGGTTACACAAGCGTACCCTGGCATTTTCGGCAGATATGGACAGAGTTGAAGATGCCAGAAGCAGTGATCTTCACTATACAGACGACACAAAGCAAGTTCTGCTATTTGAGTTTATGGACGGCGATCTGAAGGGGGAAGTTCTGAACCCGAAAACTGGGGAACCTATGAAACCTATGCGTCAAATGAGAGACGATGATCTGAAAATGCCCGTCTACAGCCAAAAACAGATGCTGGCTTTGATTGAAAAACGAAATTCAAAGTTTTCAGACGCTTTGAATGCGTTTTTGGTTCATTGTGAGGATATGAATCTCGATCCAGTGAATTTTCTTGAAGAAAAGAAGAATGCTTTCCTGCCCACCCCTCTTGCAGAGAAGCCGCCAGCAACAATTCCCAAGGAGCGAAAGTCCATTGAGGATATAATTGCAGAAATTCGGGAGATGGATTTGTATCATGCACAAATTGTGCCGGAAGGCCATCGGGTGTTCGAAGCCCAGTCTGCTGTCTACGGAGATTTGACATTCCAGCTCTCGCAGGACCTTGTCAATGCTCTGTATAACACAAAGGGAATTACCCAAATGTATGCTCATCAAACAGAGGCAATTAACTACCTGTATGAGGGCCACAATGTGATTGTGTCGACGTCGACGAGCTCCGGAAAGTCCCTCATCTACCAAGTCCCCATGCTGCACGAACTAGAAAAAGATCCGGAGAGCAGGGGAATGTATATATTCCCCACTAAAGCTCTGGCACAAGATCAGCGCCGCAGCATGATGGATCTACTTCAGTATATGAGCGGGCTGCAACACACAATGGTTGAAACCTTTGACGGGGACACGCCAATGGGGAGCCGGAACTTGATTCGTGACGAGGCACGCATAATTTTCACCAATCCTGACATGCTTCATATTACAATTTTGCCACAGGAGAGTTCCTGGCGCACATTTTTGAAGAATCTGAAATTTGTCGTTGTCGACGAACTGCACGTCTACAACGGCTTATTTGGATCTCATGTCGCTTTTATCATGCGCCGTCTTCGCAGGATATGTGCTGCGGTTGGTAATCGTCATGTCAAGTTCATATCTTGCTCTGCTACTGTTGCGAACCCGGAGGATCACATGAAGTCTATCTTTGGGGTGCAGGATGTGAAACTCATCGATTTCGATGGATCTCCCTCTGGCCGTAAGGAGTTTGTTTGCTGGAATACGCCATTCAAAGACCCCAAAGATCCTACCTCTGGGCGCGCCGACACTGTCACTGAGACTGCGAGGCTATTTTGCCAGCTGATCCTTAGGGGCGTGAGAGTCATTGCCTTCTGTCGAATCAGAAAGCTATGTGAAGTTCTCTTACAAGGCGTGCACGCCGAATTTGGTAGACTCGAACGAACAGAGATTGGCAAGCTAGTGATGGGCTACCGAGGCGGCTATAGCCCTCAAGATCGACGCCAAATCGAAAAGGAGATGTTCGAGGGGAAATTGATGGGAATCGTGGCTACCAACGCTCTAGAATTGGGCGTTGATATTGGCTCCCTGGATGCAGTCATCACCATGGGCTTCCCATACTCGATCTCCAATTTACGCCAACAAAGCGGCCGCGCTGGACGACGCAATAAGGACTCCCTATCCGTCCTAGTCGGGGATAGATACCCAACTGACCAACACTACATGAAGAATCCAGATGAAATCTTCACGCGACCGAATTGTGAGCTGCAGATAGATCTATCCAACGAGCTCATCCTCGAAGGCCACGTTCAATGTGCTGCATTTGAGATGCCTATCCGCCCCGAAGAAGACAGCATCTACTTCGGGCAACAGCTCCTTGCCCTGGCCCCGACTCGCCTAATAAAAGATTCACTCGGCTTCTACCACTGCCACCCACGATTCCGTCCACAGCCATCCCGCAGTGTCTCAATACGCGACACAGAAGACCAACACTTCGCCGTCATAGACACGACCAACAACCGCAACATAGTCATAGAAGAAGTCGAAGCATCGCGCGCCTTATTCACAATTTACGAAGGCGGGATCTTCCTCCACCAAGGCACAACTTACCTAGTTAAAGAACTAAACACCGAATCCTTCCTAGCACGCGTCGTACGCGTCCACGTCGACTGGAACACCATGCAACGCGACTTCACCGACATCGACCCCATAGAAACCGAAGCAATGCGTCTGGTCGGCAACGACCCCTCCGCCTCGTCCGCCTTCTTCGGCGCAATCAAAATCCACGCCGTAGTCTACGGCTTTTTCAAAGTCGACAAGCGCGGCCGCGTCCTCGACGCCGTTGCCGTCGATAACCCGCCAATCGACCGTCTCACCAAGGGCATGTGGCTAGACGTCCCAACGCGCGCTATCGACATCCTACAATCGCACCGGCTAAACATAGCCGCGGCCATCCACGCCGCTGAGCACGCCGTCCTCTCGCTCCTGCCCTCCTTCGTTGTCTCCTCGCCCGGTGACGTCCGCACTGAATGCAAAGTCGCGAAGAAAGAGCTTGGCCGGCCGCTGCAGCGCGCGAATGTACCCGTTGAGTTCGAGGAGAAGCTTAAACCGCCTTCGCGACAGAGGCCTGCTCGGCTTACCTTCTACGATGCGAAAGGTGGGTCGTGTGGTTCTGGTATTGCTAGTAAGGCGTTTGAGTTTATTGGGCTGCTTCTCCGGCGGGCGGTTTCGCGCATTGAGGCTTGTTCCTGTATTACGCCGCAGGGCTGTGTGGAGTGTGTTTGTGATGAGCGATGCAAGGAGATGAATGTTGTTATGAGTAAGGCTGGAGCTGGGGTTATACTGCGGTGTTTGCTGGGGTGGGAGGTTGATGTTGATGCTTTGCCGTGGGGAGAGGATATGGAGGGGGATGATTTTGGAGTTGGAGGTGCTGGAGAGTTGGCGGGTGGGTTGGAGACTGTCATAATAGCCGAGGAGGTGCCGTGGAGGCCCGGGTGTCGGGTTGATTCTTAGGAGATACTCTACTTAGTATGGATCATTATCGACCTGTGCTCATTCCTAACATTAGGACTCTGCACCTACTGGCCCGGGGCTTGCTGTTCGGCTTATGTAAAAAAGAGGAAAAATCTTGAAAGCAGGGACGTGTAAACAAGGTATAATGAACGGCATCAGTCAATGATCCTATATGGATTTGGGTATAATAATGTACATCAAGTCATGACCGAGAAAGACGTCTTCGGGGTCCAGGGGGAAGGGGGGATGATAGTATGACCAGGTAGAAAAGGCGAGGGAGGATGTGGATAAGACATTATATAGCAAGAGTATTTCGAGAGATGGCGAGAGGATGTGAGAGGGCGGCAAAAGCAGAGCAAAGGATGAAAGGTGTGAGTCGATATCCAATGAAACGTTCTCAACTGAGACTTGGTCTTGTGCCATCCAGTCGCAGGACGTAAGTCGAATTAGTTGCCCGGGTTGTCAGGGTGGCTAGTAAGCATATACGTTTTGCGTTTCGATGTGAAAATGTCGGGAGGACAGTACTGATCCAAGAATAGCGGAGGCTGTACTTGTAAGACCACGAAAACCCAGGGACCGGAGATAGACGACGCAAATACAAAGGAGCTCATTCACAAGATCACTATGGTGGGCTTTTGTCGTCGTCGGTTTCATCCAGATTCAACTTCCCGAAGAGGGACTTCATATCACGAACGGTCTCACGTTTCTCATCGCGTGGCTGTGTTGAGCGTTCGTCGGTCAAGGAGCGAATCTCGCGGACAATGCTTGTATACCCTTCATCGTTAGGGAGCCACCAATAGTTAACCTCTGGAACTTGCCAGATGGCAGCTAGCCCGGCGCGGAAACTAGGGACGATGATGTACCTATTCGCATAGATGACTCCTGGTTAGCTTTGCTCTTGCTGATTTATATCTGAAACGCAGATACGCCGGTGAAAGCTTACCCATGTTGCTCTAACAACGCTAATGTGCGTCGGGCCCACATTTGATACTTATGCTGATGCTCCGTGGGTAGGAACATGCCCAACATGCCAAGGCTGTTTTTAAAGTTGATGCAATATCCGTTTTCCTTGTGAGGCCAGCGAATCATCGTCTCGATTATGCGACATTGCTCCTTAGCCAATGTTTGCAAGTCTTCAAGCAAAGGCTGCTGCAGGACTTGCATGGTCTGGAACTTGTACATTGTCTCGGTGGCGAGAATGTCTATCCAAGCATAGTTGAAATCCCACAAAGGACCTCGATACAAGACACCTGGGACGTATGGATCGATAACGTCATCTTCGGTCAAGGGTTGCTTCTGCGGGTAATGTTGGATCTTGTATTCGTAATCATCGAATCCCCTAAGAATCGTCTTGGCCTGCTCGAGCCATTGGCCCAGCTGGTCGTTCTGAATGGCGAATTGTTCCATTGATAACATGCCGCGAGATAACTTCGCATAGAGGGAAGCCATATCCAAGCCGAATCGTCGGTTGATTGATGCTACAAGGGCGAGTTGTTTGGATGGATCATCCGGATAGAAAGCGGCTTGCTCGGCATCATGCTGCTCCTTTGCAAGATACCAATCTCGACCGAGGACTGTTTCGGTGCCGGACAAAATCCCCACGACTACATCAAAGCGCGCGTACCATAAGAAGATATTGGTATGTAGCTCGTTCATGTTGGCAGACTCTGGTGTGATTAGCTTTCGCATGAATGCATGTGCCGCCTGGTGGTGATCGATCATATTCATCCAGTCGCCAATGAATTCCTATAAGTGCAACAAAGTCAGAAAGATGTCGGTACTTGGGGGAGGCAGGAGCAATATACCTCAAAGGTTGTCAGAACTAGAACAGTACATAGTGTAGCCTCACTGTGCTCCTCTCCAGAACTCAAAGATTTTCGTAGGAGAGTCAAGGCTTTATTATAGTATTTCAAAAATGTGTAGAGCTTCCCCCCAGGGCTGTGTAAAGAATAGTGGTAGGCCGAAAAGCCCACCAGGGCGTAGAGGAGAGGCTCATATTGCAATGCAAGTTCGATAAGACTGTGGTGGATGAAATAGGAAGAATTATGTCGCAAGAAGAAATGCGGAGGAGTCATAAAATCCTGGTGGAAATTTAAATAGAATCGCAAATCGTCCGGTAGGCGTGCGTTGTTGAGCAGTTCGGTTGTGGAATGTCCAAGGCTGCCCGAGCGCACACTCACCGACTCAAAGCGCGGTGACCCAGTTGATGGCGAACTACTCTGTTCTTTGATGTAAGAACTAGTGTCGGACGCGGGTCTTGCACCATGTTTCCGAAGTGATTGTGCGCTTTGACTCTTACGCAGGTCCGGCTGTGATGTGGTTGTGGCGCTTGCTGGCGACGGTCGGGATTCGGATACAGAACTGTCGGGTTCCTCTTCGTCGATGATGGGATGCAAAGGGCTGAGAGACTCGGAGTCTACCTTCGAGGATGAATCACTGCCGTGAGAGTGCGGGCGACTTGCACGCGACTTGGCTGTGGAGCGTGAGCTAGGTTTCGAGGGTACGGACGATGCGGACGACGATGCGGTGGGTGACGGATAGACACAATCGCGGTTCCCTTTCCTACACCGTTCACAGACTGGACGGTTCTCGTCGCACTTGACCCGGCGCGAACGGCAGGTGAAGCAGCCGCTCCGGGTGCGCTTATGCTTCTTCTGGTCCGAGAGTTGTTTCTGGGAGGTTGTATGCGAAGGGGGCACTACCATTGTCGGTGCCGCGGAGGGATCGTGCCAAAACGCAACACTCTCGGAATACTGTTTCGGTCCAAACAAGGAATACGAAGATGAGCTTGAATCCTGTTTGATTGAGTCCAGAAAGCCCGACATGGCCGTCTGGGGCGACTGTGAATGCGTCATTGTCGGATCACAAAACCCATTCAAACTCCCCCTTGAATCCTCTTAATTCCATCCAATTCAACAATACCGAGTCGTCATTCTTATTATCAAAGAAAGCTTGGAGAGGAGAGATGAAGTTGGTGGGGGATGTCAGTGACCGGGACGTGCGGAGATTAAAAAGGAACCTTGGAAGAAGCAAAAAGGAAAAAACATGGATTTGGCTATAAAAGCGACAATTTACGAATTAAAAATGTGACGACTGATTTCATTCGTTTTAATTACTCCTACAATTTTCTTTTAGCGCCTCCAGACTAGAAGCTAAAGCGTGATCTGCAACCGGTTCATGTATCTAATGCGATATGTACTCCGTACAACGTGGTATTCTGAGCTTCAGAAGAGTAGGGCATGGAAATACGGAATATGAAATTGTGGATATAGTATGGGCTGATGTAGAAGATCTTTGCTCTATATCAAAACTTATTTCATTGGAGCCACATATGGGTCTTGGTATACAAAGTAGGTGTCAAGTTACACTGCCAACATCACTATCCTATGTAGCCCCCCCTATTCAACGAAGATCAGGAACATCTAATAAAACTCTATTGCTATTCAATTTGACCAAGACAACAGGGCTGAACGTCGTATACTAATGCACCGGTTTCATATTCGGCGCACGCACCTTGCAAATCACAACGCCATATGATCTCCAGCGAGTCCACCAGAGAACCACTTTTTTCTGCCTGCTGATCTCACTAACAGTCAGTGCTCTCCCTTGGAACCTTGTTGCTCTATAAATGATACTAAATCGGGAATAGTGGCAAAAGATTTAGTGGGGACTTTAACTTCTACCAGGATCTATGGCGGACTTACTCCGTATAACAACCTGGCAGAGATATTATTTAGATCCGCCTAGACCAAGCTTGATGCATGAGATACCATTGTAGGGACGTTGCGAGACAAAAAAACCCCCAAAACCCCCCCGAAAAACCCCCTTAGGAGCCTCAGGGCCGCCAGGTGGTGGTCCACTAGCGTTGTCTTAGCCCTTATATCTCACCCACATGGAGATTAAATGCTCGTGCACTGCCCAGACATTTAATTATGGGTTAAATGTGGCCAGAGCTTTGGGGCCTTGAAATATGCTTCGGGATTATCATTTAGGTAGGTACTATGTATCATTTTCGTTTGATAGAGTTGCAATCTACATGCAACCCCCTTACCCCTATATTTCGATATCCGCACTGGTGCTGTAAGTCAAATTGGGGGTGATGCAGCTCCTGGACGAAGCTTCTAGCCATATGGAGATACTCGAGTCAGTATTGAAGTCAGTCCAACGCTTTTAGTGTCTTCGATCTGCCAGGCCCACCTTCTCTGTCAACTTACTGTCGATCAGGCACGGTGCTAGTTACTACAGCTGCATTTTACAACGGCGGGACTCCGGAGTACTTTTTGACCAGAGAAAAGACAGAAAGGAAAAGAAAAAGGAACTAAAATGTCCCCCCACATTTAATGAGAGACTATTGTTTCTCCGATTCTCGAATGAGGACCTGATTCCCACACTACAGCCGCCTCCACTTAGAACAGATCTCCATCAGCAGAACATTTTCGGCATTCCTTTTTATCTACGGAGTACGCACTCGAAGGATTTAGAATTGCCGAATCTAGCTTTTTATTTAATTGCGGGACTCCCGGCTCGAAGATTAAATGGAGTACGGAGTACTCCGTACAGTCACAGATAGCTTAACAACGGATAATCGCCCTTGTTACTCCGTAGTTTTGTTTTGGATCCACCAGTCCCCAGTCGATATGTAGAGACAAAAGCAAAATGCGAAAACGAAAAAGAAAAAGGCAAGACAATATGGAGTACGGAGTCTCCGTACACAAAATGCCTCGGGGAAACCGGGACAGATCCATAGACGCTATGATCATGATCCTCTGCATTGTAGTAGGCCTGGCCAAGCCCGAAGACCACTCGGATTCATCCCTGTGGCTTGGGATCGTCATTATCACCCCCTTTTTGTTCTTTTTTCCCTTCTGTTTTTTGATATGCCGAGATCAAAGTTCGTTCCTAGAGGTCTACTTTGTATTGCGCATTTTCCTAAAAGGTTGTTCAAGATTGTCGTCATTGCGCGCCACGAAGAAAAGTGTCTTTCTTGTAAAAATATGTCGGCCCGGAAGTTTACAAGCCAAGCTCTCTATTATTGGTTACCATGGCGGGTTAAAGGTATTATAAAGCAGTGTTGTGGTGATTTTTTTACCATAGTCATGGATATATACTCCGTACTATCCTAATAGGTGGATATAAAGTGGTTGGTCCTATTCTCGGCAGTCGGAGCTGACTACCCCGATTTTCAAAATAGTATCAGGTCAAGTAATGATCATCCTATAACCTCGGATGTCTGTCTTCACTGTACAAAATGGGGGTTCAGTTATTATCGTCTATGTTGTATCAAGCGCATGAAACAAGCAAAGCATAACCACTATCAGAGCCCCCAAACTTGGCCATGACAGATCCCAGTCCGCGCTCGAAATGGATATGATATTCGCCGATCTCAAATGTCCGGACAGCTTGAGTTAACGCCGGTGTGAATTTGGGGCCAAAAGTAACCCACATCGTTGCAATCCACCATCAAGCCCAACATCCGACGGAATTAGGAACGGTGGAGCCATCAGACAACCAAGACGTTAGGAATTGACTTTGATCTATCACGTTGGCGCCACGATCATAGGTCCAACGGCCACCTTAGCGCTGCAACGCTCTGATTGCCCACTTTTTTGTCTTGGTTGCACTGCATGGACCACGCCTACCCTCTTTTGCTAGTGTATGCTTTTCCCGCGTGAACTGCGTTTATGATCTGTCCTACGTTACAGATAAGGCGGGGTCATACAAATCCCCCGAATGATTACCCGGGATGCGCAGGTGGGAGACATAGTTCAAATGCGGTTCGCAAGCCTGACTTTGAATGGACTAGTCCGTAGGGTAGCCAGGCATAAACTTCCCAAAGATAGTATAGTTCCCTATTGGAGGGGCTAGTATGCAGCTAAATCCGCCGTGCAGGACTGGCGTGTGATGAGAATTCGACCGGTGAAATGGTTGCATTCCACATCCCTGTTGATTATCAAGGAGCTTGGCTTGGGGCGCCGTTGGATTTATGATTCTCCATTTCTTATTTCCACTATCATGACTCCGTGCTTCCGTACCATGAGACAGGTATGAATCATGATTGTCCACGTGGATACGAAGTATGTCTGAACGGTAGTCTCGGCACGTTCTTGGCTTTCCTCCAGTTGGTAGTGGATGTCTTGGTCTTGTCTTAATCCACGCCGCGGCTTTGATCTCCAAATTGGCACCCCAGAACACGTGAAATATACACCTTGCAATATGATCATATATGTGTCTTTTTGTTTTTCTGCAATCATACAAGATATACAGTCATAAATCGTCAACAGCCCCGAAGATGGCATCATGCGGGACTTGCAGTCCTAGGTCGATCATTGGTCCAACAAAATGCAGATCGAGAAGCGCGGCGTCCCTTCGTACACCATGCGAAGTAATAATGTCACCCAGGACAAATGGGTAACTATTCATGCACTTGAGCCTTTTTCTTTCTGGGCCATCAATTCCTTTACCACTTTATCCACTCCTTCAACAACGACTCCCCACTCGATCTCATGGACCCGAGTTTCAAAGGTCTCGAGGTTCTCATCCTGGCCCTTCCGGAAGGGGATCTCCCGCACTAGAATTGGTGTACCCATATCCACCTCGGAAATGACATCGTGCATCATAACACCGGTCTTGTCAGTCTGGTCCGCCAACCACGCAGCATGAGCACGGCCAATCGCATTCTAAAAATCAACAAGACAGGTATCAGCATATCATTCCAGCTAACAATGTACAATCTCAAAAAGAGCTCTAGGACTTACAACGCCATTGAACGCCCCGGGCAGCGCGGGGTGCAAGTTAATAATCCTTATCTTAGCAGCCTCCAGAGGCTCCAAGAACTGCGGTGAGAGAATATGCATGAAGCCGAGGCACACGACCAGCTCCGGCGCGTCGACAAGGATCAGCCGAGCGAGCTCGGCATCGTATTCCTCGCGCGCGAGCTGAATACCTTCCGGTGTCGCGGGGTGCTGCTTCTTGTACTTGACCAGGTTGTGGTATTCGGTTGGGATATTGGCCTTGGTTGCGCGCTCGAGGCCAAATGCGGTCTTGCGGTTGGAGATTACGCGGACGATTGTTGCGTTTATCTGACCTGCGGCCACTTTATCCATCACGGCTTGTAGGTTTGAGCCATTGCCAGATATGAGGACTGTGACGCGAATCGGGGAAGTCATGGTGGGTTGTAGCGGGGGTTGTCGTGAAAATGCGGACTCCGGAGGTTGAAAGTGTAGACTACACGGCCGAACCGTTTTTCGGATGCGGTGAGGTCAATTGAGTACTGCCTTTGTTAGAGAGACTGCAGATTCTACTCTCAAAGCTTAGGGAATAAACGAAATAGCACAAGATCGCTGGCGCAATCCAGGCCGCAATGGAGTTGGGTGATTTTTTTTGGATTACCTAAGTCAGCCGCGGGGCAGCGGGCCCCGGTATACTACCACGTATATATACAGGGAACATCAATGGCAATAATATGATAGATGGTTGTATAGCCTTATTGTTTGTACATGTATTTCAATAAGTAGAACATTTCCTAGCCAGATAGAGCCATAGGTATGGCCAGCCAATGTGTCAATTTACGAAATTACAAAGAACAAACGAAGACCAACAATTGATAGACGTAAAGACTAACATTCTCGAGGCTCGAAGTCAGAGTTATCTTCCAAGAGGAGGGTTCCTTGTTTCAAGGCGCCGAGACCAAATATTCGATAACCCAACATGATAAAAGCACCAAAAGTCGATGCAGGAAATGAGATGCAAAGGGGATATCCATGGAGAAAAAAATCGTTACAGGTTCTAAACACACGCTGCATGCTAAAGCTAAAAGGAGAGAAGAATTTCGAAAGCCAAAAGGTGGGAGTTGCTCACATAGTTGGTTTGACCATGCTTGCTAGGTGGAAGAGATCAGACAGCTGTGCCATCTGGAGCCGGAGCCGGAGCAGGGGCAGGACTGGGTACCGAGTTGTCGGTATTGGAGTCGTTGCTGGGGGTTTCGTTGACGCCTTGACCTCGGCAGAGAGGACAAGAGTTTCTCCCAGTGGTTAACCACTACGAAATACGGTCAGCAAGCGAACAGATTGAAATCGAATGGACAGAGGCAACAAACCTGGTCTATGCAATCCTTGTGGAAGACATGTTTGCATTTATTCAGCTCTCGAACTTCTTCCGCCACCTCATAATCACTCAAGCATATCAAACAGCGCTCCCCATCTTGGATTTGAATGGAGGCAGCGCCTTCGACGGCTTCGGCGACCAATGAACCTGCATACTCGACAAGACGGAATATTCCGCCGGCGGAGTTGATATCGGTCTGAGAGGCGACAGGGGGTTTAGCTGGACCTAATAGTGATGAAAGTAGGATCATATCCTCGTAGGTTGGGTTCTGTTTAAAGTATTAGTCATCATGTTCCTGACAAAACCGAGTAGTAGGGCATTCTTACATCGGTGAAAAGACTAGGTGTGGTCAAAGCCGGGTGGTTTTCAGAAAGGTTGGTTCCAACAACATAAATTAACCAACTGCGACCTCCACTTGGTGGGGGTTGATCGGGTTCAACCATGCCATTGCGTCGAACAGCACCAGAGCCGAGGGCCCGATGACGAGCATACTCAGAATCGCTTCGACGTCGCTGGCGAGCGGTATTGAATGTCACAGGCTCATCCAGAGTCTCCGCCGTCGGTCGCATTGCCTGGCCTTCATGTAGATGGGGCAGAATATCAGGAGCAATTGCTGAAGCGGAGGATGGTCTACGGCTCGGAGTCGAAGTGCCGGAGGATAAAGCAGATATCCCCTGTTCAGCTGGTGTTGACGGAGGCGGGTGTGGCCCCGGGGGACTTTCAGAGAAACCAGACGGATGATAGGATGGGAATCCAGCACGGGGGCCGGTATCAGACATTCTTCTAAAGTGATTGGGAACTGACGGGCGTGGAAGTTCTGTAGCTCCGGTGGGGTTCCGAGGAAGAGTCAATCTAGATCGCCCATCGCTCCGTTGGGTAGGTTCACCAGTGGCATCTTGAGGCCGTGGGATAGTAGTATTATGTGGCAAAAATGGCAGACCAAGCAGAGCATCTAGACCTGGGCCCGGACTTACGGGCTGTTGCTGTTCGGTATGACCTGCGTTTCCGGCCAGGACGGACCGAACTCCAACGACAACCAGTGTAACCGTTCGCCCTGCGCCTTCAGCAGGCTCGTCGATGTCCATTCCATCGGTTTGGGTCCCATGGTCGCCGACACCACTCGCGCTCTGCCTTGCAGCGCCGCTTGTGGATGGTTCTGAATTGGCAAATCGGAACACACGCAAGAAATTGACGGGATGCGAGGGTCCTTCGTTTGCAGTACTGCTCGACCCGTCTGCTGCAGGCGGTTGAGCCTGCGCAGAAGTCGCGTGCTGCAAACTCTGGATGAAATTCTCCAAAGAGCCATCTAACCCGTCATTGCCCAATGCCTGGATGTTAGGCAACGCAGGACCGGCAGTGCCGGACAGCTGAGCTGCAATTGCGGATGCGGCGAGCTGAAGGACCCTTGACAGAGGTGTTTGCTCCTCTCGTCGCAGGACTCTGGATGATCTTGCTCGGATGATCCCAGGCAATCGGCGCATCAAAGCAGGACTCGGCTGCGCAGAAGACGAATCAGTTACCGGCCTCTCAGCCTGGATTGATGGTTCTAGTGATTCAAGTTCATGGGGGGTTTCGCCGAAGTCCAGACGCGTGTCCATAGCCCTATCATCAAATAAAGGATCTGACATTGGGTATTCCGGGCTTTCGTGCGGCCGCAAATCTGAGTGTGGCTGGCCGAACATGTGAGAAATGGGAGATGAAATCGAATGACGCATGCGTTGTAGCCTGACACTGCGACGCCAGGATGCTCTTGTCGGGTCAGGTATTTGAGATGGAGAGTCGATGTATGTCGGGGTTGCTGGTGCATCTGGGATCCCAGCAGACTCCGGACGGGGTGGAATGAAATATGGCGCGCGAGCAGATCGGCGCCGAGTAATTCCTCTGGAGCCGAATGAATCGAACGCACTGAACCGACCGGATGTTTGAGCAGTCTCAGCTCTTGGAGAGACTAGGCCGTGTCGATGTGCATGTCCCTCGGCCGGGGTCTCTTCTTGACTGTTGAGAAGTCCACGAATGACTGAATTTGGAAGAAGCCTAGAGCCCAGTCTTGACATGGTCGATTGTCTTCGTGCTGCCATTCGAGCAAACGCCGCAGTGCGGTATTCGCGGGGTGGGAGCTCATATTCGGGCCCGCCCTCCTCTTCGATACTTCGCATAGGTTGTGAGCCCCCAGCGGAGGTTCGGCCTGGCCGGTCGGATGCCATATCTTGGTCACTCCTATTATGTATGTTCATGTCTGGCCGGGGTGGCAAACCACCCTCTCCGTTGTGTTCAGCCGCCTGTCTATGATTCATGTTTTCATCCCTCGTGTTAGGGCCACGCTGTATTGAGAAAGGTGCAAAGTGTACTCGATAGCCGTTATTGGATGGATCACGTTGTGTAGAAGAGGACTGTCCCATAGTAACAGAGTTGTGACCGTTGGAGTGATGCAGTGTCAACGACTGTTCATTGCCACGCGAGGACCATATGGCTAGTAGCGGCGACCGTATCGATATTGGGTTGAACCTAGGAGATGGATTTGACAAGTAAGGCTATCCAAGTGATGTCTGGGAATGGTGTTGATCCCTTGCTCAAGCTGATAGGGTCGATGCGGTTGGTTTTTGGGTGGTACTTCTGAAGAAGCCGTATTTCGGACCTTTGGAACAAAGGAGTGGATAGCGGACAGGGAGTTCGCGGTTACCGGGTTATTTGCAAAAGGTACGAGACGCCTGAGACAATTTCACTGCCCAATACGAGCAACAGCGGCCAGATGTATCAAACTGTCTGATGAGTCTAGGCACAGCCCACACTCCGAGTGGTATAACCGCCGAGCCTTGAATCTCGGGGAGCTATGGTAACCACGCCCAGAAAAGAACAGCCAGCGACTGGCAAGCGCGAAACGGGGGTGAGAGAGCGCTCGGCAAAACAAAAAGGGGGAACTAGAAGAAAAGGGAAAGTAAAAGGAGGAGTAGAGGAGTCATGTCAAAGCAAGCAATTGATAGAGGACGATAAGTGATGATGTTTGCCTGCTTTGCTTCGCCTTGAGTGCCTGAGGCAACACATCTCCATTCCGTCATGTTCCACCACCAATCTCTCTGACAAATGCGCAACCATCAATTGGGGCAACAATAGCCTAGGCCCTAGTATAGACTGCCACGGCTCTTATTTTCTTTGGCGGCACATGGAATACGCCCCATCTTGAGCATATGGCTGCGCTGTCGTCTTCGATTTTTTCTCTACCGCTACCGCCTTGGCTCCAGCCGCCTGGCACTCGCGTATCTCGATATGACCGCCGGAAACGCAAAAGGAGTGTGGGGTGGAGTGAAAGCGAGCTGAACGGCGAAGAAACAACGGATATCGCCTCGGCTACGGAATCTGAGCCCGCTGGGCCTCCCTTGGTCTTGACACCAAATGAATCCCATCAATACCGAATTGCCGGTTTCCCATCCAACCAAGAATTGCCGAAAGGCCATTTCCCTCATAAGGCAGATAATGATGAGCAATCTAGAAGAGAGACTGCCTCACGCCACCTCAAAGACTTAGCGGGATTATCACCTCCAATCTACCCTCCTCAGTCGACCCAGCAAGGCAACCTTCGCTTCCAACACCTAAGTGCATTGACAGCCATTTTACATCGATGTATGCTCCAAGGTGATTACGTTCGAGCCGGACGAGCTTGGGGCATGATCTTGCGCGAAGATTACAGAGGCTTTCGAATGGACGTCCGCAGTGAAGGAAGGTGGGGCATTGGCGCTGAAATTTTGCTACGGCGTGACGAACAGGAAATCCCAGCCAATCTTGGTACCATTAAGGTGCCGAATGCGATGGACAGCACACCCATCAATTTTACCACCAAGGGCTTTGCGGCAGCTAAAGAATATTATGAACGACTTATTCTCAATCACCCATTCATGAAATCTTCACCACAGTCTATCTCCTCTTTGCACTTCTACCCTGCAATGTTTGGGCTTTGGGTGTATATCACACAGGAAGAAAGCAAGGCAACTAGGAAAAATATTACCCTTCGCCAAGAAGAAGAGCCTGATGAGTTTTCTGAGGATGACAATTCAGAATCTGAATTTGGCCACCCTCGGAAGTCACAAAACAAGACAGATGCTGCCATCACAGCAATTAGGGCACTGGAGTTGGCACAGGCGCAGCAAATTGCTGCGCGTATGGACCAGCTCCTAGGGTCTCCTCCATACTCGGACTCGCCAGAATTGCTGGAGCTCAGAGGCATGATCTGTTTGTGGATCGGTGATCTGTTGCTGCTCACTCTACCATTACCGGCCCACTTCGAAGACTACGACGACCACGACCCAATGCTCATGGATAGGACCCCAGGCTCTCTTGAAGCGAGACGTGAGCACAGGCTTGCAACCGAAAAGAAAGCAGCTGAAGTCCAAAGATCGATTGAGCTCTTCGAGAAGGCCAAGAAACGAGGCAGGGGTGTTGCATACAATCTGGAGAGTCTTCATATTGATGATGATTCTGCTGATTGAGGTCCTGGTTGAGATGATCTTGATGTTCCTCTCTTCTGGAACTTCATGTAAAATTATACTTAATATACCCCAATGAAATGCATTTATTTATAGGTAAACATTATCTTATAATTAGAAACCTCCCTTGCCCAGTATCCTAGAGAAAGATTTACACCCTTATGTGGCGTTAGTTGGCCCTGGTATTCACAATTTAGTCAAGCACATTAGCTAAATGTTGTTCGGGATTTATACCCGGAGGTTACCGCCGCTGTAAGGTTCCATACAGCCGTGGCGGCCCTAATTGCTGTAGATGAGGCTTAAAGCCGGTGGAAATGATCGACACGTGACTACGCGGCGATATCGCGTTTGCCCAACAACCTTACGGTGGACCCCGTCGTCTTTCAGCGTCATCGAAAAAGACCACATTTATTCATTACCCCTACAATAGCTAGCTTCAAAAAGTACTATGGGGGTTGGCGATTATGTCCACTCCAAAGAAGGTGGGCAGGCTCACGGCCAAGCCACCCAGTCGCGCCAGCAACGTGCAGAACAAGCCAGAGTCGAGGTACCGGTCACCCAGCTGGTCGATCCAGGTCCTTCAGGGGCCAATGGCAGATCTGGATCTCTAGAATTTAACGGTACATCTCAATTTCCAAATCAGTCCCGCAATCTCTCTACGCATGGGATACAGCGAGACAGGGACGTGTTCGACACAGACGTGGAAGCGATTGATGATTCAACCGTGGCAGGGACTAGTGTCTACGGATTTGATGACAACAAATCTCAGGCAGCATCAAGTACTAATGCTGCCTACACCAATCCCGATCCTCAATCGATGTATCAGCCCCGACCTTCAATCCATACTTATGGGCCTAACTGGTATGAAGGCCTGGGTGACCAAGCCATGAAGAAGGCCGGCTTTGATTCAGATGACTTCGATGACTCTGAAAGCCAAATGACTTCGTCTCTTGGCGGAGATGGCGGGGATAATGAAAAGTCCGACGAAGCACACGACTGGCATGCGTCGCACAAATCACGTATAACCGAGGAGCCATTGAGCAAGCGCCTAGAGAATTTCTGGTCCGCCAGCAGAAAGAGAACTTCTTCGCGGCAGCCTGTCACTATAGACTCTGATCCCGAGCCTCAGACTCAACCACAACCACAACCGACGTCAAGGCCGCGGAAATTGGGTCAAATGCTTCCTCCTACTGGGCCCAGGAAGATTCTTCTCCCTCACAGCTCGTCAGCAATACCCAGGACACGTTTCAGCCCGCCAAAGCCTTCACTTCTCGAACAACTCGACCAACAACTCGATGCATCACCTACTCGCCATGACTCTCAACCTCCGCCAGATGTTGGCCGGACACTCAGCATTACATCGTTTCACGAACTTACCGATAGTGACGGTGGAAGTGACGATGGCATGGAGCACACCATACGCCCGGATGAACGACGGGAAAGCGGCGGGGTTTCAATCAGTGCCTTCGATATGACCAGTTTAACCGACTTAGACGTCGACCACACCATGCAGGATCCGTTTTTTGTGCACGAATCGCGCAAATTGCATGAGCCATCGCGTCGCAGCCGTCGCAACACTGCCATCCATTCGAAAAAGCGATCACTTGAAGCAGACTACCCTCCAGAAGTGCTTTACCAAAAGTCTTTCTCTGAACTCCAAGCTGAGCCATTTGACAAATCGCCGACCCCTCCTCCACCTGTCATCAAATCACCTTCCTTGCCGCCAAACCCACCATCTCTTGTCACAGATACTGAGGTACCCAATAATTCCGTCTCCCATCTGTTGACTCTGACGGACCAAGAACGCCAAACATATTTGTCCCACATGACCATGGATGAATGGGAAGACTGTGGAGACCAAATGATCGACCGTTTCACCCATCTTCTTTCGGAAATGAAGAATTTACGGCGTGCCCGTCGTCGCACAGCTGCTGTGTTTGAAGCCGAAGTCAAGCGCCGCCATGACCAAGTTGAAACACAAAGTTTGGAATTGACGAATAAATTGACCGAGATGAGAACTGGCGGTGCAGAGGTTCTGCGTGGACGCCACCCGTGATTGCGAAATAGCTCTCTTACTCTTATCATTAACCCTTATGTTGTTTGAGATGATTGTGTTATGCCCAATTAACCACTGCAGGACTCGATTTATTCATGTTCATATTTTTATACCCCTTTTACACCTAGAATATGAGGACCTGCGGAATTGACGCCGAAAATTACCATTTGTGATGTCCAGGAGTGGCCGTCGTACAAGGAGCAAATCCAAACTGCCGTTCAACACGGCTTAGAATGTGCTAAGACCTTAGTGAAAGAATCTGCTTTTGCAAAGTTTGCTCTTCATTGGGTAGAAAATGATGACACCGGTGATGGTACCGGTAATTTCCGGGATCGATTCGCTTCTATGCGAGACAGCAACGAATTCCCTGTTGGTCTACGACGAGACTCCTTTCTCTATGTGGATCAAGATTCCTTGCAATCGTGTGATGTTCCTAGACCATTCGTCTGGTTACTAGAACCTGACAATGAAAACACTGCAAAGCCACTCAAGGTGCATATCAACCACATCGCTCCGACACTTTTTGCGCGTTTCACCCAACGAGATCTTTCCCCAGAGGTAAATCGTCGGCCGTATCGCAACATATTGGAGTTGAAAATGCTTCATAAAGCAGCACGTTGGTCGAAGGATGCTCCAGGGGAGAAGGATAGGATTTGGCCTCCGCCTGTGCGCTTCATGTAAATCTCCAACTTGAACAAAAGCATTCTTTTCGGGATATTGAACGAATAAGCAAAACATGTAGCTGTGCACACTATCTCCGAATCTTGAAATCCTTATTCATGTTGGTCTGAAGGGTTGATTATTGCTAAAATGATGTATGATATGGACAATGCGTAGCTCACTCACCAGAGCTATGCTATCTAACTCAAGGTTTATTCGCCCAAATGAAATAGAATACCAGATATAATAACGCCATCGATCCATAATGCAAGAATACTCCATCTCCCGTTGCAATGAATGTGAAGGACAAAACAACATAATCCAACCATAAACATATCAAGACTCGGTACTAGGTTTGTGAAGCGCAGCAGCAAGTCGCTTATAGTCTTCCAGTAGAACAGCTACGTCCCCGATCCGGAGATCACTCGCATTCTGTGTCTCAAGGAAACGCTGAATGGGAGGATCAATTTTCGATGAAGGGTTGGAGAGCGGGCTGTTAGAACCACTATTGCCGTCTGCTGAAACAGGTGATGGCTTGAGTCTGTCCAATCCCGATGGGGATACGGACCTGCCGCTGGGAGTCTCTGGTGCGTTGCGGCCAAAGCTCTTCATCATGCCCGGGATGTGGTTCAGAGGGTTAAGCGTGCTGCCAAAGTTTCGCATTGATTCTAACGGAGTGGGGCTTATGGGTGAACTCAATGCAAAATCTTCGCGTAGTGATGTCGTGACGGACTTTTTACCGCTTCCCTGAGTTCGAGTGCTGTCCACACTTCGGTCTCGAGGGGTAGGAGTGTTGGAGAGATCTGTGAGTCTCGAACTACTGCGTGGGGGTGTGCTCTCATCCACGGAAACAGAATTGATTGCTGCGAGCTCCCCTTGGGTCAGATTTTGGTTGGTAGCAGAGGCAAGCGGCAAGCTCACTAGACGGCGAGCTTCGGCCAGTGTCTTTGGCAATATTGGACCGCTACCCTCCGGGCCTGGTCCTTGGATGTTTTGCATCTCCTTCAGACGACCAAACAGAAAGTTGAAACTGCTGTCCAATGTAGCACCAATGTTCTTCAAACTCTGGTCTGCAGTGGTGCGAACAGCATCATTTGCAGCTCCGAGGACCTTAGAAGGCGGTTGGAAAATGTTACTGAGGCGTCGTTGCTGTGGTGTGATGGAGGGTCGAGGTCTAGGTAATGTAGAGGCGGGTTCCTTGATTTCTGGTGTTGACAATTCCGGCGATGCAGATACAGTCGTCACAGCCAAGGTTGTAGCCTCCTTGGGGGGCCGAAAAGGATCGACATGTTCTACGGATAGTGTCGTAGTTTCACCGGGGGTTTTCAGAGGGCCATCCTGCAGCTCATCGGCACGTAGTGTAGAAAGATCGACGTTTTCCAAAAAGCTTATGGCCGCCTCTAGATTGGTTAAGCAGTAAGCCGTTTCTCCGTCAATTCTGCTTGAAGACCTGAAACGCTGGATAAAAACCAAGTTGCTGACAATGTTGATCCCTTCCGGAGGGCACGTCACAAGCGAATAAATTAACGTGGGCAGAATCTCATCCGCAGAAGAGGAAGACGGTAAAAGTTTAGTGAGAGCGTCGACGATGGCCTTGTGCGCCGCTGCGAGTTGCTGTAGCTTTCCAAGGGGGTATTTGTAATCGTTCATTTTGGCGAGATACTCTCGGGCCTGACAAAGGAATTCGTTTGCTTCGTCCTGCTTCTGCTCATCGATTGTTTCAAGGTCTATATCGATCCCAAGATCCTTTAGATTAATGCCGACCAGCAGCAAAGCCGCAGTCTTGGAACGCAACTTTTCATCCCGCACATCATCCAATGTACTTTTGTGCCTCCAGAGTTTATCATAAACCAGCTCGCAGACCCTTCTTTCGGCAGCCTCTTCTAATGCGCTCCTTTTGTTTTCAAGGGCTCTGCGAGCCTGTCGCTTTTCAGCCACCTCGGACGCAGTCAACATTTGGCGACCTGAAGCTGCTGGCCTGATATCGTCTTGAGAGCGTTTACTGCTCAATTTCGACAGTGCGCTTCCTCGTGGAGCTTTTGCAGGAACCTGGGGCGGAAGATCCCGGTTGATACGAGCTATGAGAGCAGATATATGTGTGGCAATGTGGGACTCGGCGCGGCTGTAGAAAACTTGGAAGAGCTCGGAGATCTTCTCGATCGTGGGAGGCGAGTTATGAACTTTGGCGCTCAGAGAATTCACGAATCTATTAAAGAAATGGCTGTCAGAATAAAACGTTGAAGCATGGGCACTCATATGATCACGCTTACCGATCTGCCAGGCTGATTAGTTCGATCGGCAATTCCTCCGAAGGGTCTTGTACGCTTCGCGAAAGCACAAAGCCATCATCTGTCTGGGCATCGCCTGTTGTGCCGGAGTCTGCGGAGCCCGGTCTTTCGAATACGTCGAGTCCATTTTCCTGCCCCTCATTATTGACAGGTGACGATGGAGGTGCTGTTTTGGAATCTTGCTCAATCGTAGGAGATTTCACTTCCGAGTCGCCCATTCTGATGAATGACCGTGCTAGATTCAGATGAGGCCGACTGCTATTTTCAGAGCCAGACATTTTAAGACCAGGGGCGATGGGGTTCTATAAGGCACTAATTGCGTGTCTCCGCTCCCGGATGCAGCTGATAGGCCGATGTCGATCCGCGTCCGAGAGCCCCTAGCTCTGGCCTGAGCCTGTTGTCCAGTAGTAAAGCGATCGGAAGTACGGAGTACTCCGTACTTGTCACGGAGTATACTGCAGCTGATCAACAGCAGCGTATCACTCTCCTAGTGATCATTTGAGAAGACACCAAATTGACGAGGAATACACGATATCGCATCACGTCACGGGGGTACCCATCACGTGCCGATCGCTCTCCGCACTGCGTCACTTCGTCACTTGATAAGTGACTTGCTGATAACCGCGATAGACTCACGTCTCCTTGACCTTGATCCTCATCAGCATCCCCATCATGGCTCGAAAATGTTCACGATTTGAAATCAGCATCCGCAGCCTATTATTTGCGGCTGCAGTATTGTCAGGTGCTGCCTCCGCCTCAGGCTATCATCTACCCTCTCCACAAGTTCCCGTCATACCTTTGAATGGGGACGAGGGTACACCAGACACCCATGAGTTTGTAAGATGCCTGACTCAAGTTTTCTTATCTGTAGCTGACCATCATACCCGCTTATAGTCCTTGCGCCACATCTTTCACCGAGGCACCTATGAACAACCCGACTTTCATGCGAGACTCGACGTCAAGCCAGACACTCGCCTTCGAACTATATCCGAAGATGGCCACGAAGAAGAATATATTGCATCAGATTCCACTCTGCTTGCCTCATCAAGTCCTCTCACGATACAACGATTAGCCGATCGGCGACTCCAGGTGATTCAAGGTCACTTGGCAGCTGCACGGTCTTCGGGCTTTGCGACCGCCTTGTCTCCACTGGAATGGGTCATGGACACCTTGCCTGGACCGAATATTACAGATAAGCAGACTGTTTTGACATTTGCACAAATGACTGCAAATGACTATATTGAGGAGCCTGGAACAGGAGAGTGGCACACTATTAATGGCAAATTCAACTATTCGGGGAGCTTTGGTTGGCAAACGGATGGCCTGAGAGGGCACATCTACTCCGATAAGACGAACGACACTGTTGTCATTTCTCTGAAGGGCACTTCGCCCGCTCTCTTTGATGGCGCTGGCACCACAACAAACGATAAAGTCAACGATAATTTATTCTTTAGTTGTTGTTGTGGCCAAGGAGGCTCATATCTATGGAGACAATCCTGCGATTGCCAAAGTGCTACATTTACGGCAAATCTGACATGTATCGTTGAGTCTATGAATGACGAAAACCGTTATTATCGGGCAGCGATCGATTTATACTCTAACGTTACCGAGATCTACCCAGATGCAAATATTTGGATGACCGGTCATTCGCTGGGTGGTGCCATGACGAGTCTGGTTGGATTGACGTTCGGATTGCCTGTGGTCACTTTCGAGGCCGTTCCTGAAGCATTGCCCGCAGCTCGACTTGGCCTCCCAAGTCCGCCAGGCTATGACCCGCGGTTTCCACAGTCGCGAGAGTTCACTGGATCCTACCACTTTGGACATACAGCAGACCCAATCTATATGGGAACCTGCAATGGAATCAACTCTATTTGTACATGGGGCGGCTATGCGATGGAGTCAGCATGTCACACCGGACAAATGTGCACGTATGACACTGTGGCAGACAAGGGCTGGCGTGTCGGTCTTGGTACCCACAAGATCGAGAATGTGATATCTGATGTTATCTTGAAATACGACAATGTCCCTTCATGTGTCGCAGAGGAAGAATGCTTTGACTGTGAACTCTGGAAGTTCTTCCGAAGCAACGGCTCCGATGTCACGACTACTACGACTACCACCACCACCGCATCTCCCACCAGAACTTCTACTTGCAAGACCCCCGGGTGGTGGGGCTGTCTGGATGAAAGTACAACCGCTACCACTACGACAACAACTTCACCGACAAGCACTGCCACTACTACTACATGCAAGACTCCTGGCTGGTTCGGGTGCAAGGATCCTACCACAACAGCCATTCCGTCACCCACGGTGACTACTACTTTGCCCTCGGTGACTGCAACGACCAGCTGTCATGACCCAGGGTGGTTTGGCTGCCGTGACGGAACGAGCACGGTGGCTACGACTACCGCTACTTCTGCCTCGCCCTCTTCCTCGCCCTCTTCCTCGATCTGTGATAGCCTGGGAAAGATGTCGGGATGTCGGGATGAGTCCACTAACTCGCCTGCGATCACCTCGGCGCCCACTCCTACCAGTTAAACCTTGTTCCTTCCCATGCATGCACTTGCAGCATACTCTTGGTGCCCCTTTAAATAGATTGATCCGTAGGCTCTCAAGAAGCGCAAGCGCCATATATACCCACCCATTCTTATGATTTGATCAGGGCTCAATTTGCTTTGGGTTTTCCCTTTCCCTGCGATATACAAGATATATGATTGGCGCATTGAGCGAGCTTTTTTTGTTTTGGTTTTGGTTTCTTGTTGTTTTCAATCCTCTGTGCACGCACGACTCTATTGGGAGCTTTTGATTATTCCTTGTACTAATTCTAAGGGAAGCACTATCCAGGGTTCTTTGTCGAGGCACTGCCTTGCGCAACACCTTGAAGGGACTGACCCTTGGAATTTTCGGTTGCTGTCACACTCTGATAACTAGATAGTCCAATTAATTTGTTGGATATAAAATTGCGGATTAACTGACTTGTCTGCAGCTCAACAACTCTGCAAGGCCAAGTTCGTATCTTCGGGGTCGCGATCTCGGATCGTGCCGACAGAACAAACAAGCTTGAGCTCGGATCGAACTGCTATATTGGGAGAACAATTGACCTCCCGGCATTTCTTGCTCTCGGTCTAGCCACCATCCACTTACAAACCTATTCCTTGTCCTTTTTTACTCCAATTCCGGGAAGTGGACCCGAGAGGATGACATCGGCCTTGTTTACGATTGGATATAGCATACACGTCTGACCTAGGCCTGGCATTTTAGATGTTTGTTTTATATCAATATAGTTGGTGATAGGATGATTTCATATCAGATGCTGGTGGGGCTATGGGCTTCATTGAACTTTTCCATGGTTCCCCCGAAGGCCCTATATAAACCAAAGTGCTCCCGGGACTTTTCTCTCTTCTCCATAGACAATCTGCGATCATGGGTCAAGACAACGAGCCTAGTAGGTTTACATTGCTTGTCAAAGCCGATAACACCGACTAATCCCCTCTCTTCCATAGGAACCTACCGCTACAATGAGACTCCGGTCTACACGGCCTCTAACGGCTGCCCAGTAGGCCCTGCCTATTTCCCTTTAATCGTAAGGTCTAACCATATACATATAGGTCATGGATCCCCAGGCGTCCCAGCGCATTGGCCCCAACGGCCCGCTTCTGATGCAGGATTTCCATCTAATCGATCTGCTGGCACACTTCGACCGTGAGCGCATTCCTGAGCGGGTAGTTCACGCCAAAGGTGCTGGCGCCTACGGAGAGTTTGAGGTCACTGATGACATTAGCGATCTCGTATGTAGGCAGTTTCTATACTTCCCCAGAGAATACTAGGCTAATAACGCATAGACGACCATTGATATGCTCAAGGGTGTCGGCAAGAAGACCAAGATGCTCACCCGCTTCTCGACCGTCGGTGGTGAGAAGGGATCCCCGGACAGTGCCCGTGACCCTCGCGGATTCGCCATGAAGTTCTACACCGAGGAGGGCAACTGGGATTGGGTGTTCAACAACACCCCAGTTTTCTTCCTGCGCGATCCTGCTAAATTCCCCATCTTCATCCACACTCAAAAGCGCAACCCACAGACAAACCTCAAGGATGCCACCATGTTCTGGGATTACCTCTCCACCCACCATGAGTCCGTCCACCAGGTTATGCACCTGTTCAGTGACCGCGGTACCCCATACTCATACCGTCACATGAATGGCTACTCCGGCCACACCTACAAGTGGATCAAGCCAGACGGCACCTTCAACTACGTCCAGATTCATTGCAAGTCTGATCAGGGCAACAAAACCTTGACCAACGATGAGGCGACCAAGCTGTCCGCCGAGAACCCCGACTGGCACACCCAGGACCTATTTGAGGCCATCCAGCGCGGCGAGAATCCGTCTTGGACCTGCTACGTACAAGTCCTGAGCCCCGAAAAGGCCGAAAAGTTCCGCTGGAACGTCTTCGATTTGACCAAAGTCTGGCCCCAGAATGAGGTGCCTCTGCGCCGTTTCGGCCGCTTCACCCTGAACAAGAATCCGCAGAACTACTTCGCGGAGATCGAACAAGCCGCCTTCTCCCCCTCCCACATGGTCCCTGGTGTCGAGCCCTCCGCCGACCCTGTCCTTCAGTCCCGCCTCTTCTCTTACCCCGACACGCACCGCCACCGCCTGGGCGGCAACTACGAGCAGATCCCCGTAAACTGCCCACTCAAAGCCTTCAACCCCTCACACCGCGATGGCTACATGAACGTCAACGGCAACTACGGTGCCAACCCCAACTACCCTTCTACTTTCCGTCCGCTCGCCTACAAGCCCGTCAAGGCTAGCCAGGAACACGAGAAATGGTCTGGTGCTGTCATCGCCGAGCAGTACCCTGTGACCTCCGAGGACTACGTCCAGGCTAACGGCCTATGGCAGGTCCTTGGCCGTACCCCTGGCCAGCAGGAGAACTTTGTCGGTAACATCTCTGGTCATCTGTGCGGCGCTGACGAGCGTGTTCGAAAGGCTACTTACGAGATGTTCCGTCGTGTTAACGCAGATCTTGGTGCTCGTATCCAGTCTTCTACGGATGCTCATATTACTGGTGCCCCGCCAGCACGTTTGTAGATGTACTTTTGCTTGCTTGTGCTCTTATACTCAAAATAATCGTGGATTCACTCTACGTCGCTGCATCTAGATATCTCATCAACTTAAAATACGATTTATGAACTATGAGGGCGGTGAGGTTGATGGCCCAGATGGAGCGCAAAACATTGCGATGCTCAATCGTTGTACACCAGAGTTATTGTGCGCCTCCGGGCCTGGTCCGCGGACTCTATGCACGCAAGCTCGAACTCGGTCGCGTCCGAGTAAACGCTGTAGTCTAGTGCCTGCAAAGACGACAACCTCAGGGGCATCGTCGCCAAAAGTAGGAACGTGCATAAAAGATGCCTCCGACCCAACCCCTTCACTGTCTTGTTTCTCTGTTGTTTCGAGATCAGCAATTTCTAGGCCGTCGTTCTCATTATGAGACCGGAATAGAATGGTTAATGTTCCGCTATCCATATGAGGGGGACTGAAATGGGCGCTGAAGTCAGGAAGACTTCGAGAATCATAATAGTGGATCCCGATAGTAGCAGAATCGAGAAGCGTAGTACCAGTTAGGGAAGTGTCCGAGTCCAGTGCCTGCGATATGGTCTTTAACAATTGCAGCCTTATAGGTGTCCACCCCTTGAAAGGAAAATCAGCACGATACAGAAAAAGAGGGAGAAGACAAGGACGGTTTACCTCATGAAGACATTTGACTGAACGATATAAGTTGCAAGAGGGCCCCTTGAGATGGTTCGGTTCGGCGCCATGTCGGAAAAAATAGATACTCTCTTTGGGTATCTCAGCCCGGCCGCGAACACGTTCCGAAGCAAAAGGAGAGTATCCTTTTATGTCTGTCTTAGCTGTAATCGGTTGTGTGAAGAACTCCCGTGCCTGAGGAGTGCGGTCAGTGATGAATGCTATTCCAGGAAAGTGGGTTTAGCCTGCCTTTTCAATGACAACGTCGGGACAGTGTTGCCTGGTTTCAGGGGCTACTACTAGGCGGAAAGCTCCGAACCGACGAAGGGCAAGCTTCAGGTCAGAGGCCAGAGTGGATGATACAGGTTTGTTCAAATTGATCAGAGGTAGTTTGGCAGACATTCTGATACACGCATTTATATGTACGTAAGGGACTGCACGACGAAACAAGCGAGATACTCAAGTCTTGAAGTGTTTGCAGGGTTTGCATTACCTAGCGGTGTCAGGCTGTCAGGGGAGGATGAGTAGCGAAGACGGGTCTTTTACATATGTCGGAGGGCATGAGGGAGGTTATATGACGGTGTATTAGGGCGCTAAACCCAAAAAGGCAAAACTAACCGGATACAGTAATTCACAGGTCCGCGTTTTACGTTAACTATTTCACAAGCCAGCCGGCCACCCCAAACCATAGCTCAAACTGTCCAAATAGGAGGATGGAAGAGTCTATAACCAGGACCGGCCGACCTATACCCACTACCGCATAGAGTGATGAGTAGCAGCCAATAATCGGGAGATTAAAAATGACACGGAGGAAGATTCGTTTTGGCGGCATGATACCTTAACAATACATTCAATAAAGAGGGAACAGCTAGGAGTTCAGAGAGGTGAGAGAAGTTCAATACTAGCTAAAGCGAAATCATAAGAGGATCTTCTTGCATTCCACGGCTGATTTGAGCCTGAAGCCTTTCATGCCACCTTGCCAGCTTAATGCGATTGCCGTTCTAGCCGAATCCCGTAGCTCCGATTCATACTCCCCGATGACATGTCGACCGAGGGTTTGCGAACTTACTGCAACCTCAAGCCTGCGAGCCAGATCTGCAGCGTCACGCAAGGCAGTGTTGGCCCCCATCGCTCCAGTTGGTGGCATGGGATGAATCGCGTCGCCGAGTAAAGTCACATGGGGCGAGGGCTCCCAGGAGGCCAACTCTGGTGAGGCAGAAAGCATCAATCGGGTTGAAGTTTGAGCCTCGTCTTGCATCTCGAAAAGCACCTGCAAGTCAGGATGCCATGACTTGGTAACATGTCGAGCAAGTTCCGCTGACTTTTCCGGGCTTAATGGCCAGGATGTGCCATTTGACGACGAGATATTGGAGGAATGAGTGACAAGCACCCAATACACGTATGGGTCGGGAAGCTGAGGTTTCGAGACTTTTTCTGCGTGTGGGAAACGGATGGATTCAAATAGCAAGGTGGTCCGTGATTCATCGTCTGGGTTTAAAACAAGAGACATTCCATGGTGGTACGCCTCGGGAAACCGAGCCAGAAATTCGGGGCTCAAGGGTGTCTTTCCAAAGATGATGCGCATGCCGGTGTCGATACCCATGAAATCTGGTATGTACTGCTTGCGGACCCTAGATCGAACTCCATCTGCACCAACAAGGAGAGATCCAGTTTCCTTCGAGCCATCCGCAAAGAATGCAATTGTGTTTCCGTCGTTCACAGTGTAATGGTCGAAGCTCTTTCCAAAAAACACATGCTCATCCAAACCTGTCAGCAGAACCTCACGGAAAGTGCTCCGATCCACAGTCTGGGGCTCGATAAAAGCAGCCGACCCAAGGGGCCTAGGAGGGCCAGTGCCGCCTAGTAGTGTACCATCGGGTTTGATTCTCACGCCCCCCATTACCGTTTCGGCACAGGTGTTCTCGAACAGAGCATATAGCTCAGGCGACAGATTATCCCGAAGGGCGTAGATACCCTCACTTCCCACCCTCAATCTATATCCCTGAGTTCGAAGATCATGCCTTCCGTCCTGTTCAAATAGTTTGAAAGGAATGTTTCGTTTTTTCAGTCCCTGAGCCAAGCAAAGACCGCCAAGCCCAGCACCGATAATCAAGATAGGATGAGACATGGCAGTTGTGCAATAAGAAAGGGAGAAGCTGAGATCAGAGCAAGGGCTGTTAACGTATGTCTTTGGGAGAACAAAATTGTATAGGCTTTTTGTTTGGCACATCGCTAAATTTATACATCATCATATCGGCACGTATGTTCTCGGCCACCGATCTGATAGTCGGACATCGGGGCTTAAAAGTCCGACAGGTCGGTGAGCCATCTCGGGGCAATCAGATTGGCACACAAAGGACCCGTACTGCAATTCATGCGCACTCCCCATTCGCCCATTGCCTTGCCTGCTTCCTGACTTTCGGTGGTCTTTTATGTATATCGGAGGGCATTGAGGGGAGGTTACGTGACGGTGTATTGGGGCGCTAAACCCAGAGAGGCAAAACTAACTCAACACAGTAATTCACAGGTCCGCGGTTTACAGTAGAGAAGCTTAAGTTTAGGATTTGCAGGTCCTGAAAGTAGATCAATATTTGGCTAATTATTGCCAATGAGATACATACTGAACCCGGTATGGAATATATAAAATAATAAGAATACTACTAGAAGTTTGATATAGAACATTCTGATTACTGCAAGGGGAATTTATAGTTCCCCCACGTGGGGTTGTCAGACTCATGAGTCATACTACATCTAGTTACATCTAAAATGTACTGTTAGTATAATTTCAAGACTGTATGATCAGAAAATACTAGACCAATCAAGCCCGAACATAGCACGACTCGAATATCGAATTATGTTCGGACGATGACCCATCGCTTGCCCCATCCGGGCACCGCCAAGCTTCTCATCCCGCCAAAATTTGCGCTTGGAGGCGATCAAGCCCGTCAAATCCCCCGTTCCCCCGCCAATTCGGACCATTGGCTTTTATCCTCTTTTTGTCAAGCTCCTTTGTCTCTGCCGTATTCACTTATCCTCGGTAGGCGTCAAGGAAACTTTTCGCTGCCGTGGAGTGCCTGCGTGCAATGTTCCTGGCATAGTGGGTACTTTGATTTTTTATTCCCCTGACTTCCGAACCGGGCCAACTCTCAAACCCATATCGCAAGTTGCTCGAGCCAACCTTCCATTCCTCCCAGCGATCTCGGTTATTTCGTCCATCCAACATGGCCGAACCCAAGGTCTCAGATGCCATCACGCCGGTGGATGTCTTTCCCGAATATGGTTACTCTTCAGCCGCTGGACCGGGCTCGGACTCATCCACGACCAAGGTCATTCAAAATGCAAAGGCAGCCACGGAGAAGGAACGGTCTATGACATTGATACAGGGTATCCGGTTGTACCCCAAAGCCGTTTTTTGGAGCGTGCTCATCTCTACTTGCATTGCCATGGAGGGTTACGATATTAGTTTGGTCAACAACTTCTACGCCTTCCCGCAATTCAATCGCAAATATGGTGAGATGCTGGCCGATGGCACATATCAAGTATCCGCTGCGGTAAGTTCAACCAATTCCGGCGGTAGCCATTCCTCTATCTCTTGGAGTGGGGTGGACTTGCCTCTTTGGGAGATGAAGAAACTGACAATTCTCTGGACATAAAGTGGCAAGCAGGTCTGAGCAACGGTGCTTACTGCGGCGAGATCATCGGTCTATTCATCAACGGCTGGGCTTCAGAACGATTCGGTTACCGGTACACGATTATGTCCTGCCTTGTACTTGTTAGTGCGTGGACGGCGATCTTCTTCACGGCTAAGAATGTGCATGCCCTGCTTGCAGCGGAGATTCTCTGCGGTATTCCTTGGGGTGTCTTTCAGACTTTGACGATCACCTATGCTTCGGAGGTGTGTCCAGTGGCGCTGCGAGGGTATTTGACGACCTATGTCAATTTCTGCTGGGGTCTTGGCCAGCTTATCGGTATCGGTGTGATTAAGGGCATGTTGAACCGGGAGGACGAATGGGCATATCGGATTCCGTACGGACTGCAGTGGATGTGGCCACTGCCGCTCTTCGTTGGTATTTGGCTTGCGCCTGAATCCCCATGGTGGTTGGTTCGGAAAGGCCGCACTGAAGATGCGAAACGGGCCCTTCTCCGTTTGACTACCAAAAGTCAGGGACAGGATGGGGATTTCGATCCAGATGAGACTGTCGCTATGATGGTTCATACGACCGCCCTGGAGGAAAAAATCACCCAGGGTGCGAGCTACTTGGATTGCTTCCGGGGCACTGATCTCCGCCGCACAGAGATTGTCTGTATGGTCTGGGCCATCCAAAATCTCAGTGGAAACTCCTTTTCCAACTACTCGACCTACTTCTTAAAACAGGCAGGGTTAGACTCCTCTAACTCTTACAACTTTGCTATGGGTCAATACGGAATCAATATGGTTGGCGTTTTCGGATCATGGTTCCTTATGACACTCGGAATCGGCCGGCGGACGTTATGTCTGTACGGTCTCTGTGGTCTGTGCACCATGCTATTGGTCATGGGTTTCCTTGGCCTTGTTCCCAAAGAACACAGAGACCAAGGCTCCCTGGCCACTGGTTCAATGATGTTGATCTGGGCCCTATTCTACCAGCTGACCGTTGGAACGGTCTGCTTCTCCCTTGTTGCCGAGCTTTCCACCCGCCGACTGCAAATCAAGACAGTCGTGCTGGGCCGCAACCTGTACAACATTGTCGCCATCGTCTGCGGCGTTCTGACCCCTTACATGCTGAACCCCGGCGCCTGGAACTGGGGCAACTACGCCGGTTTCTTCTGGGGTGGCATCTGCTTCCTGTGCATCATATACACGTACTTCCGCGTTCCCGAGCCTCGTGGCCGCACGTTCGCCGAGCTTGACCTGCTCTTCGAGCGCGGTGTCAGCGCTCGCAAGTTTGCGACCACCCAAGTGGATGTGTTTGATGAGACCATTGAGAGCCAAGTCATTGATGATTACCGGGCAAATAAAAACACCCGAACCGATGAATGCGAATTGGAGAAAAATCACGGTTCGATATGATGCGATGTATCTTATGTTTACGATTAATTCTGCTTCTGGGCCCGAACTTGATAGGCCCCCTATGTATATAGCATTTTTCAGCAAATAGAATAGCAGTAGTAATCTAATATCTTTCCATGATGATCAAACAAAATAAAGTCACACTGCTCCTGATGTAAACCACTGCAGTTTCTTATATATCTCCACTTCTTTTTTTAGCACTGAAGAGCCCATTGCCTGCATATTCATGGGCACCTGGCGTTAGTCCGGATTCCACTCTTACATCAATGGCAATTCTCGACCCTCAATCTGACATATGACCTTTCGTATTAGTATGCCTCGACCAAGTAAAATCACGGAACAACCGGCAATGCCAATTTGGAAGATGAGACGAACGTGGATGAGGCACCCAGCTATATGAGATTGCAGTCGAGAGTTACAGACACAAGCGAGTTAAATGATACTGTTCTATGTCTTATAACTAATCCTCTGTTCTACAGCTTCAGCGTGAATTACACGCAAGCGATGAAAAAAACCAGCTTCTTCATTCCAAATGACTTTGTCATCTATTCGTTGGACCACTCGGGCTTCTTCTTTTCCGCAAAGGCAGTCATACCTAGAATAACCGTTAGCAAACCCACTCACTCAGCAAACCGAAGTGCCAACTCACCAATCTTCTGATCCTTGCTCCCAAAGAGCGCATGGAACAACCGTCTCTCATACTCAATACCCTCCTTGAGCGGCAAGTCCTGGCTCTTATTGACAACCTCCTTAGCAGCGACAACAGCCACACGGCTATGGCTGGCAATAGCCTCGGCCGTCTTGTAGGCTTGCTCAAGCAGCTCCTCCTTACCACCCGGCACGACCTTGGCTGCGACGCCCCACTCACCAGCCTCCTTACCACTGAACATCTTTCCAGTGAGGATAAGCTCCATGGCCTTGCTCTTGCCGACCGCACGGGTCAGACGCTGAGATCCACCTGCGCCGGGGATTGTGCCCAGCTTGATTTCGGGCTGGCCGAAGGTGGCGGTCTCGGTGCAGTACAGGATGTCGCACATCAGGGCTAGCTCGCAGCCGCCGCCGAGGGCGTAGCCGGAGACAGCGGCGATGACTGGGGTGCGGATGGAGGTGGCGAGGTGGGACCAGGGCGCGATGAAGTTCTCGCTGAAGGCCTTGGAGAAGCTTAGAGGGGCCATTTCTTTGATGTCGGCGCCGGCTGTGGTGGGTTTGTTGGGTTAGTATTGTTGACGTACTTTAGGATTAGGGCGAGGCATGATGGGAGAGGATAGGATGTGAAAAGTGTAAATAGGACATGTACATACCGGCAAAGGCCTTCTCGCTTCCTGTAATAATGATCGCGCCGATGCTCTTGTCATTGTCATAGTTGGTCAGGGCTTCGTTAAGCTCCTTGAACAAGGGAGTGAATAGTGCGTTGAGGGCCTTGGGGCGGTTAAGGGTAACTATAATAGCAATGAGAATTGGCCGGCATTATATTAACTGATTGTACATACTCAATCCCACGCCGGGCTTGGGAACCGAAGTGAGGATGTGCTCGTAACTACCAGCGGCTGAAGAATAACCCCGGACTCGGGCTAGGTAGGAAGTCAAGGGGACCGATGTCCGAGCAGTGGCCAGACGAGTGCATTGACGAGCAAACATTGTGATATGTGAAGGAAAATATAATTACTTCTGTTCAGACAATTGAGGTTAAATTAATGCAGAGAAGGGAGAGAGACTACCGACGCGATACATCATAGATGGTCGGTTTCCCCGCGACCGACTGAACGCCGCCAAAATTAACCGCCGAAGTTAACCGTCCCGAGGTCCATTCGAATTGGGCTAAGCCATTTTCGTCTGCCTTATGTCACGGCACCGCCACATCTTGGACTTCGCCACATATCACGTGCACTGGGATGGCTAGTGATTCGCATCTAAGCTGATTGGCCCGTGGGCAGTGGACACTTCTCTGTCCTGAAGGAAGTGCAGTGCCTGACCTGGAATGTCTGGTTTCAGCAGCTTATCTTAATCACAGCTTTTCTTTTGCTTCCCTCTTTCATTTCTTTCTTTCAGTGGTCCAGCCCTGTGCTTTGCTTCTTCTCCCTAATACCTTCATCATGGATGTCCCTGAGCCCGATCAGTCTCCCTTCACAGCCGTGTCGGCGCACACCTCTCGACTGACTCGAGTGAGTGTCCCATGAGGGGCAAAGGCATTGCGCGATGTCTTTCGATTCTTCATTCCTGAGATCAGCCGAATGGTCCGACCAGCATGCTAATACGCCGATCGCAGCACTATCAAGCCTACCTCGATGCCTCGACTCCGTACACAACCTACCGCTGGGTTGGTTCTGGTGTGCTCCTGTGCCTCTTCTTCCTGCGCATTTTCCTCGCGCAGGGCTGGTACATCGGTATGACTCTATCGAGCCCCTATAAATGGAATCAGCAAAGCGAAAATGATGCGCTTCAACCCCAACGCGCGGGAGCCATTCATCCGCGGTGCTGTAAACATCTGCATAAACAAACCGCTAACGCTGGGATCTTGAATCACAGTCGCCTATACACTCGGAATTTACCTCCTGAACCTCTTCCTCGCTTTCCTGACTCCCAAGTTCGACCCCTCTCTCACCCAGGACGAGGGTCTTGAGGACGGTGACGCCGGGTCCCCCAGCCTCCCTACCAAGAAGGACGAGGAGTTTCGTCCCTTCATCCGACGTCTGCCTGAGTTCAAGTTCTGGCACTCGGCCACTCGCGCCATCGCCATTGGCTTCGTTTGCTCCTGGCTCGCTGTCTTCGATATCCCCGTCTTCTGGCCGGTGCTGGTCATTTACTGGATCATTCTGTTTGTGCTGACGAGTATGTTTGCCCTTTGGTCGGAATTCGATCCGATACCTATAGCATTTTTATATGGACATCTGTCTAACTTGACCCCTTTTCCAGTGCGACGACAAATCCAGCATATGATTAAGTACCGTTACGTGCCTTTCTCCTTCGGAAAGACGCGGTATGGCCGTTCATGAGAGTTTCGGTCTCTGGGCTTTTTTTTCTGTCTCTGACTCTATATCCACGATCGTTCGCATGTGCATATCATTTATCTGTATGCGCACTTTGGCTTGGTGAGCAACAGACGGACATGATATGATAAGAGGTGAAAGCACGGGACTCATGGTAGTCCATTTATGAATTTTCCCAGACTCTTTTTTAATCACTACTTGCTTAGAGGGCCGCTGCTTTGGCGTGTTCCAGTCTTCTTCCCCTGTGAAATATGATTAGACCTGAAGTCAATGAATAAACTAACTTGAATTATATTTTTTTTCTTATTACAATCATTCTTTTTATGGTTTATCAAACGAGAAGCTAACTCGTTTGAGACATCTCATGTGGAGATGAGCGGATTTGCGCTTGTATGCCGCTAGAGCAAAGAGGAATGTCTAATCTTCTCGTCTCGTCTGTTGCCTGTTGCCTGTAGGCTTCCCACTCTCACCATCCTCAACATGGAGTAATACAACACTGTGAACTCTGCCTTAAGACTCTGACTCTCATTCGCACTGGAGGGAACATCCTAGCGCGAACATGAACATGGGTATGAACATGCCAGCAGTGTTCTCGACCTCCACTGAAATTACAATCCTCTTCACTGGCTGGACAACCTCAACCACGACGCAATATGTCTTCACATTGACCTTTCTATTCCTCCTCGCCATCTTCAACCGCTCTCTTGGCGCCCTGAAATTCCAACTTGAGAAATCATGGTCCCAGCATACCTCTCCCCCTCCAACTCTGCTTCTCGCCTCAGTAAATCCACGAAAAGGCGTCCGAAAAGCAAAGCTCAGTCCTCTTCCGAACTACATGCGCGTGCACGAGGACGAGGACCCCGATGAGGAGAATTTGCCAGTCTCGAACAATGACAATGAAACACAAAGCACGTCAATGGAATATCTCATAAAGGATAGCCCTCGGAATAGGTTCTCCCTGAAACGCCTGGTCCCATCCTGGAAGGCCAGTGGAACCTGGAGTCTGTGGAAAGACGGGACACGTGCATTGCTTGAGTGTGCTAGGGCTTTGATTGGATATTTCTTGTGAGTTGTTCCATCTGCGGCTGTCTGTATACTTAGTACGTATTGGATAATCGTTAATTATTGGCATTGGTAGGATGCTATCCGTGATGACCTTCAACGTCGGCGTCTTCGTTGCTGTGCTTTTCGGCGTCCTGGTGGGCGAACTGCTTCTTGGAAGATTCTCTCAGGGAATCCCTGGCTGGCAGGAAGGGACTTGTCATGGTGGATGATTGGAGTTTCGATTGCGGTGAAGTTCTAGCTTAGCTCCCTTTACCTCGCACTGCTTAGCGCTGTGTGGTGACTCACAAAGGGGGCTTGGTGAAATACCTAATTAGAGCTATTGATCCTAGAATGACAATATCATCTATACTTCATTATTTGCCTAATTCCTTTATAAAACAAGGATGCTCATTGATAAAAATAATCATATACCCTCAGCATAAACATGATCGACCTGCTGCTGCTGTACCGGCTGAGTCTCAGATTCTGGTCTGCAAACCATCGATCCTATTCAAACCGACAAACGTTACTACAAATATATCTCTAACCCAAATCTCCGGCATGACATGACGTACCTGGAGCAAGACGAACCATAATCGCCCAAGCCTCCTGACAACTGCAATCAGCCCCATTGACGTGTGAGCACTTTGCTAACGGACGTCCAACCTTAGGGATTCTCTTCATCGGTCGGTCATAGTGTGCACATTTGGACGAGCGGTGTCCTCGAATACAGGATTCACTGTTTCAGGGTCCGTCAGTATGTTTGTCTACCATTTGCTATAGATCCAGACAGGAGATATCTGAGATATCTTACCAAGACCATTTACAACCTTGGGAGTCGAATGGCATATCTTTGGTTTGCTGGTTTAGATATAGCCAAGTCCAAAAATAAATTGTGCCAATGTCTATGGGACCCGAAAATGGAGAGAATATTGGATCTATTCATCGAGTAGATACTAAGACTTGCGGGAAGACGCTATTGAATATGGAGACTACTTTCGCAAATGTGCTCAAATCAACGCCTGAAGATCGGCCGCTAGAACCCTGTCTAAGGATCGACGCCGTACCTAAGCAGCTCCATAATATATTCTTGACTTGCGGAGTTGTGGGGCCCCGTGATTTAATACCCAAGGTTCGGAATGGGGCAGATTTTAAGCTTGATTTTCCTTAGTATATCCATAAATACTATCAACTGGCTTTCTAGACGAGTTTGCTCTGGTGTTTATGTCTCCCTCTTACTCATTTTACTGTGCAATCTTTCGCATTCTGCCGAAAACTAGTAGGATAGGTTGCGGTGGACTGGAATTGGCGAGGGCTACCACTCTGGTTATGAGTCTACAGCCAGAGATACGTATTTAGTTAGCTTTCGACCTCTTGAATAGAATCAATATATACAGTACCGCAAATTAAACCGTTAGTCTGTATAATTTCAGTGCCTCCTGATATATTCTAGTTGTCGCTTAAGCCTTCAGCGTACAACATACAGGGGCTACCCCCAGTCGCGTCGCTTACATACAGAACGGTGAGAGAATCGATGCCACTACCCGATGCTCTCATAATAACAAGGCCCCTTCTTTCCAGGTCTTCTTGCTTGACCATCTTTTTTCGTCTACGGGTTCGGAATCAACCGTCTCTTTCTCATTGAAATCCGAATAGTCAACCCGATTTCGTTGAAGCATCTTTTATTTGGATTCGGTCGCGCCTTCTGGTGCCGAAATCCATCCCCCTATCGAGCTATCTGACCAAAAAGGTTGAAGAGGAGCGAATGCCTGCTTATGATATAGGCCTCTTCTATCCTGTTCGGTTTGGGGATACATTCCAGACTAGGTACCAAGTTATCAGCAAATTGGGCTTTGGAGCGAATTCAACCCTTTGGCTCTGCCGTGACATCGAGTAAATTATAGTAACTTTCCGCGTGCACTGTTTGCTATCTTACTAAACCGAGCCTAGGAAACATCGCTATATTGCCCTGAAAATCTTCATTCACGACTGGAAAAAGAATCGAGAAGTCGAAGTTCTAAGTCGGTTTTCGGAGCTACAAACGAGACACAATGTGAATGGTCTTATTCGTACCATGCTCGATTCTTTCGAAATAGAAGGTCCCAAAGGCAAGCACCAATGCATTGTCTTCGAGGTCAAAGGTATTGGGATCAATTTGGTATTCTAGTCTCCCTTCCGTAACCAAAACCGTTTGGGCATGTCTAAAATATACACAGGTCAATGGAAGGGACAAGTCAGTGTCCCTGAATTATCGTTAGAGGATTCGGAGGTATATCTTGAAGGTGAAAATAGGCGTCTTTTCCTGCAATTTATGCGAAAAATGTTGCAGTGAGATCCAGATGATAGGCAATCTGCCTCTGAGCTTTTGAAGGATCCTTGGCTTAATAGTCGTTGAAATCATAAACTTTTATGTATGTACGATCGACAAGTATATGCACTTTGTGGTTATTTATATAGTTATCATACTCCTGACCCCTGCACTTTTGAAGGCAAGCATACGAAACACTCTAACTCCACCAAACTCCAGATCATAGGTATCATGAACAGGCAACATCAAGGGAAAACAATTATCGCCAATTTAAATCAACAGACTCTCCACACTGCTCGGCATCTTGCCTGCAATCATAGCACTTTCCCCCAACGATAGAGTCGACATTTTGCGATCTGTATTCGGGCGTGACAAGTCCTCAGTTTTAGTACAGATCCAGGTTGATGCGTACATATTCACCCTAGAAAATATGTATAAGCTTCGTCCGTAACGTAACCAAGAACCAAATACCGAAACTCACCGATCAATACATGTACCTGGGAAACGAGCTCCCACTCGACGAGCAGAGAAGCCGTTTTCCTCAAAGTGCTTGATGTACCAAGGGTTGATACTGGCGGAACGGAGGAGGATGCGACCGCCCTTCTTCAAGGCTTTGTTGAAAGTTCGAGCTTGGGCAGGGGCTGAGTCCTCTGCGGGATCGAACCAGTCCATTGAGTCCATTATCTGGTGCAAGGTTAGTATGGAAAGCCCGTTGAGTGCTATTTTGATACTTACCACGGCGATAGTCAGAGTTCCTGGAGTGATACGGTTGATCACCTCGTTGATCTCATCGGTGTGGATGCGAAGGCCATCAAATGCACCAGGTGTGGAAAGCCTGACGTGTGCTTGAGGAGAGAGATAGGTGGGGTGGCATCTGTAATTGCAGTTAGCACGTGTAGTCGAGATATATATAAGAGAAAACGAACCTTCGTGAGAATTTTCCCTGGGCGCAAAGGAAGTAGAAATAGTTATCGTTGCTGATCAAAGTATCGTTGATCACAGGGTCGAGAGTATTGACAACATATTCCCAAATCGATTGGCCGCTGACGTCCTTTCCATTTTTCATATCTTCCGTCAAGCCGTTGCGGCGGAAGAAGTCGTCGACAATCATATTTCTTTGGTTGCGTGGTACTCCAGCAGCCTTCCAGGCAAACCATTCGGTGCTCACAACCGCCCAGTGGAGTGGTCTGCTCATTAGCACACGTCGAATGCGAGGCCATATTTCGCGCTGCTCTGCGAGACTCTGCGCTTCACACAGCTTGCGAACTTCACCCTGGAGTCCGAAGATATTGAAAAGCCATCGCACCATACGGATGGCGTGGCGAGATCCACCGGTCTCGTACAGACCATGGCTAGAGGTAGAGGTGAAGATCTGGGTGTGCTCGAGCCAGTACTGGAATGCCTGGCTGGACAAGTGAGGGCTGAGCTTAGAGATTAGTAGTTCACGGAACTGTGCGTGCTTGCCATCACCGAAGATTTTCCACATATCCCGGTGGCCCAACGCTGAATAACAGGCGACCTTCAGCTCGAGAAGATGGTTCTGGTTAGGGTTCAAGTCCACTGCGTGCACCCGGCGGGGGCTCTTTTGCAGATAATCAAGGATGTTGTCACCAGCGCTGGTGATCGCGAGGATCACGTCGTCTTTACCGATGTTCAGGAGGCGGTGGTCAACTCGCGGGTCTTCCCATGTGAACGCGTAGATATATTCGTTCTGGAATTGAGTATGTTTGGGTAGCATGTCGTTGTAATAAATGCGATAGTGGTGGTTCTGGTAAAAGGACGACGGAAGAGGCAGATTGGCACTCAGGTTAATCACCGCAGACTCATATGCTTTGGAGCGAATCTCATGTGTGCTTTTCACCACTGCATTATCCATCTCCTGCTTGTGATTGGCAGGAAGCAGGTAAGGAGATTCAGTAAAAGATGCATCCAGCCTCTCAATGGATTGACTTGATGGAGTAGATGCCATCTCCTTTGGACAGCCGACAAATATGTAGTAGGGAATACCACCGAGGAAATAGTTTCGTTCGCTGGCAGAGATGACAGTACCAAACTTGTATTCCAGATAGTCTCGGCGGGCAGCTTCCAGACTGACCCGGTCGAAATCAAACCAGGCTCTCCAGAATACACGCCCAAGCCAGTTGACATGGCGGTTGAAAGCGCCGCCAGTATAGTTGCGACAGGACACATCGACAATGCTCTGGACTATACTGAATGAGTGACATTCATGCTAAGCCTCGAGGTATTACTTACCGTAAAAGTCACACACACCCAACATTCCAGTTGATTTCAGGCGGGAGGTTAATGAGTCCACCACGCTGTAATAGTCTAAAAAGTCAATATCAATAGTCTTGCGTGGATCTTAAATACTCACCAGGGATCATTGATAGACTGTAGCTCATAGTGATCAAGTCCACGCCATCACTTGCTGCATTTGTAGACTGCAAATCGAAGTTCTTCCCGGGAAGCTGGAATGACCGGGCATCCTGGCAGAGAACAGTAACGTTCTTCCACCCAAGACGCTCGAAGCGGTTGCGGGCAACTTCGCAGAGGGACGGGGAGAGGTCGACCAGATAAACATGTTTGAAGAACTTGTCCACCGGAAGAAAGGCCGCCATGGCTTCGATGTTGTATCTATCGCGAGTTAGATGTTCTGTATCACCTCGGGGTTTCTTTCGTGCCTACCCAGTACCGCCACCGACCTGGAATCGATTAGCGCTAGCTCGGAAAATAGCAATCCAATACTTACATCCACCCAGACAGCCTTTCCAGCCTTGACTTCTTTATTGCCGACCTTGTACTTCAGCTGTGCAGCCACCAGGCCAAGCATATCCTCTCGACCACAGAGCAGACGACGACGAGTGGCATCGTAAATTGCGGCCTGACACGGTCAGCTTGGAGCCATATCGAAGCACACACTCGATCGAACCTGAGTCTTGTAAAAGCTCTCCAACGCATCTTGCTGGCCTCCAGCCTTCTTATCGTGGGGTTTGAGGAAGTTCGCCCAGATGAATTTCAAGTAAGGTCCAGCACCAGTGTTGGCAACCTTGATGTGCTGAGAGGAGACGAGAAGAACTAAGCCGACTAGGGCGAATACCAGTAGGGCTGCCCCGACAATGTAGACGTGCATCCAATCCATGTTCAATATTCAGAGCGATTCAACGAAGAGCAAGAGAAGCGACCGAGAGATTGAAATATAAAGCGAATCGGCTCTAATTGACCCCTCCCACGGGAAGACGGCAACGTGTAGCACGTTCTATCACAGCAACACATGGGGGGTGCATTGATAAGAGAGAGTGGAGGGGCAAGCGAAGGTACACTAGACATGACCTGCAGGTATACCAACGGGCATGAAGAAAGTAGCTTGTACATGGACCACTGTAGCCATTTGGACTGAACAGTCGATCATCCGAAAGCAGCACCGACCAAACCCAATTGACTGCAAATCCACTCCGATCCAACTCTAAGGGCAATTGGGTTCCTGCAGTAGCTCGTCGTCCCCCGATGTCTGGGCCACTCACAGCCCACTCACCTCCCATGTGGTTCCCTGGAAGTCTTGGCACTGCCCGTTGGGTCCCGTCGACTTGGCCCGTGGGGCATGCCGTGCCCCCCATAGGGCCGCCACCAGGGCCAATCTTCAGGGCCCACGGGCGCCAATCAGATCCCGGGTTGCTAGCACACTGGGAGTTCCCCAGGTTTGATGGGATCTCAGTGTCACCACGGTTTATTATAAGGGCTTAGATAGATCCCGAGGACCGGAGCATCTCGCGATCATATGCGGATTATTAGTTTGTCAATTCAGTTTGTAAATCAATCCGAACTCTTAAACTCTCTCGGGTCAAGTTATATATAAAAGTGTTAGGAATCCATACTTCACATTGGCCTTTCTTACTCTATTTATGTTACTTACACCACCAGACAGGAACCAGCGAGAAATTACCGAGACTACCATGCTCACTCGAATGAATGACAAGTTATCAGTACTAAAACACTCCAATAGCGGCTATCTAGTTGAATGAATGAGCGACACAACAGTAACTATATCGAGTTTAGTTCAACTAAAATGCCGCAAAAAAATGCAAATGGACGAATGCTACATGAATTGACTAAATCAATCTCTGGTTAGTTAGTTACTAGCCCTAGTTTACCAATTGTCTATCACATAGAAGTATGAGATACTGTCTGTGGCGATGTATGCTTCCCTAATCAGGCCTGGATAGTCACCCTGGACAAGGATTTCTGCTCCGTTATAGATGATAGCAGCACCCCTTTTCAATGGCCTATGAAATTTGTAAGATAAGCTGTTTAATCAAGATCATAATTGTCCGAACCTATGTTTGGGAGTATGCATAGTTCGATCCAAGATCCAGGAAAATCTGCTTGGCTGTGTCCTCGAAGCAGTTAGTCTTGGAGATTCCCCCGTCATATATGTTTAAATACACCGTCATATCATCAAAAGGTCTGGATGAATCTACGAAGAGTGAAACCACTTTCGGTACACGAAAAACGGGATATCCATACTTCTGAGCCTGATGTTCTCGCAGAATAACTTACAGTAAGGAAATTGTAAGCATGAAATGACTAGATCAATTATTTTAGCCCCCAAAGAATATGCTCTTTCAGGTTTAGCCTAGGAGCCTCTATGGCCCCACCATTTAGAGTTATATCTAGGGACGCAACTTCAATAGGTAGTCGGCATAGAAAAACATATTTCGAAGGGTACATATAGTGACTTCTTTTATCACCGCACTATTCGCGTGTAGGAATATAATTGATGGAACTCGAGTGCGTACCTCCAATACATCACCTAACCCAATTGTCAATGGCTGGTGTCTTGAGCATGCTACTAGATCCTCAAAAGATGAGGCGCATATTTGGGTAAATACAAGGGTGAAAAGCATGTACAGGATAATTTCAAGTACTAATCTAAAGGTTGTGCAAGAGTCGGAGATCACAACTGATCTACGATCTCCGAAATGAGAGAAAGAAAATGGATTGATACAATGAGATGTGTAAAGGTGAAGAGATTTTATCATTGAGCTTTGAGTAGGCTGCGACACAACTATAGTGCAGACGTCGTTTGGTTGACGCAAAAATAGCCCTTACAGACTAGACCGTCGCCAAAATGTCCTTTGAAGACTCCACGGGTTCCTTTGTACTCCAAATATCATTGCCCGCAGAGAAGAGAACCACTTCATCGCAATGTCGGGAAAGGAGATGTCGATCGTAAGACTAGGGGGTGATGGTAAGACTTCTTTCGTTATTGTCGTAGTAGTCAGTTCAAATACGAGCATAGACACCTGCTATAAGTATCAGTGAGAATCATTGCTCGAGAAGAAGGGTATTGAACAGCAGTAGCTCCAACTCAGCTAGGTGGTGATAGGTCGGGGTTGCAACGATTTTGTGTGAAATATAACGTGGTAAGTCGGCTTGGCAAACAGGATAACGTGTCGAAGGAGCTTTGGTTTGATGCCACAAGGAACATAGGTTGATGATAACTTGAGAGATTGAGGTTTGCCATTTGCGTAGATTCCAAGGGTGGGGTAGGAGACAGGGGTCGAAGAGCAGGTGATAAGTTAGGCATTCATGGGTTGGACTTGGGTTTGGGAGAGTTCCATCCCATTTTCCCTATTCTTTCACCCCTCCATCGAAATGATACGTAAGGCTATCTATCACATGTAATTGGAGTAATCTGTACATATGGGATAAACCATATCTTACCAACTTTGAGTGTAAAGCTTCGTCTAATCCTCCCAATTCTCGCTTTGACCTCCTTCAAAAAGCAAATCTAGCTCATGGGCCCATGCAGGAAGCAACAACCAGGACGCAACAAGCGCTGGAGTCGGATAACCCTGGTCAATCATGACGGTCAAGGTAACATGTAACACATTGCGACGAGTCATGAGATATAATCTTGCGTCTATATATTAGCATTAATGCTGCGGACATTCCAGTATACTCTCTATTGTTTCTATGAGGACCCTTCGAAATCTACAGTCACATACATATACATCAAGACATTTTTTGACCAGTAGCTTGAGAGTTGAGACCCCATGGACTTTCTCGGCATAGTCTCCGAGTGGCTCCTTTCTACCAGGGGTTAGATCTTGATGTTAGGAAATGTGCACACTAATGCCGAAGGGTATGTGGTAGCTCGGAAGCGTTCGATTGTGTATCGTCCTCGCCCTGAGATGGTTTCCGCTGGAGGAATCGGCAGAGGTGTTCGGGAGACTAGGCTGGCCTTTTCTATCATTCAACCCTCTCACTGGGAGTTTTTCTGTGAGCTGTACGCAATAACAAATGAAGAAAAAGGAGGAGGCAGAAGGGGAAAAAAGAAACCATGATGTGCGGGAGAGTACTGAAGTGCAGCTGCATTCCCAGCGCGTAATTCGCTGGCCCCGTCACCCTTGCAAGCCAGTGAAAAATCCCCAATTCTGAATTCGCTTCTACTGCTCATTGGTTTAACCAATATTTACTCCCTGGTAGAGAGGGCATAGCCCCATATGGCTTTGGCTTGCAGGGGAAGAACGGTGACACCCACATTAGGAAGAAGCCTACTTCCGTTTTATTATAAATTCCCCAACCTGCTCCCTCTGTCTCCTTTTCTCTTCGCTGCTCTTTCCTAGTTATTACTGAATTCCATTCCACATCAGTTTCATCTGCAGTCTCCAGTACCAAATGCCACCAATGTTACCCGGAGTACAAGTGGAAGCCTTTTTCAGTAAGGAATGGGCCACCACTTCATATTACAGGCAGGTGATAAAATATCTTACACCAGCAGACATTTCTGTGGTTTTCTACCATGGGCAAGTTCAATTAGATCCAAAGGAGATACGAAGCGAGACAGAAGACCAGCGAGAGGAGAGGATACGCGAACCGTGCCTTGAGGTGATAAAAAGTGACAAGCTTGGTTCAATCGTGAAAGATCCACGCCTCACAGCGCCGTCGTTTATGGGGCTCCAAACAATATAAATTGGTCGAATTCTGTTGGGCCTGTTGAGAAACGAAGAGATTGGTGCGTAATCCTCCAACACACCAGGGCTGTTCCGTAACCTGACGGTCATTAGCTGGTGCGAGTCTCACCTTAGATGGCCTCTACACCTCAACCCAGTTTATACGATTGTTAGTCCACGTGGACACACCAGAAATCACACTAGAAGATGGATCAAAAGACAGTATCAGAGTGATTGGGCAATCATTCGAACTCGATGGTTCAATGTCATTTCAACTTTACTCAATAGGCAACCCGGTATAAGCGTTAAAGATCTCTCAGGAGTAATAACACCGTTGACCAAGCTTAGGAAGCAAGAGCAGACCATCTCCACCGTCGAAGCTGGGTCTCTCGACTGGGAAGCGGCTATTACGGCTCGCCCGTGGCAGGTTACAATCCAGATTGTTACGTGGGCGACACAAAGAGACCCATTGATTCAGTGAGCCACTCTGATCTCCTAGAATAAGACTTTAGTTTTTAACCCACACTAGGGCCTTCATGCGAGTGCCTGTCGACACACCCTCGACTCTGGAGGAAGGTCATCTCCAGATCATCTCTGAAGGCTGGAATAAAGTCAGTGGTATTATAAAGAAGCTGCGGAAGAAAAGCTATTTTGAACAAGCCTAGCTAGGGGATAGTTGAGACCAGGTTGAATTCGCATTCCCCTGTCTATTTTCAATGAGAAGATGTTTCCCATATGCGAGACGCCCTACTATGCGGGATCTTGTAAATGAGACCACGGGGGAATAAGACTTTATGAACATACTACAGTGGGGAAACCCAGACCACCATATAGCTGCACTACATTTCAGAAAGAGAGGATTTTCGGTTTAGCATGTTAGATGGGGAGAACTTAGCACTAGAATGGCCACTTCTGTACAGCGTAGTTACCTCCAGGCTGCCCGTATTATTAGTCAGCAATCACCTTGGCATGATTATGTAAGACTTGGCTGGTCCTTTTGTTTGTTCATCACTTAGACCTGACCTTGTATAGAGGCTAATCTTTTCCCCTCAGTACGCGAAGAGTACATTACTTGGAGAAATGACTTATTCTATCACATTGACGTAAACTTACGGGACTGGAAGGCGACGCGTACTAATTGAGGCTTGGGATGAATGGCCCAATACATACAAATATACAAAACTAGATTCGCGAATGTATGAGACGATTGATTGTATAACTACTTTAGTAAAAATTCACTATACGTAACGCCATTTTCCATTGCTCAGACGCCAGACCCATGGGAAACTACCTAGGCAGAAATTTGGAGATTGCAATGTTCAAAAAATAGATCCATAATACATCATAGAAAGCTGCGAATGACTATTCGTCATCGCTCATGCGAGTGTCCTCATCGGCTGGCTTTTCTGTCTCCCCGTTATCCAACGATTGCTCCTCCTCCTGGGCAACGGGCTCGGGTGGCATATTGCTTGCAAACTTTGGATCGACGCGCAGACGGGTCAAGGCACGCTTGTAGATTTCAGCCTCATTGGGATCACGCATAACTACTTGCATCTGGTCAATCCGTTCCTCGGTCTCTTCTTGTTGGGTGGAAGTGGGAGCGAGACCGGCCTGAGCAATCGTGCGGGCGCGCTCCGGCTTGAGACGGGCCTTGCCTGAGATTGGATAGTAGTAAGCGGCCAGTTGCCTGGTGTCTCCATCCTTGGGCTTGAAGAGCGTCAATGCAATGTCCTTTTGATCGGTGTTGAAGACCTGAGCACTGGTGGCGTAAGTGCGAATGCGATCATAACGGTGGAATTTGGTGCCCTCGGCGCTCTCATTGGTGTATAGGTCTTCGCTGTCTCGGTTCGGGTTGGACAGGTTCATGCTTGCGTCAATGTTCTTAACAGACTGTGGCTTCTCTGGAAGGAAGAGTTGGTAGTCATAAGGAACTGGGCCTGGGTGGGCGTAAAGAACAGGGTTCGTGAGGTGAAGATTCAGCTTGGATTCATGCTCCTGGCAAATACGCTGCTCGGGCGCGACTGGTGTCAGAATACCAACATCCATACGTTTATCCCGCTTGCCTCCGACGGCTGTTAAAGGCGCCTTATCAAACTTGAATTGAAGGTAACCACCAGGGTCTGGGAACCCTTCCAGATCAGGCATCACAGGGAAGAACCCGACTGGCTTCAGCTTCGGGTTGTCAGGGTGGACGGGATTAGCCCAGGCATCAAGTTCTGCCTTTGTGGGTGGAAGACCACGGATGTGGCTATCAGTGTCCTCTCCGACGTGCTTGCTCTTGGGGTAGGCGATATCGAATCCTTTTTGAATGAACTTCTTAACATGTTTCGGGTCATCCACAGGAGGCTTTCCTTTCTTCGCAATGCGCGGTTGTGTTTTAATAGGTGCAGGGCGAGATCCATCTCCGCCACTGCGGTCGACACCGATATGTTGCGTACGGCGGAGGAAACTGACATTGGTATTCCTAGGGGCAGGGTTTCGGAGTTGCTCAATAGTCATGAGAAGGGGAAGGTCAGCGGGATCCATGGGCTGAGGGTTCTCTGGTGCCATAATAGCTGGTGGATATGTTAGTTGCAGCAACGCAATGATAGGGGATTCTGCATTGACATACCACTCTCGTCGCCCAAATGTAACCCCGGAATACCGACTAGATCAATTGGCATTCCACCTTCGGCATCGACTTCAATGTTAGGCTCCTCACGGCGTGCCAGGTTTGAGGCAAACCCGGGGGTGAGGAAGCGACTCAAGCCCTCGTGTGGGATGTCAAGGAACTTGGGGGGCATGTCCGGGGGAGGGAGATCATTGCGATAGCGGAGGGACGCAATGTATTCCTGGTGAAAGCCCCCTGAGGACTGACCCTCCTTTGATTTGGAAGACATACTGTCGTCTTATTTGGTCACGCGATTGGCTGGGTGATTTTGCGCATTAGCAACTCGGCGTACCGCGTGGACTAGGTGGGACGGAAGCTTACCGTAATGGACTGGAATGGACTTGAATGGACTAGGATGAATTAGGATGTTGTCGCCTTGATTTTGGCGAGCGAAAATGGTAGTGCAACTCTATAGTGGCCAGTTAGTATAAGAGCTCGATTCAAAATGGATGTGAGGGAATTGGTCGCAAACCTACCGTGAGGAAAGTCAAGGGCTTGTAGAAAGGCCAGGACGGCGGTAGAAAGCAAAATTGGCAATATATCAGAATCCAGTGGTTCGGCTCGCCAGTAGAAGGGGCTATCCAAACTGGCCAAAAATGGAACTGGAGGAATCGGCAAAAGCCATACAGAGCAACCCCGGAGCTGAGCCTGAGAACCATTATTCTGCCCGGATTCACCGTCTGTTTATTGCGTTGTGGGAATATACGCGTGGAAATACAGAAGATATCACGTGAAAGGACATAAATCATGGAGATGAAAGTGTTGGAAGCAGATAAGTGCGTGCATTTACCCAACCTCAGGACAACAGCTCACAACTACACAGCTCTTTCTTTTAGGTCAACTAATTATCGATTGCGAGATTCAAAGTACTCCATTGTATTAGAAAAAATATAGAAATTCCTTTTCAAGGTGACCACAAAACATGCAACTCCCACGCCGAATTTTCATAATACCATAAATGAATATCCCGAAGTGCTCAGTACGCCCACATGCACTTGTACGCCATCAGCCGGGGACCAAGTCGATCATACTCCAACCTTCCGATCCAACTGTCGTTTGTACCGCTTAGTTTGCCGAAAATACTGGCTCCCTTCCACACAACAACCTGGGGATCGAGATCTCTGGGCGGTGTCCCGATCATGATCTCCTTTGAGAAGCCAGGGCGGAGAGCCTGCAGTCGCTCTTCCAAGAAGAGATGGAACCCGCTAGTCAAGCTGCCTCCACCGACGACCATGATACCGCCGATGAAATCCCGCATCTTTTTCTCGTCTGAGCGAGCGGCGTGGGCAATGGAGGTCAGGATAGCGTTGTCCAGACCGAAGACAGGCATAATATCATCTCGATCTTCCACGGCAGGAGGGCGGGGAGCTTGGGCTACAGCGGCTGTGGCAGCGGGCGTGCTTGTCCCTCCTGCTTGAGGGGTTCCTATATTTTCCGGTCCTGGAGAACCAGCGACAGAAGATCGAGGTGTGCCCTCGAGTTTGCTTAAAGCGTGGGGGCGGCTTGGTGTGGCCTGAACTTCCGGCACCGCCAAGTGAGACTCGCCATTCGTCTTGCCGCGGGGAAGGGGAGGGGCCATGGCGGTCAAAATCTCCGACTGGGCTGCAGAAGTAGGATCATTAGGTGATCCATCATAAATGTCAACAGAACGATCGATCAGGGTCCGTCTCCCGGTGATTTTGTCAGAGTTATCAAAAATAGCAGGCTCAAATACACCCATTGGGGCAAGAAGAACCTCGTCAAAAGCCTTGAAAGTGTACTTTCGCGTATCCTGGCCTGCCACACGAAGGTGGAAGTCAAAGACTTGTGGAGAAACGCTGGCTTCGTTCATGGTGCAGATCTTCTTTTTGAGCTCTTCGGCCAGAAGGAAGTCATGTCTACGCCGTAGGTTGATATCGGCATAGGGGAAATGATCGTACAGCATCATCTTGATGAACGTTTCGGTCACGTCTTGACCGCCATACTTAAGGTTCACTCGAGAGTTCTCGATGCACATGCCTTCTTCCACACAGCAGATTGAAGTCTTCTGCGCTCCGATATCGACGACACATCCCGAGGTGAAGCCTGCACCAAAGGTGGCTGCCAGGCTTTCTTGGATGAAACACACCCGAGCGAACGCAAACTCTCGCATCAACATATCCAAGACTTGGGTAACATAAGACTTGTCGTAAAGATCCGGGATGACGAAAACACACGAATACTGGGTCCAATCCTTCTTGCTCGTCAAGCGCAGTTGATTCTTGATCGCATCCTCCACGATCAATGAAATATCCAGGAAGAGAGACCTCTTGCTTGTGTAGTCCTTCTCGTTGCACCAGCCATTCCGGATTGGCCAATACAGCTTGTAACGAGGTTTCGAAGAATCCGGAACCCGCAGAGCCGGCTTCCCGACAATATACTCTGGTGGGGGATTAGAGAGCTCAGTCCATTCAGCACGCATTGGATCATTGTGTTCAGAGATAATTTCTGGCACGGTTCTGCGGTTATAGTTGACAACCATCTCCTTGGAGTTTGGAAGCATTCTTCGCTTGTTCTGTCGCATGTGCACCTTTAAATCCGCAGACATCTGATTGAAATGAGACGACCACTATCAAAAAAAATTAGTACAAGGCCATCTCGACAAGTTGTACTGGACATACTTCAGGTCCAAAGGCCTTTTCGGGCTCCATTTCAGAGCCATCGTCGTGTTTGAATCTCTTGGGCTTAGGTTCATCATGGTCTTCGGACTCGTTGGTCGCCGATTTCCTCGCAATCACCATTGGCAAGGTCTTCGGCAGTGCGTCGCTGGCAAGTCCAATACGGAGGTTCTGACTGCCCATGTGGATGACAATAACCTTAGAGCCAGCCATCTCGGCCGGGGTCTCCTCCGCATCCTCCATTTGGGCGTCGCCATCTGCCTCACCCTCGCCTTCCGCGGTCTCGGTCTCGGTCTTGGCCATTGCCAGGGCACGGTCGTGATCCTTCGCTTTCTTCGTCATCTTTGTCCTTGCTTCCTCGTTTTGTAGTCGGAACGCGAGATTTTGATCGTCTCGTTTCAGGTAGTCCCTACATAGCGCAATCAGTATTGATGTTATCAAATAGAGCCGTGCGGCAGGCATCAGCCTAGATACGTACGTATAGTAGTTCTTCTGATTGATTGCCGGAATCTGCGGCCAGCTGGATAGTTCCATGTTATTGTCGGTCCGCTCCAGGCCTATGTCAAGTATCAGCTGCTCTGTTCTTGATGGCTGTATTCCAACAGCTCGACCGGACTATCTTACCCTCATCCCGGAGGGCCTTGCCTGACTTCTTTCCAACCATGGTGGTATCGGGTGGTGGTCGGTTGTCTTCAATTGAAACTAATCGCGGCAGATCTAGGGAGTGCGCCGGAGGTGATTGTAGTGGCCCGGTTGCACTTCAGATAGTGAGGGATAGTCGCGTAGAACGCGATAAAGTAAGCAAGACCAGAATATGATAGAGGAAAAGACACAATGTGGTTTTCTAAATGAGAAGCTCAATCCCGCAAGACGATGATCCCCCGATTGACCGCCCACACCGCACTGGCCCATCGGCCAAGAACATCCAATGCGGCTGCCATCAGTGCCTTTCTTCTCTTTCATCTCTATCTCAACTACTTGTACCATACCACCATAGCGAGTTTGTCTCATTCCACTCAATCTATACCATTTACGCGCCCCTCAACCTAAACCACCCTCGGCCCATACTTGCCCGGACACCCTGTGCACCGAACAGTGAACAACGCGCCCACTGGTTAATCTTACACACGATGGGAGGTTCACTATCACGTATCTGGTCCCTACTCTGGTCCACAAAAGAGATTCGCATCCTGATTCTAGGACTTGTACGTTGTGCCTCATCTGCATCCCACGCGGGGAATGCAGGATCTCATTAGTGACACAAGGACCGAAACTAATCAACATCTTTCGGGTATTTAGGATAACGCTGGAAAGACTACTTTGCTGTACAGACTCAAGGTAAGATATTATAGCTTTGAAACTTGGGTTTTCTGGCGCGTTCAAGTGAGATTCGCGGGGCTGACACCTCGTGCCCACAGATCGGTGAGGTCGTCACTACGATACCTACAATCGGTTTCAACGTCGAATCGGTCACATATAAGAATCTCAATCTGAATGTCTGGGTATGTTGTAACCCTCTTTAAGCTCGTTCGGGCCATAACTAACATCCCTGGATTGTAGGATCTTGGTGGCCAAACTTCTATCCGCCCATACTGGCGATGCTACTACGCCAACACCGCCGCAGTGGTCTTCGTCATCGACTCCACAGATATTGAGCGATTAGGGACTGCGGCAGATGAATTAGCAGCCATGTTGAATGAGGAGGAACTTCACGACGCGGCATTGCTGGTGTTTGCCAACAAACAAGATCAGCCCGGTGCCAAGGGCGCAGGCGAGATCTCAGAGGCTTTGAAGCTGGGAGAGCTGCGAGACCGAAACTGGAGTATTGTTGCTTGCTCTGCCATTGATGGCAAGGGTATTAATGAGGGAATGGATTGGCTAGTGGTTGGTTTCTCTCCCGATGCAACCTGCTTGTTTCTCAAACTAACTATGTCTTTACTTGCAGCAAACAATCCAGTCCGAGAATGCATGATTTTCTAGCGTTCTATGTCGGGTTTAGAATTTCATCTTTGATACCTTGGTGTTCGAGTTCTCGCAACTCGGAAGCCTTCTGCTGCATGAGTGCTGTAGCACTTCTTTCCTTCGTCTCTGCCTAGCGGAGTCCTTGTCTTATATTCCTTCATGATTGTCCCGATGTCAGACTTGCGACTTACACATAATTGTTTAATTGAATTATTGACGCTGAACTGTAAAAAAGAAGTGTCAGATGTATTCTATCCGAGTTTGTAGTGGATTATTGTGTTGATATCTCCCATCTCCACCTTCACCCCCGGTCTAACCTGCCTAATCTGCCCAAACTCGAGATCTCCAATATCATATCTTGGCATCTGCTAACTGTTTCTGCTTATCTTTGCGCCTTCCTCACGCCCCCGCATCTGCGATACGACTAATGCCGCCTATCGGAATCAGGTTTCAACTACCGAAGTATTTAAGCCAAGTGTCCTCGTTGAGATTCAGACTTTCTCCAATACGCGATCTCGAAGATTCATAGAAGCAGCAACATGTCGGTCCCCCCAATCCCCCCAATTCAGATCGCTGCTGTTATCTCATCCACAAGTACTCCTGTCTCCACAAAGGTGGGGATCAAGAGCAATCGCCCGGTGCCAACTCCGGGAGAAGGCGAAATCCTCGTCAAGCTCGAGTATTCTGGGGTATGTCACTCGGATCTTCACAGCATCCGCGGTGACACGCCTATGTTGACTGATGTTGCGGGCCATGAAGGCATTGGGAGAGTAGTCCAAGGTAAGAACTATCACTGTCTCTGATCATAGGTCAGAACGTATACTAATATTCGTCATTACCCTTAGTCGGACCGGAAGTTGACGAGAAGCAATGGATGGGAACGAGGGTTGGTATCAGGTCTGTCTCCTTCGTCGCAAATTTCTCATCTGGAGTTATATTGACGCTAAAGGCATTTCCACTATTAGATGGCTCTACAGTTCTTGCCGCCAGTGCGAGATTTGTGAAGTCAACCATACCGTATGCCCGTATCAGAAGAATGCTGGTGCAGTAAGTTGCTGATCACCACAGACTATGTCTTTCGCCATCGGTTCTGTTACTAATTGCATTGGTGGTTTACAGAATGTACCTGGAACATTCCAGCGTAAGTATTCTATCTATCGATGCCATCACCCAGTCCATTGGGGCACTTCTGATACCATGCCTCAGAATATATTGTCAGCCCAGCACTTCATGTGACGAAAATTCCGGACCAGCTTTCGCCAGATACTGCCGCGCCTCTTCTATGTGGTAATGTTTTGCCAATTGGTATTTCGCTAATACAAACGCTAATCATTGTCTCCAGCTGGAATTGCGATGTACTCTTCAATCATGAAGACCAAGACTCGCCCGGGAGACTACCTTGCCATCCTTGGTGCTGGAGGTGGCCTTGGTCATATGTACATTCCCAATTCAGATTTCTATAGCCGAAATGTTTTTTTTTTCTGACGAGGATATTTCTTGCAGGGGAATTCAGATTGCCGCTAAGAAGGGCCTCAAGGTCATTGCAATCGACAGGTATGTGATATCAACTTAACATTATGTGTCATATTTACAACAAGCTAACCCGATGCTTCCAAAGCGGAGATAAGAAGAAGCAACTGTGCCTTTCGCTTGGGGCTACAGAATTCCTGGACTACCGCGATGTCGACATTGTCCAGGCAGTCAAAGACAAGACGACATTCGGTGTACATGCTGTGATCTGTACTGCCAATGGCGAGCGAGCATACGAACAAAGTATGCAGATGTTGCGTCCTTTTGGTACGCTGGTCTGCGTTGGTATTCCCAACAAACCATTCAAACTGCCAGCTACGCCATTCGATATGATTGTCAAGGGTGAGTTCTCAATACCTATGCAACTCAAGACATGAGCCGGTCTGACCAATTAATACAGGCCTTACTATTGTCGGAAACTCTGCAGGAACAGCGGATGAGATGGATGAGATGCTGGCTATGGCCGTAGCCGGCGATGTAAAGGCGCATATTGACATCTTTAACTTGGACGATATCAATGAGGTTTTGGACCGTCTGGAGCGCTCGGAGATTGATGGCAGGGTGGTCTTGAGAATCCCCCAATAGGTACGGGGTATCATAGCTCACTTTGGGCTGGCATATGTTGATGTTCTAAAATATCTATGTTGACAGTGAAGAAAATATTATCGCTTCTACTTAAATACAGCGTATTCGTTGGATCGACATGGTAATTAGAGAGGCTAACAAAAATAGCTTTGACAGAATGAAGAAACTCAAGGAAATGGAAATTTATAAACGCATGATATCTCAGCATACCCAAGTTCATTGTTTGCTAATTACAAGGTGATCGAGTTTTAGGCCTTTATTTAGGTCTTCACTGCATGGAGATACACTTATCCCAATAAATAACAATTTTCTAAGAGTTCCTTGACTTCCCCAGGCCACCTACCCACCCTCGCCCGGAAACCCTTTCTGCAACAACCACTCCCAGGCAACTCACCATTGACCCTTCAAGGATCCCATCCGAATCAGCATCAAGCTCGGCGATAACGTTCAAAGACCCTAGAATTTGCCGATCGGTTCTATTCTGCCACACCGCAAGAATATCATCTGGTTTATTTGCAGCGAAGAACTTCAGGTTGCCGTTCCCATCGCTAGGACCAGTGTCTTTCTCTTCAGTTTGAAGGAGAGACAATGCAGTCTTGGATCCTTTCCAGTAGAATGTTCTGACAGCGCCGCCACCAGTAATCTCAACACGGTAAGTCCTACCAATTCCCTTCCGAACAATATCCACTGAGCAGTGCTTGACAAGATCCAGTCTCTCCTCAGAGGCTGGGAGGTCGTTTTGGAGTGTGTTAGAGCCTACTTGGCGGAAGATGTCTACTGTCACGTGAAGACCGAGCAGACCCTCAAAGCCACGGTAGTGAATGTGCGCACGGTGGTCCTTAGGATCAGGAGATGGATCTTTCCGGCTGCGCACAACATTGCCACCAGAGTAAAGATCAAATGAAGCTGGCAGATAAAGCCCTTGGCGGTACCAGGGGATGCGCAAGGTGTGATATACTGGGCTTGGAGATTGAGCAAGTCCTCCAGAAGGGTGGACCTGAAGGCAAAAGCTGAAGGCATTTGTACCGAGTGGTACCTGTGCGAATTGATGAGAATTGTTTGAATTATGATGGATTATATAGAGACAGCTGCATCCATACCGGAATGCTAACATACATCTTTGAAGACGTTGAATGAACGGTAGGGCTCCTTTGTAAGATTGAGCTGAGGAGTCGCTTCGGGGATAGTATTCGACTCCCGCTGCGAGGGTGCATGTTCTCGACCAGGGGAATCGTCCTCCTCGTCGAAATAGACACGGCCAGATCCCCCCGCTGGAGAGTTGGTTGTTCTTCCTTGGATCCTCATTTTGGCTGGGACAGGTGGCATGCAGCACCGTGGATATGAACGAAGGGTTTCTGTTCGGAGAAAGAGACAAGCTAAAGGATTCGCAACATTTGAGATGCAGAAGTTAGGTTGGTCATTCCCAAGCCTTAGCACTGTTGCCCGATACGAGGTCCTCGTGATCATTGAAGGGAAGATCGTCAGTTAATATATTCACTCATTCTGCATATAAAGCATAGACATTGCTCTAAATATAGGTATAAGAAAATATTTCGAAGCATCTTGTAATCTCTAACAATTATTGAAATTATAACCGAAGACATAGAAGACGAAGTACATCCAGCGATGAAGCTACGTAATGGTACCGCCCTCAAAATTCTGCAGGACCTATTGACACCGCCCGGACTGTGCAGCAAAGAACCCGAATCCGCCCTGCAAGCGAGAACCTCGGATCGTGCTCAATTGAAATTGTAAGTGCTTTATTAGGTGCATATTTATCTGTACGTACTGTTCCAGCCGGCTAGTTTACAATGCGGGTCGATTAGAGCTTGACTAGCTCTATCCACAATCCACTATCAATCGCAAGTACTAACCGCTGTATAGGTTCGATCGGGCGTTGCTCCGGCGAAGATAATTAGCTCTATACGCAACCAAAATGACTTGTAACTCTGCAACAATGGCCTGGAGAGCCAGCGTCCGGGCTCGCGCTCTTCCTACCTCCCGCTTGATCCAACGGCCGTCGGCATTGCTACCGAAACGGGCCCAGCGCTACCCCGGTGCTTTGCGATATGCTTCGGACTCGGCTGCACCTCCACCCACTGAGGCGGCCAAGGAGATGGGAAAGGAAGTTACGCAGGAGGCCGCTAAGGAGATCCCCCGCAAAGCCCGCCGTGGCTCTAGGAAGGCTTTGTACGGTGCCTCATTGGCCTTAACCCTGCTGGTGGGCTACATCTATGGAACGGACACCAGAGCCAGTATCCACAGATACGGCGTTGTACCCTTGATCCGCCTTTTGTGGCCCGATGCGGAGGATGCGCACCACGTTGGCGTGGAAAACCTGAAGATGCTCTACCAATATGGTCTGCACCCACGCGAGCGTGGCGACCCGGACAGTGATGGTGTCCTGGCAACTGAGGTAATGGTATTCCCAAACCTGCCGATGGTCAATCACTGACGAGGTCTTTTACCAGGTCTTTGGATACACCCTCTCTAACCCCATCGGTATCTCCGCCGGTCTGGACAAGCACGCCGAGGTCCCTGATGCGCTGTTCGACATCGGTCCTGCCATCGTCGAGGTGGGCGGCACGACCCCTCTACCACAGGAAGGCAACCCGAAGCCTAGAGTATTCCGACTGCCCTCGCAACACGCGATGATCAACCGCTACGGCCTCAACTCCAAGGGCGCCGACCATATGGCAAAGGTTCTGAAGCAGCGTGTAGCTGACTTCGCCTACGCCGCCGGATTTGGCCTGCACGAACAATCCGCGCAGCGCGTCTTGGACGGCGAAGCCAACGTTCCGCCCGGAAGTCTCGTCCCAGGCAAACTTCTTGCGGTGCAAGTTGCCAAGAACAAGGTTACCCCCGACGGAGACATCGAAGCCATCAAGCGCGACTACGTTTACTGCGTGGACCGAGTGGCGCCGTACGCCGACATTCTCGTCGTGAACGTCTCCAGCCCCAACACCCCAGGTCTGCGTGACCTCCAAGCAGCCGCACCCCTCACAGCAATCCTCACGGCGGTCGTCGCCTCCGCCAAGAACGTCGAGCGCAAGACCAAGCCCTACGTAATGGTCAAGGTAAGCCCGGATGAAGACTCCGACGAGCAGATATCCGGCATCTGCGAGGCTGTCTGGAACTCCGGCGTCGACGGTGTCATCGTCGGCAACACCACCAACCGTCGGCCCGACCCCGTGCCCCGGGGCTTCGTCCTCCCCGCCGAGGAGCAGAAGACTCTGAAGGAAACCGGCGGTTACTCCGGCCCCCAGCTGTTTAACCGCTCCATTGCGCTCGTCGCCCGCTACCGCGCCCTGCTTGACCAGGGACCCCCATCATCTGCGACCAATTCGGATAAGTCTGTCGGGAAGGTGTCTGGCCTTCCTCGGAAGGTTATCTTCGCTTCCGGCGGTATCACTACTGGTGAGGAGGCACGCGAGGCTCTCAAGGCCGGCGCTTCGGTGGCTATGATGTACACTGGTATTGTCTACGGCGGTGTTGGCACTGTCACGCGTGTCAAGCAGGAGCTGCGCGAGGAGCTGCAGAAGAAATAAGCGGTGTGAACTATGATTTTTTTTCGATTATTCTCATTCGGTCTTTGATAGATCCTGTAAATAACACGGATATGCACAAAAAAAGTAATATTCTGCATTCATTTTTCTGATTTCTCGCCCGAAAGATCCAATTGACACCGCAAAATTCTATATGGAACGACCAAGTCAGGCAATACCGAAATAAATGAAAAGGGGAACTCGATCTCGCTCGGAATTGACCCGCGCGAACTACATCAATAGCTCGGATTACTCGATCAGTCCAATGAACCCACATAAAGCAGAGTGGAGGAGAGATACATAGTATCCAAGGCCTATTGAGGTTTGCCGAACCTAAAAAACGCTTTAAAGTCATCTGAGAGGGAAATCTCTGATCGGCCCCGTGACTGAAGAAAACCGGGGAAGTTCTCCAGTTTGCGGGTTTCCCCAGATAGGCTTCCCGGGAAGACAGCCGGTTGAGATTCCCACTTTACCTGTTTTTGTCTAGATGCGCCTTTTTCTTCAAGGTCTGTTATTTATTATTCCGTATAACAATGACAAGGAACCGTATAGTGCGAAACACAATACCGTATACCTGTATAATTGTAGACATGAAATGTCAAGGCGTCGTGTCGAGGATGAGTACCTGGGGCATCATCACGCTATAGCCAGCGTCTCCTCTACCTCACGGACAACCTCCCGCACGCCATCAATTTGATGCGCGAACCTGCCCAAAAACATCCCATCAACCGCGCGACCAAGCCCACCAGCCCCCCAAAGACCAGGTCCGGCACTACCGCCATACAAAACACGCACTGTACCAGACCGGGCACTAATAACCGCCCGGATGCCCTGCACAACAGCAGCAACGTGATCAACACCCGCCGGCTTCGGCTGGCCAATAGCCCAAACAGGCTCGTAAGCAAATATAACGGGCGCGTCGTCCGGGATGGCCGCCAGCACAGTGCGCACCAGCACCGCACACTCGGCCACAGCCTGGCCGACGGCTTGGGAGGCGACGGGGCCGGGAGCTGTCACTTCGCCGATGCAGACGAGCGGGACCATGTGCTGGGCGCAGGTTGCGGCTGCTTTACGGGCGGTTTGATCTTCTGTTTCGTTGAAGATGGCGCGGCGCTCGGCGTGGCCTAGTTCGACGATTGAGCAGCCTAGCGCGCGGATTGAGGCCGGAGAGACTTCGCCTGTGTATGCGCCTTGCGATTCCCAGAAGCAGTCTTGCGCCCCGAGGAGGAAGGGGGGTGGGGATGGGGAGGTTCCGGTTCCGGTGCTGGTGAGGTTGGCTTCGTACTCTTTGAGGATTTGCGCGCAGGGCCAGATGGTTAGGAAGTCTGGGATTAGAGCTAGGAGGAGTTTGTCTCGGTTTGCGGGGTGGACGATCTCGTTGGTTGGGTTGAGGAGTTCGCGAAGGTAGGTGAGTGTGCGGTCTGGGGTGAAGTACATCTTTAGAGAGATGAGGAGGAGCTTCTCCGGGAGAACTGGGTAAGTGGACGCCATGGTGATTGGTGTTGCGAAAGTTGTGTGTTTGGGTGTTATGGAGGGGGACCGTTCCCGTCTGAGGCTAGGGATTCTTGATTCTCGGAAAGTTGGAAAGTCAAAGCCAGGGTTCGAATTGTAATTCCAAGTATTTCCAAGTATTTATTTGATCAAAGGTAATTTCCAGTGTGTCAATGCGCATTAGTGGCATTTATGCGCTAGACGTTCCGATTGTCCATACGGAGTACACGTTATGTTGTATGAGGGTACGGAGTGCGTGATGTCACATGGGCCCGGGCTATAGCCATTCAGAGTACTCAATAGAGTACTCAATACCGAGTCCAATAATTGTTGGCTAGACTGTGATAAGCCAAGCGAAGCCAACGTAATATCTAGTACCCCGTACCCCGGACATAGGAGAATCAAACTATTCCCAGATGGTATTGCGCTTTGGACCTATGTACACTTTAGACATACATACCAAGACTCCTTCATCCCATCTGCCTACTATAGTATAATTAGAATGCAAGTTCTAGGATCATACAGTGCAGATCCAAACGAAAATCCGGAGAACATACATTGTACAATAGTACAAGCCGGAGAACCGGTGGGCTAACGACCAACAACATTGCAGTGGAGTGGTAAAGTGGAGTAAAACACCTTTGCTATGAGGCAATGCACATCAATTATGGGGTTTAGCGTCTTGGGGATAATAAGGCCGTACTTGTGTACTTGTGCATTCGACCATTGGAAGACTAAGTCAGGAGGCAAATTCACTCGTCGATATCCCGCATTACCCTCCAATGTCATGCTCAGCCAGGTTTTCAAAGCATTGAACCTAATTCCCTGATATGAGGTCAATTCAATATTCCCCTCTTCCCGTCTAGGTGACATCGGCCGGGGCCATAGCCATGTATTCGTCGATATACGAGGTGCCCAGACATTAGCCACCAAAATAACCCTGGACTCGGGAAAAGATGAAACCAAAGGTCCCGGCCCTCGGCCTTGAGGCATCAGCATTTAAGAAGCCAGTTGGACCGCCATGCCTGTGCGAAAAGCCACAACCTTCTTGTCAGTCGTGTATTGTAGGTTGCGCTCACCACTGACATCGATGGCTTGGTGTGTGGCAGAATGTGAAGCCTGTGTGTTCCAAGCCAGCGCCAGCGAGGTCTAATAAAACATGCCGGTAATACGAGGTAAGACGCATGTACGGACCAAAACAAGGATCCTAAAGTATCCGACCTCGGTTTAACCTCTTTCTGGCACCGACCACTCACGGCCCGTCGTGGGGTGCTATGATGCTGGGGCGGGCCACCCTGGACGCTGAAATACGCGTAACAATATCAAGGCCGGAACCAGACTATTCGAGTCTCTTGGTGGAGAACGGCTGTAGGTGATTCTATCAAATGCAAGGATTGGCTGGACCTGAGCGGTGGTTGTACGGCTATAAAGGAGAGAGGGGAAGAGAGCTAAGCAAAAAGATATAAAGACCCCTTGTTGTACTCCCAAGTCAAGGATTTCTTTTCTGTGTGAAATCAATCTATTTATCTCTACCATATATTTGATTCAATACATCTCGTATTGTTTGTACATTCTTCATCCTCTCGTCCATACCTCGGTCCTCATCATGTCTACTCCTTTCCGCATCGTCATGGCCTGCGATGAGGCCGGTGTCCCATATAAGGATGCTATCAAGGCCACTCTCGAGAAGAACCCTCTCGTCGCCGAGATCATTGATGTGGGTGTCAACTCATCCTCCGACAAGACTGCCTACCCACACCCTGCCGTCGAGGGTGCCAAGCTCATCATGGATGGCAAGGCTGATCGTGGCCTCTTCATTTGCGGAACTGGTCTGGGTGTTGCCATCGCCGCGAACAAGGTGCCCGGCATTCGGGCTGTGACTGCCCACGATCCTTTCTCCGTTGAGCGCTCCATCCTGAGCAACGACGCTCAAGTCCTATGCATGGGACAGCGTGTCATCGGTGTTGAATTAGCCAAGAAGCTGGCTACCGACTGGCTAAACTACCGCTTCGACCCTAAGTCCGCCTCTGCTGCCAAGGTCCAAGCTATCACGGACTATGAGATCCAGTTCCATACTGCTGCTTAGACACGTCTTTGCTGTTTGTCTCGTCTTACCTGATACCCGAAACACTCCGGATGTCTTGAGAATCCTTCTAGTCTTGTGCCATCTTTGACAAAGCATGACTTGTCAGATTGCACTGACTTGTCTGCAGGATTGTTGTGTCTTTCTTAGTTCTCACAGCGTATGATACCACGAACCGAATGTTACTTCTGCTTCCAAATCAGATTAGAAGGCCACAGAGATATGTATATAGTGAATGAATAAGTATAGTCAACCTCATCCAGATTAACGTATAGAATAGTAGCTACCTCATGTGGCGCAGTGCATCAATTGAGCTGACTCAGACCTTCTGCGGGGATCTATGACTTTCCATAGACCATAACCAACTATAGTGACAGTTGTTTCATGCGCTTTGGGTGAACTCACAAAGATATTCAAAAGGGTACTTACATAGTTACTGCAGATCCAAGACCCTTTAAATCCCCCAGCTGTCATGAATCACAGCAATATCCACTCCGATCACTCTTGAATTTATATGGGGACCGCCCCACATTGGGGAACAGATCACACGGGGAGAAACTCAAGGCCTCACTCACACATAGATCATGGCCCAAGAACTCAAAGCAAAGGGCAATGAGCTCTACAAATCTGGGGATTACAGCGGTGCCGAAGACTTGTACTCCCAGGCGTAAGCTATCACATTTAACCCCTCCAACACTTCCCCTCACTCCCAACCAAAGTCGCAAACCCAACGATCATTCAAATGTCCCCAAACTAACAAAATCCCCTCATTAAACAGAATCCAAAAGAACCCCAGTGACCCAACCTTCTTCACAAACCGCGCGATAACACGAAGCAAACTTGCCAAATGGGCCGACGTTGAACATGACGCGCGAGCCGCAATCGAGATATACGGTCTCAAGAACCCCGTCGCGCTCAAGAGCTACTACTACCTCGCACAGGCACTCCTAGGCCTCCAGCGCCCACAAGAAGCACTCGACGTCGCGTCCGAAGCTTACCAACAGAGTCTAGCAGCAAAGAATGCCCAATCAGAGAATCTGTCGCAGACGGTCCTGCGCGCGAAGCAGCAGATCTGGGCTGCGCGGGAGACTTCTCGGGTGCGCCAGCTGAATGAGACACTGGGTTCTATGGAGGCGCTCATTGAGGCCGATGTGACGCGGGCGCTGGCGGAGTTGCAGGGTCGCTTGGAGCGCGGGGAGATTGGGGAGATTGGGTTCGGGGAGGACCAGAAGGCGCTGCGGGAGGATGCGGAGACTAAAGTTAGGCATTTGAGGGAGGCATTTCGAGTTGCTTCCAAGGGAGAGGTTCAGGAAAGGGTAGGTTTTGAACTTGGTTCTTCGATGAGGTGGTTGTTGACGTTTGGGTTTGCTTCCAGGTTGTTCCGGACTATCTCATTGATGGCATCACATTTGAGATCATGCATGATCCTGTCATTACACCGTCCGGGGTCAGTTTCGATCGCTTGGGCATCACCAAGTATGTCGAGAAGTCGGGCGTCGATCCTTTGACTCGGGCTCCTATCAGTGTCAATGATCTGCGGAACAACTATGCCCTCAAGGCAGTTTGTGAGGAATTCCTCACCCACAATGGATGGGCGGTGGATTGGTGATCGCTCTTCATCTTTGAACTTGTACATTGCCCCGACATTTCTCTTTTATTATCTTTTTCTGGTGCATAGCGAATGATTCCACAGCGGTTGCATTGTGGATATGCATCTGTCGGCGTGGTAAATAATGGAATTTCTGAACCAAATGTTTGAATATGTTAAGACAAACCTGGATTACTCTAAAGCTATCCTTCTCATTCCATAGCCTACGTAATAGTAAAGGCATTGTATGCAAGAGGTCGTATGACCTCAAAATCAACTGGCGAGTGTGTCATCCACCCCACCTCCAGGGCCGTTGACCCCGCCCTCAACCATCTCCAACATCCCAACCATATAAATCCTCTGTTACTGACTTTACCCCTCCTTATACCCAAAAACAAACAATCCTCAAACCCAAAATGTCCGACATCACCCCCTTCATCACCGCCCTGGAGGCTGCCCAGAAGAAAGAAAAGTTCACCCCCGAGGTCCAAGAAGCTGCCGCCGGCATCGACATCGCAGCCCTGAAGGAAGTCTACGAGAAGGTCGCCGACCAAGGCGAGTTCGAGAAGCTCGATGATGCCGCCGAGGCCGAGACCCTCCGCAAGGCCTTCGAGTTCGCCGCCAAGGCTGTTATGATGCTGAAGACCTCCCCCGGTCTTCTGGAGAAGAAGGACCTCTACATCTACTTCAAGGTTGGCAAGGGTGACGTTATGGAGAAGCCTGGCATGTTCGATATCCAGGTACGTCTAAGCTCTGCTTTTGATTGAGCTCGGGAAGCCCCGGACTATAGCACGTTTGGGAGAAGGCCAATAGCTGACAATTCACTCTTTGCAACCTTATAGAAGAAGCAGCTCTACGGTGCTTGGGAGAAGGTCAAGGATTACAGCCCTGCTAAGGCGCACCAACTCTACATTAGCCACGTCAACACCCTCATTTCCAAGTACGGCACCCGCGACGAATAGATGATACAATTGGAAGAATTAGTCTGGGACAATGACTCGCGATCTATCGAAGGAGATATGTTGTGGAGTGAATTTGGAAAGACGGTTATCTAAAGAGAAAAGATAATCGTATTGTCTCAAACCTTTCAGGACGAATACGAATACAAATGCATGCTACCTTCCATGACTCAGTATCAGTACCTCACAATCCCGCCCACTGTATACTACGACAACCATGCGACTCACACCCGTGAACTGCTGAGACGAAAATGCACCAAAATATAGCTAAGAAGACTAAATGCAAAGACAGCGGACTCAAGCAATCCAACTCTCCCCTCGCCAGTCCGGTAGAGCATGCGAAGCAGTCGCGCACCACGGCTCATCACCCGCACCATACGGCGTCAATGGCAGATCATAAGGCATCCGGAACCCGACGACCACCGAAGCCGTCTCAGCGCCCTCAGACACAGAAGGACAATCTCGCCTAAAGCAAGGAACCATCAGCATGTCTGGCATCGGGGATTTCTCTTCCGCTCGGGATTCAGATGCAGATGCAGCATCGCCACAGCCCCCATCTCGGAAAAGATCCGGCCAAATAACAACGCCAATCTCCCAGCTACAAATGCGCACCTCGCCACTCGCATTCGTCGCCGCGCCCCACGCCTGCGTAGACAGATTCGCCGATGACACCATCGCCCAGTCGATGGTCTTCATGTCCGAGTCCCCAAAGCGGATGTAAGTCTTGATGTGCGGGGCTGCGCGGGCGCGGCCTGCTTCGCGCTTTGGGGGATTGTCTTCGGATAGATCGACGCATTGGCCTGGGGCGAGGGTGTCACCTGCCCATTGGCAGAGATGCGGACGCATGTATTGGAGTTGCTTTTGTTGTGTTGCGCTTTGGGTTTTCATGTGGATTGAGCCGCCGGAGTTGTAGCCGTCTAAGGAGCGGCGGATTTCGTCTGGGGTTGGGAAGATTATTGAGTAGGTTGTTGGTTTGGGGGTTTGGGTTGGGGTGAGGGCTTTGAAGAACACGTCTTTGAGCCATTTGTTTGTTTGGCCGAGGGTTGCTACTGAAGAGATCTTGGATATGTTGGAGATTTATTACAGCATGATGATTTTGTGGAGATACGCACCTGGATTACTATGTGTGGTTTCTTGCCTGTGTTTTTCTGCTGGATGGGTATCTGGCTCATTAAGTCTTTCAGAGCAGGCCAGCCCCATAGTGTATCCTCTTCTGAGCTGGAGTCACTGACGTGCTTTTTGGACGGAACACTAGCAATGAGGGCGGCGCGAATAGAGCCGAAGTCGTAGCTATCCAACTGCTGGACCAGCGGGCCGGTCTTTTTAGGTCCATACGCTTTCAGATAAGTGAGGAGATCCCTTTTGAACCGTGCTCCCGAGCCAATTTTGGTGTCTGTCTGAGATCGTGCTGAGCTTGTCTTCTGCAGGGGAAGCAATGGGGAGCGCCAGGCGGCTTGTGTCATATTAGTCCAATCCATATGGATCATGTTTGCCGTGTGAATGATAACTCTGTTTGGTAATTCAGTCAGACCTATATCGGGCTATAGCGATCAAAAATGTGTGCAAGAATCTTACTGAGCTAGGTCATCATGCCGAAGAAGAATCATCATCTTGGAATGATGTGTCCCGAAAGGCTCCGGCATGTAGGCCACAATAGGCTCAACATTAGGATATCGCGAACAGGCCTCCTAGAAGCAGATTAGTCGTCACTTCAAACCCTCGATCAATGGTGAGACGTATTCAAAAGACAAAGCCAACCCGATCAAGTCACGTCGGTGCAAACTTACTTCAATTCGAATCCGATTCGTATCCTCCCTTCGCCACGATCCATGCACAACCTTGACTTGCACCAGACTGCGGACATCCTCGTCGAGCTGCGACATGAGAAAATCCACATCAAAGAGGTAATTGAACTGCCAGCATTCGCGAATCATGGGATCTCCGAGAATATCACGTAGTCGGATGGTGTCGACATTGTTACCATCCGGTAGATCTCGAATATGGGTAAGTTGTACTGGCGAATTGACCAACTTGGGAGGGCGAGCAGTGCCTCCAGTGTCTCCAGTGTCAGAAGTCAATTTCCCATCAGTCAGTTCGGGGCAGCCTCGTGGCAATGGTGGGCTAATGGTCCTTTGCAAAGACGTCAAGGCTGTACTCGCTGAGCCATCATCGGAATCTGATAAGATTTTGGCTCTTTTGGACGGGCGCTCCATTCAAATGTTTCTATGAGAGTGATGGTTGAGTTGATGGAGGTTAAAAGGCGGTCGAGATCGGTGATCACAACAAACACTCAAATTATATATATCGAAGGTTTCCCTTGTAGGATACACGGAAGTGCGAGGTATCCTCTTAAATGTTACGGGGTATATATACAAAAGGCATTTTATAGGAATTGAATCTTTCACCTCATTCTGCATTTTCCATTTTCATCATTGTAGCCGCTTCTAGGTCTCAATGTATTGCCCACTCATTTTATTCAACTATACAATTTCATTGCTCATTCCCAAACAAAATTTCGTGATTGGACACGACTTATTGAGCCGCAAGCTTCTTAATCTCCGCCACAACTGCATCAGTGACCTGCTTCGTCGTGGCGTCACCACCCAAATCACGGGTAAGAACTCCCTGCTCGCAGACATTTTCGACACAGACCAGCAGCTGCTTAGCAGCCTCCTCCTCGCCGAGCCAAGCAAGCATCTCCGAAGCCGTCCAGAACGTAGCCACGGGGTTGGAGATACCCATGCCAGTGATATCAAAAGCGGAGCCGTGAATGGGCTCGAACATACTAGGATACTCCCGTGTAGGGTCGAGGTTAGAGGTAGGTGCGATACCAATAGATCCAGCCAGAGAGGCAGCGAGATCAGAGAGGATATCAGCGTGCTAGTTGATCGTCAGTCCACAGACCTATTTATGCCTCATTCTATATCGGCAACTCACCAAATTGGTAGCAACGATGGTATCCAGACTCTCGGGCTTCAGAACCATGCGAGTAGTCATAGCATCAACAAGCATCTTGTCCACAGTGACATTGGGGAAATCAACCGCAACAATCTTTGCCACTTCATCCCAGAGAACCATACCGTTGCGCTGGGCATTGCTCTTAGTGACCACCGTCAACAGCTTGCGCGGCCGCTTCTGAGCAGTCTCAAAGGCAAACCGCATAATCCTCTCCACACCGTGACGGGAGAAGATAGAAACTTCAGTCGCGACCTCCCACGGTTTTCCGGTGTGAGAACGGCCACCCTGACCCGCATACTCTCCCTCGCTGTTCTCACGGATGATAACCCAGTCAAGGTCATTGGGTCCGCACTTGCGCAACGGGGACTCGGTGCCGCGGAATACCCGTGTTGGGCGCACGTTCGCATACTGCTGGAACGGCTGGCAGATGGCGAGTCTCAGTCCCCACAAGGAAATATGATCCGGGACGTCTTCTCTGGTGTTTAGTATAATGTCTTCAAGGCATTGATTGTGTCTGCTTACCAGGAGCGCCGACGGCGCCGAAGAAAATCGCGTCGTGCTTCTTGAGCTCCTCGAGTCCACCATCGGGGATGTATTTGCCGGTCTTCTTGTACGTCTCGGAGCTCCAATCATAGTTCTTGAACTCCAACTTGAACGTCTTGAGAGTATCGGTCAAGGCATTCAGAGCTGTGATACCAGCACTGATAACCTCTGGGCCAATTCCATCGGCTGGGATGGATGCGATGCTGTAGGTCTTTTGACTAGCGACTGGTGGAGACATGATGTTATGATAAATAAGTTCTTGTTGGAGGTGATTTAGGTGATAAACGGCAGAAGACGAAGCCTTTAAAGGAAGTCGGCACCAAATTCCCGGATTTCAGTCTCCACCTGCAAACTGCCCATAAACCTATCGCGTAGCCCCTCATCGCGAGCTCATTCGACTATAATTGTCGCGGGGTGCGGACGGAGATGCGAATGTCCGGGATGTGCTACACGGCCCCACTCGGAGAAAGACATGTCCGCTTGACGAACAACTTGGTCGAGAGATGGCCTCCAGATTCATTGCTCGAAACAGATTTCAATCCTTAATCACATTGAAATTGCCCTAAGGTACGAGATCTACGCATATGCTCGCTTATAAAAATATCGGAAATCACAAAAAGTTATTGTGAATCATCCATGGGCCATCGGCCACACTCCATAAATCGTTCAGAAGCATAGATGATGAAAATGGCAAAGAGTCTTGACCAGCAAAACTCGGATTGAAAGCAGGGTTTCCGTCAGCCATGTTGCCGAAAATGAGACCAGCTGAATATTGTCCGTTGAAATCGTCCTCAGCAGGGTCTAACCCTCCGGCAAGGTTACCGATATTGTCAGACTGTGAGAAAACAGTAGAGTCGTAGTTTTCTGCAGTGTCAAGTCTCTGGACAGGTGAGCGAATTGATGGTTGAAACGGATGAATTCCGGTAGAGACTGAACGGCCTTGGTATCCATTCGGTGCTAAAGCTTGAGGTCGAACTGGCGTGAGATCTGTATCGCCAACCTCATTATTTCCATCCCGAACCGGCGGCGTTGCTATCTGTTCATCCATCGATGACGTGGCTTGGGCACAGGGTTGAGTTGGTCTCTCGGCGCCGTTCAAGGTGGCAGCAGCCTTGGCGGATTGACCACCATTTGTTTGTGTCTCAAAAGCAGATTCCATACCCTTGATCGCCTCGATGCAGGTCTCCGGCCAGCTGCTACCGCGCAATGATAGGTTTTCCAAGATGGCAATCCCCATTCTCGCATATTTGAGAGCAGTCGGCGTAGATAATTCCTCTTCCCACGCAGCATACATCAGAATAAGACAGGCCATCCAAGTCGACCATGTAAAGCATGGCCACGAGAGCGGAGATTTGGGTTCAAAAGACATGTGCTTTCTCAATGCCGCAAGTATAGACCGAGAGGATCCAATGCAAGTCTGCAAAGCGTTCTTGTAATCTGCACTGGGCTTTTCAGAGGCTAAAAGAGGTCGGTTCAGCGAAATGACAGCTTCGTGTCTTAGGATCATCAGGAGTAGCCGATGATATGGCTGCAAGATCGGCTCTTGCTCTAGACCAAATTCTGCGGGCTCATTGATGGGATTGACATCATCATAAACTTCATTCCACCATTGTGCTAGCTCTCCAGTAACATGAGCCGCTTCGACCTGGCTAGCATGACTATGGAGAATGGATTTATTACGAAGTTCAACAATCAAACCTCGAATCCGTGCGAATCTCGCAAGATGGCACAACAACCGCAGTCTGTGGCCATCTGGGAGCTTGACAGTTGTTGAAGAATGTCTTTCGGCATCGGGATAGCACACGTCGATGTCGTCATCTCGAATAGAGAGCGGAATGCCAAGGGCCTGAGAAAGATATCTTTCAAGGGAATAGATGGACCAGAACAATCGACAACGAATATCGGCTTCTTCGCTGGTAAAGCAAGAAAAGCGTCTTGGGCAACGATGCAACCCGAGGTGGAATGCAGTGCGGGTGATGACACCCCCCACCCGCGAGGCGGCATTCAGGCGCAAAAGAGAAGCAAGTGCAAGTTGAGCGGTAAATGCAGCTTGTAGCAGTGGCAAGCTAGTCGGCTCTTCAAGGAGGCTTTGTACATCTTGCATCACATGTTGAATGGATCGAAAGACCAAGACCGAAGGAACGGGGCTAAGCTTCGATTCAGACGACGTTCTCTGTCGATTGTCACCCAGAGAAATGGATACGATGGAGCGGAGAATCATCAATTCCAATCGGTTGACCGACTCCGCTCCTTTTTGACTGACTGTCTCTATAGTTTTCAAGACAGTCGGGGCGTGGAGGCATGGGAAGATTGGATGCCAATTTTCGAAATAGCTGCGTGTCCACATGACAAGATCGTCGAAAGGAAATGAGGCATTGGGCACAAAATTTAATTCTTCTATCGCCCACAGCTCATCCGAGCTCTGAATGCTTCCTGGATTTTGCTGTAGCCGGTCGTCTTCCCCTGGCACCGAGGTTTTGTCACGGGCTCGCGTTTGGTCCAAGTCCGCTGAACGACGTGCGAAGGCATTGTAGACATGGCGGATAAAATGGATTCCACTTGAGCTTCCAAGGAAGGTCGCAGATCCGTCATTTTGAGATTCTCTCATAAATCCAATCTCGCGAGGCGAGGGCCCTGAGGTACCCGCGCCTGATGTGCGCTTGTGTCTCTTAGTTGCACGAGAAAAATATGGCCATTCAGCCTCATTGTCCTCGAATCTCATACTCGCAGGTGAAGCCGAAGCCATTATTGCTGTAGTTTGTGTATCACATTTTTTGGATGAGATCTTGAAGTCAAGTTTTGGGAGAAGTCTCCAGGGCTGGCGCCCAGTTCGTTATTACGTCAGCAGCGGGCTGCACCAGATCTATAAAATTGAAGAATTGAAGATTGATTGAACAATATTTTTTTTATATTAACTGCTTCATCGCCATCCCCTATCGAGCACAGAGGATACACCCTAGATAGTGATATCTCACTCCTACGAGTCGAACAATTTAAAGCTACATTCTCAATTATGAGTGCACTATGCGCGTGATGCACAAGGGACGTCTAGATCTGAGGAATTCCTCTCCTTGAAGGCACGAATGGAGCACCTAGGCCATGGTAACACGCGTCTTTCACAAAACTATAGTTGTGATGTTCTTCTCGTAACTTCTTCCACGGACCTTCCCCTTGACCTTGGAAGACTACAAGGCATCCAGGTACCACTTGGGTTCTCTGCTGATCGTGAAATCGTCAGGAAATTTAAGGGAATGGTCATGAAAGCCACCAATATTCTGTAAGCTGCCTTTAACATACCGAGTATCTGTTTACTGGTATTGGCAATAGATATGGCATTACCCTTACTGGACGCAGGCTTAGCGAAGAATTCTTGCCTGTGCGTATGCATTTGAGCAAGCTAAGCTTATCGTGAGACAGAATGAGAAAAGAATTATGCATCAAGCCATATTTAGGTAGCCAAGAGACTGAAGGAAGGCTGGTAATAAATTGCAATAAAAAAGGAAGGGATGGAATAATCAAGTCAATAAGACCAACAATCGGATGCGTTATGACGACCAATTTGCAGGGATTTTGAACAACACGATGATAGAATTCGTTCATTCAAAACAGAAGCAAAATCAATGCTCCGCACGCCCCTTAACAACTGTTGTATTAGTTGTCTTCCTGATGAATATGGTGATCATCACGTGCCTGCTAATCCTACCCGGAGGTTTCTTACTCCGAGACTTTCACCCAACAGCAACATACATACGGAGTACACCCGACCTTGATAGCCTGATCTTGCATTAGTATGTTCGGGGGCTCTACATGGGCATTGCATAATCCCGGGATTAACAAATGGCGCAATTGCGATCGAAGCGGAAGGCCCCTGATGCCACCATGCCAGGTGTGACCGGAATACCCCAGATAAGAAGTATAGATCGACTGACTCTAGATCTCATCAGAAGAGAACTTGAATCCGATTTCCTGTGAGCTATGCAGACAGCGCAAATGCAAAGTATGTTATTCATAAAGTACAGCAAGATAAGTGCTGACCATATAGTGTGACCGCAAACTGTAAGACCAAAGCTCTCACCGTTTAGTTCTCTAGTCAGTCTCATTTCTAATTACTTGTATCTCGTTAAGTCCGTTCTGTTCCCAATGCGCAGGAGATGTATCGAAATGCATCTACCCTGAGAGTGGTAAAAGGCAAGTACCCGGCCTACATGTATGCAGGTACCCGGGAAGCTAACTCATTGGCCCAGGGGCTTACCGTTGGGATACTTGAACCAATTGGAAGAGAGGCTGGCAGAGACCGAGTCGGCCCTTTACGGAGCTTTGATGGCAATGCGTTCAATGGGGCAACCAATAGTGATTCAAACCCCAAAGACGGATACTTTGCTCAAGCACAAGGCAGCTCGCATGAAAGAGTGGTCTCAGCTTCCCCTCCGAGAATCGCCCGATATGGAGCGTTGGCTGACGGTCATGTCGGACCGGTTTACCATTGAGCAATCAAGTGACGTCGTTTCAGACACACCGGGACGTGGCTACGCGGTTCCTATGACTCCTAGCCATGATAAATCACAGCCCTCGGGAGATCAGCCCCATTCCGGACTAGTTTCATACGCATGGCAAAAGGACAACAGGGTCAGTTCGGTGAGTTCGTACGATGCTCATCAGCCCCACCCTGGGGTGATAGCTTCGCAGGCATATTTTGGAGACCAAGTCGCGGTGGGGCCTGAATCAATAATGCCATCTCCAGGTAGTTCCCGAGACGGAATAACTAGCGTCGAGGATGCTGTGGGTATCTCGGTGGATGCCAATGCATCTGCAGGGTCGAGCAAAGCGGAGGAGCTGTCACACAATAACCCGAGACTTTACTTTTAAATTGATGTGTTCTAAACACAACACAATACTATTGAAGCTTCTGCTCCTTCCTTATAGAGCCTGAGCGGCTTATCTGTAACGGGCCAAGCGATTGCGGAGCTATGGTTGTGTGTCACCACATCACGTGTTGTTTGGAACCTTTCAAGGACGCAAAATACCAGAATGGCCTTGTCGAGTGAAAGCAATACATGATCAAGGCGCAATTCCAAGGTTCACAGCACTACACGACATGCAGTACCTCGCATACCATATGACATGATAAGGCCCTAGCGGGGCTCACTCCACTCCACACATTTTTCACGGTGGAGTCTGAGATGAAGGACTTTAAACACCAATACTCCACATCCACCAGTCACTTAGAGAACGAGCACACCATCTCTGTGATTTGGAAGTTCTCCAAACCCTCCGGACTCGGTCAGCTGCAGGCAAGCGCTGCACTAAGACCCCTTGACCTGAGTTCATCCAGCCAACCCCTCTGATTGGACGTCTACCGGGCCAAATTCAAGCCAAATGGGTCACGGAGCACAGACTTCTTTGAGCATAGAACTGATACAAGTGGTTGGTGAAACGCCCGTGCCTTCAGACTAAGAATTCGGACCTGCATCCGTTTCAATTATATTATTTTCGGGATATTGTCGCATCCCGCTGTATGTGTCATGCTCTAGGGAGGTTGTTCATATCAACTCAGGGCCAGCACAGGACCCGTGGACACGTCGAACACGAACACGTTGAACACGTACGCCCTCCATACCCAGGCACATATCCGACCCTGGAAGATAGCCCTGGAAGATGGGGCTGGAACCAACTCGGGGGTTCGGAAGTACCTGTACGGAGTGCCCCCTTCAAGGTCAACCAATATTAGGCGTAGTTCGTATACCGTAGAATGAGGCAAACGATCAAAAGTCTGGATGAACCAGTCTGATCGTCAAGAACAACTGGGCCCTGAGAAGCCAAATATTCTAGACCGAACTCTTTGATTGGGCTCCATCGGCATCCTTTGGGTGTCCTGCGACTGGTCCAGGTGAAATTTGGTCAAACGCTGGTGTAGCGCCCATAATCCCCCGTAAGGAGGAAACCCCCTCTCTTTCTTCTTCCAACCTCCTTGGGATTGTGTCCTTGTTCCTTCATTCTCTCCTTATTCTTTTATTCTTTAAGTCCTAGATACAAAGCGATCTGAGATCCTGGACTCCTTTGATTTTTTTATTTCAAACACATTCCTTAAGGCTGTTATTCTCTACATTTTGCTGTGCGAAATCAAGAGGACCCGACATTCATTTTCTACTGTGAACTAGAATTCGAAATTCTACACACACTTCGATCTGATACTGGACATTCCAGTTGATCTGACATTCTTTCCGCGATCGTCTCACCACGCGAGACTCAACGCATCCGATCGCAAAGAGCGACCAGACTCCAAAAACGAACGAAGTCGCACACATTGCATGTGTAAAATTCTAAATCAATTTACAACCACGCTGAAACGCACCGTTGCCATATTTTAAACTTGACCAAATTTACAAATCATGTCAACCCTCACGAGAGCATTCACCCGGCGCAATAAGCGCCCAGAGGTGTCTGCACCCATGCCGTATCGTGGCGAAGGGAATCTGCGACTCAACTCGGCAAGTATAAAGCGCAGCAACATATCTGGACCGGTGCAGCTCTTGTCTACGACCAACATGCTGGCCTACAACGCACCCGATATCAGCCCAGGTTACTCTGCCGGCTCTTCATCTGCCTCGTCACTAGGATCGCGCGACGACTCCGACAACGCATTTTCTCCGCAAAGCTACGCGTCTTCGGTGTCCTCGCCCGATGTCTCCCCTCATGGGAGCTCTCCCATTGATGCAAACCCATTGGCGTCGTATTTCCCGAAGCACACGGCCTCGGTGACAAGCCACCCGCGCTCCTCCACGTCTTCGTCAAATACAGATGCTCCGATGGTGCCTAAGCGAGCTCTGTCCCACACCAAGCGGTCACACCAGGAGCTCGCTCACAAGCGCTCAGTCTCGAGGATGTCCCCGCCGCCGCTGAATGCAGCGCGCACCACACCGACCATTCGTGCATCACAGGAATTCTTCCAGGCCGAGCCGCATCCATTCGGAAAAGAGCTAGAGCAGGTGAACGAGGTCGTAGAGGATTTTTGTGGCCTTAATATGCACGATGACGAGGAGCGGATCCTCTATGCCAAGGGGCTCAAGAAGTTCTCCGTCGAAGATTATCTTGTGGAAGTTGAAGAACTGTACGGCAGCATTTTCGAGGACACACGTGGGCCTATGACCACATCTTGGTTCTAACGTAATTGCTGCGCCCCCGGTTGATCCGGGGTGATCAACGACACGAGATTGCGGACTTGCAAGGGACTGGATATTCCTTCGCTTGACCCGCCAAGACGACCAACTCTTATTCTTTCTTTTACGACTATTGCCCCTTGTTTTACACGATACCATGGGAGGACCTTGTGTTCCTGCGCTCAATCTTGATTTTTTGAATTGATTCATGCCATTTTTTTACTTCTTCCCGTATTAGACGGTCTTTTTATCGTTATGCATTGATGTATCATTTGGATTCAACTGCTTCATACCGTACTTGATGATGGTTCTGCGGTCTTTCAGGGACTTTTTGGGAGTCTTATGTGATGTCTCGTTCCGAATCTCAAATATGATCCAATAAACACGTTCAAAACTACCTTCCAAGTCGAACAAAGTAAGATGTGACGATGTAGTTCTACAATCCGACAATGAGTACATGATGACATAAGTCAATATTACCTAATTAGGTATAGCGTAGGGCTCACCGACACGGTCACGGGTGTCCGCCGGGCTCCACAAGTGACCGAAGGAAAAGGAAAAATTTCACTTTGCTTTGCTTGGAATCCAGCAACTCGACCATTCTGTCTGCATCCGATTTTATCTATCTCAAACAACTGGACTCCCACGGATGCAGACAGACTGTTGCCTTTTTCTCCTATTCCAATCTGTAGCATAATCCTCAAGATCTCGACGTGAAAAGTGTCGTGTGCTTGGATCAGTCTTCGATAAGCTCCGTTGAATTGAAAGTCAACTGGATTCGATTTCTGCCAGAGTGCAGAAAAGCAAATGTCGACACCGGTTTCTGCCTAGAACCTGTCCTACATCTCTTCTTCCGCACCTTCGGCCATGGTCTCCCTAGCCACGACTTCACGCAAACCGGCGCTACTGGTCACACCCACGATATCTCGATCTAAAATGCTTCCGGCTTCTTCTCCAGTCCCGATTCTCAAAAACCCGAAGGCTCCTCCTGTGGTCGCCGGCTCGAAACGCAAAATTAGCGAGATGGACCTCCCCCTATCCCCGTCCTCATCCCAGGCCGATGACGCGACAGAAGCCCTTCCTCCTACCAAGAAGCGACCCCGCGTACAGTTCGATCAAGATGTGAAGATATATGAGGATACATCGTCGGAGAAGAGTCTGACATTCATTCGAGAAGAGATGCGCCGGGCTATCCACCGACATGTTACGATGTCAGAAAGCGAGGGCTACGACCGAATCAAGGGAATGTTTTCTGCCGATCCAACAAAGCAAGACGATGACAGCCTGCTTGCATATGAATCACCAACACACACATCTTTGAAAAACCACCTTCTTGGTCTGATCTCGCATGTTGCCTCCTTGGACCGCTCCTGCAGCGGACTGGTCCATGCCATCATCAACAGCGAGTGGCTCGGACGGGACGAATCCTACGTGAAGCTGTATATCCGGTTCCTGGGCAACCTTGCCGCCGCACAGGGTACCTTCCTTGGTCCCGTCTTGAAGATGTTAGCCACAAATCTCGGGTCCATCCCTCGAAGACGCGGTCGACTCCCTGGCTACGCTGTCGTGACACCATCCGAAATGCATACTCGAGTCCACATGGCAATGCGCCATGTGCTGCGGCTCATCCCGGCCGGTAGTGGGTCACTCTCCCCGATTTTGTCTGCCCAGTTTCCCTTCGACACAGACCCAGCTAGCGCGAACATTGCCTATACCCGCAATCTCATCCACATCATTACTTACGCCCCAGAGCTTCAGTCCGACATCCTGGCGCTTATTACCGAGAAGCTTGTCAAGGTCGACGTTGAAATTCAGGTTGATATGGAGGACTTTGAAGAGGAAGTCGGCGATGAATTTTTGCATGAGATTGATGATTCGGATGACGATGATGATGCCTCGGTTTCCAGCGAAGATTCGGAAGAGGACGACATGAAGGGGCCTAAGAAGATCAAGGATAACATTCTCAAAGTGGACGGGATGATTGACATCCTCTTCGAATACTTCTCACCCCCGTTCACCTCGGGCACCCTGGATGATAAGGAGAATGCGCTAGACCTGCTCCTCAGTCACTTCCAGACGATCATCCTCCCTACATACCGATCCCGTCACTCGCAATTCCTCTTGTTCCATTTCTCCCAGGCTTCGCCCGTGCTCGTGGATCGCTTCGCAGCCACATTTGTACAGCTCATCTTCAACAAGCTGCAGCCCAATATCCTGCGCCAGTCAGCAGCCGCATACCTGGCCAGCTTTGTTGCCCGTGGTGCCCATATCTCGGGAGAAGTTGTTCGCGACGTCTTCGATCTCCTCCTCACACACCTCAACAGCCTACGTATGGACTATGAGGACAGCTGCCGCGGGCCCGATCTTCGTCGCTACGGACCTTTCTACTCCACCGCCCAGGCTCTGCTGTACATTTTCTGTTTCCGGTGGCGCGATCTGACTACCGCTGCCGTCGATGGTGATACTGCGGCTCAGGTGGACGAGCTTGAGCCGGGCCAGATCGCATTTCCTCCCAACATCAAAGAATTCCTTCACAAATGCATCTACTCGCGATTGAACCCGCTCAAGGTATGCTCGCCGGCCATCGTCGCCGAATTCGCCCGTATCGCCCACCACTTCCAATTCCTATACGTCTACCCTCTCCTTGAGACCAACAAGCGCATTCGCGTTACTGCCTTCAGGAGCATTTCCAATCTCTCAGATCCTCGCTTCAACCATGTCGGCCGCGAGATCCGCGCCGGCGATCATCTCGGCTATCAACTGGATGCATACTTCCCCTTCGATCCCTACCAGCTTCCCCGTAGCCGTCGCTGGTTGGAAGGTGACTACGTCGAGTGGCGCGGTATTCCAGGTCTCGACGGGGGAAACGAGTCAGACAGCGGAGTTGACGAGTCCGATGATGAAGACGGCGAGGATGCCACCGAGACCGACGAGGAGTGAATTTGACACTATCTATCTTCCTCGAATCAGGACTCCATGTTTCGTTCGTTTTTTTGTTACTTCAGCGTGGCGTCCGGGATTTCCACCAATATTTGCGATTTGATCTTTTCTCTTCAACTTTTTTTTTTTCTCACAAAAAGTTCCCGATACCTTATGACTGACGATATCGTTCTTCTTCACGGAACTGTCCGGTGGAATCCTGGGAAATCTGTGCCTCGTGTACTACCATAGTGCTGATAAATCTAGCTGTTCAAAAAATGGGAAAATAATTACATGAAATTTCGTGAACTCTTCTAACGGTCTAAGACCCAACTGCCTTATAAATCACATGGCTCTATACAAAATCCAATGTACATGAAGTCATATCCATGGTCAGATCTCACCACCATTGTGATTCTTCCAACTGCCGGCATAATGATGCTGGACCAATGAAGGACCAGTCACATTCACATTGTTGTAAGAATTCGACGACGCAGCGAACGAATACCCCGGCAAGATCAAAACATCATCGAGTAAAACGGGCTCCAAAAGATTCGAGATACTCGCCATATCGATCGTCTCATTGCGAGCCAATTCCAAGCTCTTCAAAACCCCGCGAGTCAGTCGCCTCGGCCCGGTAAAGTCGATCACATTACCCGTCATATCCAAAGTCAACCCGGAAACCGGAACCTGATACTCCTCCGTCTTCTGACGAATGCCCTCCATAATATCATTGATAACCATGAACAGATGCGGCGATCCAGGCGCCGCCATAATCGTCCAACTCTCAAACTGCCGGATGAAATTCTCCCCCCAGCCCACATCAAACTCCCACCCAACAACCAGCCGAGCTTTAGCACGCATAGTCTCGGGAATCCATTCTCTAATGGGTACATCCCCACACGAGACATCCAGATCAGCCCAGATGCCCCCTTCGACGAAGAGAAGCAGATAGCGCAGGAAATCCGCCTTCAGAATCGGTACCGAGAGAGAAAGGTAGGCATCGACGATATCGGGACGATCGCCGAAGTTCTCTTGCACATATTGATCGCCCGTGAGGTCGGTCATGATCTGCGCGCTATGCGCTGGGTTTTTGTGGAGACAATCGTGCAGCCATTCCTCTGACTGGTCGCTCAATCCTTTAGGTCCAACTTTGTACCAGATCTTCTCTGGGATCCGCGGCGACGCCAGCTGGAATCCCTTTCTAGATGGATCATATGTAGGGTAGCTTTCTAGTGTTGCTTCTCTCAGGGGGTGGTAATAGAGGATGAAGAAGAGACATGATAGGATCAGTATGCTTGCGGTTGAGAATTTTGTGAATGTCCGCCCCTGAGCACGCATGGTGACGGTGTGACGGTGTAGAAGTAGAAATGGGTTCCAGAGAGGGAATAATACACCACTCTATCAATCCGGGAAATGCCGTGGGATTAGTTAGGGTGCTGATGAGAGATTGAGATGTCCATCACGATATTCTTCTCCCCCTGACTTTTTTTAGGACCCTATTTTTAAGTGAGACCTCATTTCATTAGGACCCTTAAAGTCCCGATTAAGCGACTGAATCACTTGGAAATTTGAAATTGGTCCTTTCTATTGGCTGGTTGGCACAATTAATCTCCACCTGTAACTCTTGAGGCTGATTTGTGTAGGTTTCGAGTTATCTGCCTTGGATATGGCCGGATTGTTTCTCCTTCAATCCACAGTGTATGCATTCTATTCCGGATCTTCTCAGATGATCAAATCCGCAGTTCTTGGAGATACATTCTCGCAGCCACCATCCCATCCTCCACTTTGGCCTTATCCGGTCCGCTCCCCATACTTGTAAGACCCTTTCCACCCACGACTTTCGCAACCTGTGCAGCCCATTCATTTGCCACCAGCCTATTCGAGGTGTGTTTCTAGTAATATAGGTTAAAACAGCACATTCTGTTCCTTGAAACAAACTTACCGGTGAGACAAAGCACCCCTGGGCAACCCTGCCAGTGGCACCTACACCTATGAAATACACGCTCTTGTCGTCGTGGATAGAAGAGACATGCTTAATGGCCTCCGTGATAACTTTGGCGGAACAATCAGTCGGGAGGTTAACAACAAACGAGGTGCTGGCTGGGTTATCATCGATGACGGTTGTGACATGGTTGATGGCAGCATCGACTTGACTTCTCTGCGTTTCTTTTTGCTCTTTCATCATCTCTTTGATGCTTCCTTCGAGTCGCCTTGCAAACAGTTTCTTGTCCAAAATTGAGATTGCTGACGTGGCGAGTTCGGCCTGTGCCTGCTTGACAAGTGCCTCCTTCTCCGGGGAGATAGACATCTGCTCCATACTCACCAAGTGCTCTTCAAGACGAGCTGCATTCTGTCGGGCTTCTTGCACCTCTTGACCGGTAGCAGCCGCAATGCGTCGGACACCTTTTGCGATCACGGACTCCTCAAGCAAGACCATATCCTTGATCTCACCGGTCCTGTCAACATGTGCGCCTCCACATAACTCGACACTGTAGTTCCACCAGTCCTTAGAAGCATTGTCAACCAGAGTGTTGACAGGGACTCCGATAGAAACAACCCTGGTTGGATCAGGGTACGTCTCACCCACAATAGTGCGTACACCATCAATCCGACGTGCATTCTCCAGTGTGACGTCCGCCACAAACACCTGCCGATCATCTTTGATGTAATTGTGACAGATCACTTGAACCCTTTTAAGATCCTCCTCTGTGAGGCCAGATTTATGCGAAAAGTCGAAGTGTAGTTTCTCTGGTGCGACGAGTGACCCCCTCTGACAGACTTCTCCGCCTAAAACTTCTCGTAATGCGAAGTTAAGGATATGAATGCCGGTGTGATTCATGCGAATCAGTTGCCGCCGCAACTCGTCATATTCAGAGATCACCGTGTCACCAATCTTCAAGATGCCGTACATCATATAGCCAGTGTGTAACACGTAGGCTTCATATGACTGCACATTGCGGACATCAATTTAGCAACATCGTCGATGATTAATCGTCCAGTAACGAAAATTTGACCGCCAGCTTCAGCGTAGAAATTGGTCTTATCGAGAAGGACACCAAACTGCGTGCCATTTGGGACATCAGACGTGCTCGTCATAAATGTCTTACCATAGTATAGCGCCTTAATAGTTGACTAGATGGAACCTTTCCTATACTTAGCCACATCATCTAGTTTACACATGCCAACTTTATTCTCTAGAGCAGCGAGATCGTGAACATCGAGCGTGACGAGATCAGATGCACTCTTCTTTTCGCCTTTGCTAGCCTCTCGGGCCATCTCTTGGGCGGCGGACACTTCGTCCTCGTCAATATTCAGACCTTACTCTTCGGCCATAAGCTTTGTCAAGTCAACCGGGAACCCATATGTGTGATATAGTAGCCACCCGTAAGCTCCGGGGAGGTCCTTTGAACCACTCTCATGACACTTCTGCGCATATTTGCCAAACGTCGCTTCTCCTCGGTCTAGATTTAAAGCAAAAGCTTCTTCCTCTTAGTCGAGGATCTCCTTCACGGTCTGTTCATTCCTTCTGACTTCGAGAAGATATCCCCGATCTGTTCGACAACTGTAAGCACAATCTTCGAGAAGAAAGAACCGACTTTCGCGTATCGCACACCACGTCGTAAGGTTCTCCGTACAACGTAACCGTGCATGTGCGGACATGGTCGGCCACAACACGGTAGGCGGTGTCAATGCCATCATCTTCGGCGCCAAACTTTCCTTGGTATGGACGAGCTCCTGTGATTTCTTGTATCTTTTCAAAGAGAGGGGAGAAGAGGTCTGTGTCATAATTCGATGACTTGCCTTGTACGATGGAGACCAGGCGCTCGAAGCCCAACCCGATGTCGATATGCTTGTTCGGTAATGATCTCAAAGACATGTCTGCCTCCCTGTTGAATTGAATGAAAACAATATTCCAGATCTTCACGACGTCGGGGTCATCTTGGTTGACCAGATAAGCGGCATTTCTTCAGATATAATGCAGCACTCGGCTTTCTGCTTCTCGACAGTTCCTTAATATTGTAATAAGTAAAGTAGGATGCCTAAATTTAACCTACTATTATGTGTTGACCATATCTAATGCAAGTATGCGCCCGGAGATGTCCAATCACTCTATATCGATGCACATCGATTTGCATTGAGTCTAGCGTCGGCGGTTAAGCAACCAAGCCCTAAAATATCTGTGTTTCGGCTCGCTACATGCACGCTTGTATCTTTGAGGCATTGTCATTCGGAGTAAGACCACATAGTTTCAACCGAAGAAGTACATAGAAAATAAACGTAGGTTAATACATCGATAGTTATGCAGCTCACCAAGAGCATAAATATCAATACGGGTTACATACTCCGTAGTTATGAACCAAATAGAAACTAGGTCAAGCCACGGGACTACTCTAATTAGCCTAAAGAACTCTGATTGTAAATCCGACGAATAATAGTGCTTCGCTAATAAATTCTTTCCAGTCTAGTGTTATCCAGCCGAACGTGGCCTTCATTCATTGGATATGCTAACTAATTGCATGCACACCACAACTAACCCTTAACCCCTCATTGGGTAGACCGATACCGGAGGAAGGGACCTCGGGAACCCCTCACCCACAATGCGCGCTCCCTTGTCACTCCACTCACTCCCTGTATCTGCATTGTACTTAGTGCAACAGCCAATTCCAATCGTTACAATTGCTAAATGTGAGTGCTGACTTCTCACCTAATCAATCACAGTCAGAGCTAAAAAAAAGCAATTTCAGCGCCACAATCAAATCATGGATGAGAATATCCTCCAGCCACATGCCTCAAAAGGTACAGATCGACAGGGCAATCTGAAACTCTACAATACTTTCTTTCTCCGGATGATAACAATTCTCAGTGTGGACCACCCTCATAACAAATACTGCATACCTCTCTGGGCTTTTGACCCTTGAGTACTCTCTCAGAAAGGTCGGGTCAAAGTATCCGCTTGTCGTGCTCTATACGGACACATTCCCTGCCGAAGGCCACAAAGCCCTTGATTCCCGGAAAATCTTGAAGCGCCATGTACCGTATCTCCTGCCGTCAGCTCCCAAGGATTTCACCAACGATGTACGATTCTACGATTGTTGGAGCAAACTCACACCGTTCTCACTTGTTGAATATGAGCGTGTCGTACAACTTGACAGTGACATGCTAGTCCTTAAAAATATGGATGAATTAATGGATGTCGAATTGGATTCACCAGAAATGGCTGGAAACGGAGATCGAGTCTTTGCCGCTAGCCATGCTTGCAGCTGCAATCCGCTTCATAAACCTCACTATCCCGCAGACTGGTAAGAGCAACCTTTATTTGGGAATATACAAGCGCGACATACAGTGCAGCTAATTCGATAATTCTGAAAGGATTCCGGCCAATTGCGCATATACTACGCAGCATGAAAATCCTGACATCGCGCAAACCGCCGGTGCTTCACCCACTTCAGGGTTGGGGATACCCAATGGAGGCCTTCAGGTGGTGATCCCAGCTCAGGCAACCTACGAGAAGATTCTTGCACAGCTTGGTGCTTCTACAACATCGAATTATGATTTTGCCGATCAGTCCCTTCTCGGTGACCTGTTTTATGGTCGCTGGGTTGCACTCCCGTACATATACAACGCACTCAAAACCTTGCGGTGGGAAGGTGTACATGACGCTATATGGCGCGATGAGAATGTGAAAAATGTACATTACATCCTCAGCCCGAAGCCATGGGATGAAACTGGACCGAGCCAAGACCCATCGCACGCATGGTGGAAAACATTGAATGAGAAACGGTTGAGCGAGGAGCAGGAGACAGGCTTGAGGGACGAATTTTGAGTTGTTTGTTCAAAAACTTACAAACCACTACTCTCGATTTGTTACATTCAACATTCATCCACCAAATACCTCATTCGGTGGGCTCTTTAACCAGGAAGATTTCCTGGTGTGTAAATACTCGTTTGCTTGGCTTGTCATAGTAACACGATATGACTATCCTTGTGTGGCCACTCAGAGCCTCTTGAAGACCTCTAGCGGAATTACTCATCGCAGCGAAACACTGCCTCTGCAAAATTCAGCACTACATTAATGCAAATATTCCATTTTCCAATTGAGAAGCTCGCAGAATCTGTAATAGTAGTTCAAATGAGAACTTTCTCTATAATCGCGTTATCATAAACCAACCAACGCCTCTTTTTTAAATGGAAATAACCCCCAGTGCCATAACTGTTTGTTTGCGAATCTGACTATGGCGCTAACCAGTAGTATCAAAAAGACTAGTGAATAAACGACATGCAGATATTGAGGATCGTTAACATACATATTTTGTCCGTTTGGATGATTCTTTCTCTAGTCTAAAGGTGTTGTACACAGTTTGGAACCCGCAAGCAATGAAAAACCGACAGGAATCTCTGTCGTAGCACAGATGGGATTATCTTATTCCTCAGCCGCCAAAGCCCTTTTATCTCGCACATCTGACTGTAGAATTTCCTCCTGGCTTTGACTCCCTCGCGGACGCAGTTGGCGATTTGTATACCTCAACTCAATGGGAACATAGCTAAGTCTTTCTGATTCATTCCGAGAAGAGCCTCTGAAAAGCCACGGAAACAGAAAACTTAGCGGCCGGCGCATCATAGGGAGACACGCACAGATTATTCCCATATTGCACTCCACGAGAGTCCAGACTGAGCGAGGGATGAAATCCCCTATAGTAAAATTTGATCAGCAACTGTTCTCTGCATTCCCTTTTTTCGAGGCTCCCAAGATACTCACAGCTTTGATCTAAGCCAGTCGATGTTTGAGACACTGCAACCGTACGCATGATACTAGTGACGCAGACACTATGTACACATGAGACTCCTGATTAATGCATAGAGAAGAGAGGATGAAATGATACATACAATGCTCCAACACCGAAAACAAAACACAACCCAATCCGGTCGCGCTTCGAGAGCTTCAGGTGGCGAACTGGGGGAATGGGGAGAATGGCGATCAGAACGTCAGTAACCGTGTTAATTCCCGCAAATGCATACCACCAGCTATCTTTGTCCACGCATTGTTTGACTTTGATATTATGGTTCCAAGAAGCTTCGATTGGGATACACTGAAAGATTGTGACGAGGACTGATGCGACTGTCCATGCGGCGATGACGGTTAGGAAACCCTTTCCCACGCGCTGGAAAGACTCTGTGATAAATACTCGGAGGTAAAGGAGGACGATAGAAGCTTTGGTAAAGCCGAGGGCAATCTTATATGGAATCTGGGCAACAAAAAACCACTTCGGGGAGTGTTAGAGATTTGAACGAGCATTAGCTACCGTTGATATCACTGCACCTTCAAAGCTATATGTATACCCTCTCCCATATCTGCTTTTCGCCTGCCATAACCATGCACGACGGCTGGAAACCAAAGGTCAGCTTGTGACTAAAAGACCCGCCATCAGATGTCTTTTGACTTACCTAAATTGACAGCAATTGTTGTCATGACCGATGCCGCTAGGGCGATGACGAGGAACAGATCATCCCAACCGAATTTTTTCAGATGAATCCTCGTTGCTAGCCGAATGGTAACAAATATGGCCGCAGTGAGCACCATCACAAGCGCGGTAATGAAAAGCACATGGCCCCTATCTGGGACACCGTCAGTTGTTTGGCCATAAAATGTCATACTCTGGATAACATTGTCAAGCCAAATGGGGTTGGATTAGATCGGAACGATCATAGGCTATAGCCAATGTGCATTTCATGAGTACAAAGCGAGGAGAGAGAGCTGTCTCCGTGAGATCAAAGATCAAGGCTTCCAGTGTTCCGCGAGCAGGCATTAGATATGACCTGGGACGGCTCATTGGGGGCCAAATGGAGACTTGAGACAGCGAACCCGAATCAAAGCACGCCAGATCGACTAGGGCTTACCTCTACAGGCTCCATATATATGCAAGCCCCACTTAGCCATATTGACGATATATTAAATGCGTCAATTGATTTTCAACACGCGGTTTCTCTCACAGTCTATTTTCCCTCGATTTTGCCCCTCCGACTCAATCAGGGATATATTTGATCATGCGAGTAATATGGCTGGCCTTCGCAGTGGTTGCCGTAGCGCGACAGGCCCATGTCGGGTCGAATGGAATCATTCAGGGCCATGAGGCATCAAAGAATCCAGGGGTCACGGAATGGCTCGGAGTTCCTTACGCGCAGCCGCCTGTCGAGCAATTGCGATTCGTACCGCCCCAACCTTACACGCCGAGGGGTGTTCATGTCGCCTCAGAATATGTATGGTCTCAACTTATCCCTTACACCCGAAGTGCATAAAATGTATGAATGTCTGACATGAACGTAACATAGGGAAAGTGAGTGCTATTTGCGGTGATTGTATTCTACTTTCTTTAACAGCAATCTACAGAGACTGCATGTACTCGGTGTCGAAGCTGGTCGACTATCCCGACAAAACTCCGCAATTTGACAGCATCTTCGAGGCCTTCGCGGCTATAAATAACAACACTCAAAGTGAAGACTGCTTGACTCTGAATATTTGGTCAAAGCCAGACTCAAATCAACTCAAGCCCGTCTATGTTCATTTTTACGGTGGTAGTAAGTTTTTGCTACTTATTTTCCAATGTCTTGTTTCTGATCCATGTTATAGGATGGACAAGTGGCACGACTGATACTCCTTTTTATTATGGAGGCGGATTTGCTGGTACTGAGGATGTAATCGTTGTCACGGTCAACTACCGCATGAACATATTCGGGTTTCCTGGCCTGCCTGGACACCCTCCTAATCTTGGTCTACTAGACCAACGTCTAGCCGTTGAATGGGTGAAGCAAAATATTCGTGGATTCGGGGGTGATCCTAACCGCATCACTATATCTGGCCAGTCTTGCGGAAGTGCTTCTGTTGATTATTGGGCGTACGCCTACCAGTCCGAACCCCTAGTTACCGGTTTGATCTCGCATTCCGGCACAGCTCTCAGCTTCCCAACAAACAATAGGACAACTGCAGCGGAGCATTGGTATACTGTGTCTGCCCAGTTAGGCTGTGGGTCTTCAGGGGATGTTCTGCCGTGCATGAGAAAGCAGAATGCGAGTGCCATTCTCGCCGCTGCTAGTGCAGTGAAGGTTCCGACTACAAACCCTGCAAGGAAATCCCCGGCTTTCCAGCCCACCGTGGACGACGTGACTGTTTTTGAGAATTACACTCTTCTTTCGCAGCAAGGAAAATTCGCCCGCATCGTGAGTGGGCTCTCCTACATCTCAAATATAGTCGATGGGTCAATGTAGCTACTAACCATATTCTCCAACAGCCCTACTTGGTCGGGCACAACGCCAATGAAGCGGGATTCTACAAGATCGCGACCTACGCCCAGGGATCGACACTGACAGACGAACAGTGGGATGATTTCAACATGCAAACATTCTTCTGCCCATCCAATCTCGAAGCCGCACACCGAAGTCGTCGACATACACCAGTTTGGCGCTTTCAATACAACGCGGACTGGGAGAATACCCGTCTTTACCCTACCAGTGGAGCATACCATGGTGTCGAATTTAACATGATTTTTGGAGAATCTGCTGAAATTACTGGGATTGCTGAGTCTGATGCGCAGCGCCAGCTGCAGGTTCAGATGCGATCCGCCTGGGGATCATTCATCGCTGATCCCGAACACGGACTGAAAGCCCTGGGATGGCCCAGTTATGATCCTGACGGTGAGTCCACACTGCTTCGATCGAGATGATTTGTTCCTTAACATTATTAGCTTCGACACTTGTTGAAATCGGTCTCGATAATCGTCCCAGCGTGTCTTTTGTAGGCACGGAAAACTCTGCTCAGCGGTGTGCAGCTTTGCTGGCGCAAATATGAGTATTGCTGGGGTACCAGCTGTTTTCATGCCTGTCAGTGACCAAGAAGTGGCGGAGGTTATACATACGCATTGAGGTAGTGTCTTTACCTGTGGTCAAAAAGTGGCATGAGATGAGGCACTACAATGGAAAGGAGGAGGTTCCGAGTGATATTATTTGGCACATCGTACATATGTAGGCCGTCCTTTTGTTAGCATATAGGCGTTTTATGTTTCCATCTCCGCTTGGTTTTAAAGTTGCAACTGAGGTGGATACATGATCCCAGCCAATGCGATCGAATGCAATTGGATAAGTCAGCTACATGTACACTTTATGTACGTTGTAGACTAGGATAATAAAGTTATAGTAGGATAAACATATCAAAAACGCTATGTAAAGTCGACACCATGAATGGTTCAAACGCCAAGGTCAAGCCCGCAGTGCTAAGAGAAGAAAACATGGGAAGATTGATAGTCAAGCAAATCGATCACCGGTCAAAGATAGCCTTCATATCCGCACAGGCATCGCGGTATAAAAGGTCCACGCGATTTTGGTCCCGCCACGGATTAGGTGACTTATCCCACGCATGCCGGGCTTTCTCAATAAGCATGGCGCGAGGACGTTTACCGAGGCTCTCTAATCGGCGAACGAAAGATTGACCCTCCTTCATCAACATATCCCATTCGCAAATAAAGAAAAAGACGTCGCGGGGAAGAGCTTCAGACAGGATACGGTCAGATGCGTGGATGGGAGATGCATAGGGGGATATACGTTCGTCCAAATCAGGAAGATAGGCCTCATCAAAGAGTGTGGTGAAAAATGCAGGGAGAGTCTTGTCCGGCATCAGACTCATAGCGCGACGGTGATCGCGAGATTCTTCAAAGTCCAGAATCGGATACCAAGAGAACAATGCAACGATGTGAAGATCGCCGACCTGACTGAGCAGATTTTGCGTGGATTCGGCTCGACCCAAATGTTCCTTCACTTCGGTGGATATTCTGCCACGCAGTCGCAAGGGCACCGTGACAGCCAGGTTGCCGCCTGCCGAGAACCCGCTCAACGCCACTCGGCTCACATCCAATCCCAGTTCACTGGCATGTGTTGCCAGGTACAGTAGGGCCTCGACTCCGTCGTCTACTGCCGCAGGAAAAGGGTGTTCGGGGGCTCGCCGGTAGCCGACACTCACCATCACGGCGCCGGTATCCTCCAGCACCATTTTCGCCCAGCGAGAATCATCGGTAGCAGCACCGAGCGTGAAACCGCCTCCGTGGAAGTTCACAGCGACAGGGAAGCGATGGCCTAGCCTTCGCTGCTCTGGATAATCCGGTGGACAGTAAAAGTGGAGGACGACCGGATGGCAATGGGAGTCGGATATCACGGTACGGGTGAATAACGGTCGGGGTGGGCGCGGACCAATCTCGTGCAAGAACATGCCAATGCGCATCAGAAACCGCCAAAATATGGCCTGTACATACAGCCACCAACGAGACGAAGCCATGATGCTGTAGTGAAAAGTAACGGATTCGATCTACTGATCTGGCATACGCATCGGAGGGGCCCGGAAGCCGGCGGTGATAAGAAGATAAGACGGACAGACGGGAAGACCAGACGAGATATCTGACATTGGCCGAGAAACGAAGAACAAAACAGCCAACTGATACTAACGAGGGAAATAACAATAACGAGAGAGAAACCGTTGGAGTAATAGGGAAACAAAGTCGTAAGTTCGAAGCAATGGCCAGTTCTCCCCAGGGACCACCAGGCCCCATACCAAGAAAATCTGGATTCCTTGGTTTCGGATGATGTCATCACACCTTTTCCAGCCCTGTGGCCGTGTGCAGGATTTATAAGTTTGGAAATTTACGTGTGTGTTTTGATTGACTCTACTTCTTTCAACTCTTGGTCTGTCATTGTATTTGGCTCAATTTGTTCTAATTCACGTGCGCGTTGCCTGTTTTGCTATCGGACTCTTTACCCTCTAGGCCTTCCCAGAGTTGAAATATTTGAAATCGCCCGTTCCGGCGCAGCCCCCCCCCCACCTTTCCCATATATATACAAAGTCCCGAGGTCCCTCCTCTTTCTCTTTTTTCTTCTCCCCCTCCCTTCATAAACTTAAGCACATTATGTCGATTAAACGTGCCCTCTCCAAGGCCATTAGGGGACACTTGGGAAATGAGGATGACTCTTCCGGTTCCAACGTTCGCTCTGCTCTGCCATCAAAAGTTCGTACCTCGACAGATCGGTCCGGTTCTCCTACCGCATCCCCTCGTCGCAGCATCATTGGCAACTTCCTCCGTGATAAGAATGAGTATATCTCTTCGTCTGATGATGTCTCCGACGACTCTTCTACCGGTGCCTTGAGCAAAAACCAACAGAAGCGGTTGGTGCGTCAGCACCGTCGCAGCGAGCGCAGTCGTCTCAGCGAGGAAATGTTCTCCGAGACCGACCATCGCCGCAAGGAAGAGGAAATTGCCAAATCCACAGCCGAGGAGACGCCAGAAATGAAAGCGCGTTATGGCGAGCTTCCTTTAATGCAGTCGTCCGTTCGAACACGAGAAGTGCGGACTCGGCTCGATGACATAAGTCTTGCCATGGAGGGACAGAAAGTGTTCTTCAGCGCACGACTGCACGTCATCCGTCGAATGAGTGCCAAACTGGTGTTCCTGGTATTCCGTCAACAGCTAGGTACCTTCCAAGGTGTTTTGCATGAGCGGGAGGGAGCAATCTCTCTCGCCATGGTCCAGTGGGTGGAGCACCTCCGGGTGGGCTCTTTTGTGACAGTCCGCGGCACTGTTCAGAAACCGGAGGTTCCAGTGTTGGGCTGCTCAGTTCATGATGTCGAGCTGGCCATTGATTCGGTTCACCTCCAAGTTCGCCGCGAGGAGCCTGTCCCCTTCAGTGTTTACGAGGCAGAGATTCGGACCACCGAAGAAGAAAAGATCGAGGGCCGCCGCAACCACATCCCTGACCGGACACGTTTGGCCAACCGGATTCTCGACCTTCGCACATCAACCTCGCAATCCATCTTCCGTCTTCAGTCCGTGACATGCAATCTTTTCCGTACTTCCCTTGACGACCGCGGCTTTATCGAAATCCATACCCCGAAATTGCAAGGCGCTGCTACCGAGTCTGGATCGAGTGTCTTCGAAGTCAACTATTTCGGTCGCCCTGCGTTCCTCGCTCAGTCTCCTCAATTGGCGAAGCAGATGGCTATCGCTTCTGATTTCGGCCGCGTCTACGAGATTGGTGCTGTGTTCCGTGCCGAAAACTCCAATACCCACCGTCATCTTACAGAATATACTGGATTGGATCTTGAGATGGCTATTGATGAGCACTACCATGAGATGCTTGAGACACTTGATGCTGTGATTAAGAATATCCTCACGGGCATCTACACCAAACACCGCCGCGAAATTGATCTCATCAAGTACCAGTTCCCCTCCGAAGATGTCGTATGGCTGGAAAAGACGCCGATCATTCGTTTTACCGATGGTATCAAGATGTTGAACGACTCGGGCTGGTTGAACGAAGAGGGCAATCCGCTACCTTTTGACGAGGACTTGGGTACCCGTGATGAGATTCACTTGGGTGAGCTTGTCAAGGAGAAATACGGCACTGATTACTACGTCCTCGACAAATTCCCTCGTGGTGCACGTCCCTTCTACACGATGCCCGACGTTGATGACGACAACTTCACGAACTCATTTGACATGTTCATTCGTGGGCAAGAGATTGTCTCGGGTGGTCAACGTATCCACGATCCCCACATGCTGGAGGAAAACATGCGTCGTGTGGGCATTAACCCGGATGATATGGAAGACTATCTCGAGGGCTTCCGCTGGGGTGCACCACCCCACGCGGGCGCCGGAGTTGGTCTGGAACGTATCATGATGCTTATCCTCAAGCTGGGCAACATCCGACTGACGTCAATGTTCCCTCGCGACCCCAAGAGTTTGCCAGCAAAGCCTGTCTCTGAAAACCTCCGCCACCCAGAATCATCGACCATCGAACCGCCGTGGCACCATGAGCACAAGGCTCGGACAGCTTCGGACGTCAGTGAGCTGCAGCCTCTGGAACATCTGGTCGCTAACTACGGCGATGCCACATCAACCTCCTGGTTTGATGAACGCTTCAAGATCTGGCGTGACATGACTACTGGTGCAGCTGTCGCCTACGTGCCCAGCTCCTCCAATTATGCGATCATTCCCGGTAACCCAGCCTGTGATCCCAAGCAGTACACACGCACAATTACACAATTCTTGCAGTGGCTACGCCGCGAAACCAAGTATAAGCCCGTGTGGATCCTCTGCTCGCCTGAAGTCGAGACTATTCTTGGCGAACGACTAGGCTGGCGCAGTTTGTCTTGTATCGCCGAAGAGCGCATTGACCCATCGCGCAACCTAGCCGCTTCTGACGGCGAGATTGCACGTAAGCTGCGTCGCGCCGAGACCGAGAACGTTAAGCTAGTTACTATGAACCAAGGCGAGATGGTTCCAGACGATATTCGCAAGAAGATTGACGACCGTATCACCGAGTGGCTGTCCAACCGCAAGGGCGCGCAAGTGCATTTGTCCCAGATTCGCCCATGGTGCGACTTCGAGCACCGTTGGTACTTCTACGCTCTGGACAGGAATGGCGTCGTCTGCGCCTTCGTCGCTTTGGCAATGCTATCTCCTGCCCATGGTATGCAAGTCAAGTACAGTCTCGATTTCCCCGGCGCGCCGAGCGGTACTATCGAATATATTGTCACGCATGCAATCCAGACCGCCGCTAAGAGTGGCGTCAAAGGCCTTACATTTGGCGCTGGCGCCACTGCCCAGTTCACCGCAGGTCACAACTTGCAGGGAACCAAGGTCAAGATGTTGGAGCACACCTACGAAGCCCTCGCTAAACAGTTCCATCTTGTGCGCAAGAGTGAATTCCGTGCTAAGCTCGGCGCCACCGAGGATCCGCTCTACATTTCCTACCCGTCCCACGGCCTGGGCTCTAGGGGTATACGCGCGATCCTCAACTTCTTCGAAGACTAAGCTTAAGATTAAGCTACGTTATTTGTATCAATGGCTGAGCCATTCATGGAGCTACGATTTAACGGGAGTTTGTGATCTTGTCCTTTGATCTAGATGAGCGTGGGCTTATCTTGAATAGACTGGCATAAATGCCAATCAGGTTTCTTGGAGACGCATATAGAGAGGAAAGAAACGGGGGAGAGTTGATTGGCCCTATACGTTGGTTCCTGCTGCGTGAACTTTTGGTTTTTTTTTTTTTTTGCTTTACCCTTGTCCCTGTTGCGTCTCATATACAGTGCTTATATCTTTGGCTTTTCCCCTTGAATTCCCCATTGCCCTTGCTCATCCTGTATCCAAGCACACCTCCCTATGTATCTGACTTTGCGACCTCGACATTTAATTGTTCTGTTATGTTATCTGGATTTTGCCTTTCACGTCTATGTCATTTGGCCTTGTCTATAGTTTTACTCTGGCTACAAAATCTTGCCCTTGTAACTAATGATAATGTAGAGTCCATGATAGTACTTTTATAAGATTTTTACTTAGATGATATTGGGTATTCTCTGCATAACTCGGCTCCCATTCATTCCTCGTCGGTGGACATCATTAATAACCTTCGTTGTCATAGTTAATTACCTAACATTCCCGTGGACGCCATGAAGTATTCCCAGAACAGTGAGGTAGTCGCCAAAAGACCACGTTAGGTTCCAACAGAGGAACAAAGAAATATATTTCAGTTGTTTTCTTTGCTCGGTTAGATAGTTCAATCGTACATCTCCAAAACACACACAACCTTGGAAAACCACAACCTCATTTCTTCTTCATCTCTTCCAAAACACTTTGCCTCCTAGCATCATCCACAGCCCTCCCAACCTCCTTCACAATCCACCTCCCCAGCACTGCCGCGAGAACAGCAACAAGTACAATCCACCCAGCAGTCGGCACCAACGAGCGCGGGAAAACATTAAACAAGAATGGATCAAGAATCAAATCCACCGCCACGGGTGGGACATTCTGCATCAATGCCTGATCTGTACTGAAGTAATCTGCCGCGGCGTGCACATGCAGAAACAAAACCGAGTCACTCGTCGGCACAGGGTCGAGCACATCTTTGCCACCGCGTGCGTTGGCACTGTGCGGGATGACATTTTCTTGGATTGTGTCTGCTGCTGCGAGTCGGGCTGCTGTGTACATGCTCAGGGAAGACAGGAGGTTTTTGTCTTCGATTGTTTTTGAGAGCGGGTAGGTGGTGAGGGTGAATGTTGTTGGTTGCTAGGGGGTTGTTAGTTGTGTTTATATACGGTGATGTGTATTACATGTGTAAAAGATGACGATCGAGAGGGAGGATTAGTGGGTTGTCTTACTGTCGCTAGCCAGCACACTCGTACTTCATACCGCTGGCCCGGGTTCAGGTTTTCAAGGAAGAACCACGAGTCTGTACCATAGGGGGCCGCAGCCGTTGGGAATGAGGCATTTAGCTGGGTTCGCACCACGGGTTTCTGTGGTGATAGACGCTCTAGACCTAGGTCGTCGAGGTCTGGCTGCTCGGAAGGGACGATTGCTGGTATTGGTGCTAGAAAGATGGTCTTTTCCACGTTTGCTTGCGCCACTGCTGTGAAGAGCGGGAGCATGAGTCCCAGGGTGGGAATGAGTTTTATATGCATGATGAGAGACTTGATGTTCTGCTTTGTAATATAGGGAGTTTTTTGGTGAACGAGATGATGTTTTAGTGATGTCTTATTCTCGGCCCATGACGAGACTCGGGCAGTTTTTGACAATTGTAGTGCTAAGAGTTCAATTAGTATTCAAAAGTTGAATGTGCAATGTTGGAATGTATATACTGTACCGAGGTGTTTGTCTTAGTACTTTGGCTATGATGGTCGAATGGTGGTTCGAGGTGGTTCCCCCTAGTGGATCCTAAATCGATAGCTCCAACAGCGTCAGACCACACACCCTTGATGAGTTGCCCTGGGCACTTCACTGGACAAATTTGGCAAACTTCGAGCGCCGAATTATCTTAACTATTCAAGCTTGAATTGTATTCTTTTTTTAATATCCACATGTCACAAGGTACTAATTATATCACGTGGCATCACGAGATCACTACGAGGCGGTCAGTAGCCGCTACTCCTCACCGGGGAGGAGCCAATCAAATTGCCGGACGCGACCCAACGAACGGATCAACAACGAACTTCCCCCTGTACAGCACAGACGCCTCCTCCTCCACAACATTTCTGGTCAACTTTGTTTTCCTTTCCATCTTCTCGTCCATTCCTCCATTCTTCAGGTACGAAGCCCAACCCCGCCCCCTTCCATTGTGCATCTTCGTATTCGAGCCTAACTGAGAGTTCCAGACCGTCGCGTTTGTTGTTTGGGTTTCATTTTCCCCTCCCTGATTTTTTAGCCTGAAAAAACATCGACTCGATCACAATGAGAGAGATTATCAGTTTGAACGGTATGTCGACGTCGTCCATCGAGTCTACTCGGCAGACTTGATATATCTTCTTCGATGAATGCGCTGACCGTTCTCTACAGTCGGCCAAGCCGGTTGCCAGATCGCCAACTCCTGCTGGGAGGTAACTATCCACAACCCATCGAGGAACAAGTATTCGGTAAACTAACAGCATTGATTTTTTAGCTGTACTGTCTGGAGCACGGTATCCAGGTGCGTTGGAATTCCAAACTCGTGCTGGCGCCCAATCTTGACTCGGGCACCCGTACCCCCTATTTTCTTGCCGAGAGGTAAACACCCGTGACTAACATGGATAATAGCCCGATGGATTCCTCACTGAGGAGCGCAAGAAGGCCGACCCCGACCACGGATTTAGCACTTTCTTCTCCGAGACTGGTAGGAAAACCCTGATTTTTTTCAATGTTCCCCCGCCTTGATGTGGAAAATTGCAAAGCACAGCTTCCTAACATTCTTTCTCCCCCGCTTCACAGGTCAGGGCAAGTACGTTCCCCGTACCATCTACGCCGATCTCGAGCCCAATGTCGTGGATGAGGTCCGTACCGGTACCTACCGTTCGCTCTTCCACCCCGAACAGATGATCACTGGTAAGGAGGATGCTTCCAACAACTACGCCCGTGGTCACTACACCGTGGGTAAGGAGATGATTGATGAGGTTCTCGACCGTGTGCGTCGTGTTGCCGACGCTTGTGCTGGTCTCCAAGGTTTCTTGGTCTTCCACTCCTTCGGTGGTGGTACCGGTTCCGGTTTCGGTGCTCTCCTGATGGAGCGTCTGTCCGTCGACTACGGCAAGAAGTCCAAGCTGGAGTTCTGTGTCTACCCTGCTCCCCAGAACGCCACTGCCGTTGTTGAGCCCTACAACTCCATCCTCACTACTCACACCACCCTGGAGCACTCCGACTGCTCCTTCATGGTCGACAACGAGGCTATCTACGACATCTGCCGCCGCAACCTCGGCATCGAGCGCCCCAGCTACGAGAACCTGAACCGCCTTATCGCTCAGGTTGTTTCCTCTATCACTGCTTCCCTGCGCTTCGACGGTTCCCTCAACGTCGACTTGAACGAGTTCCAGACCAACTTGGTGCCTTACCCCCGTATCCACTTCCCTCTGGTCGCCTACTCTCCCATCATCTCCTCCGACAAGGCCGCCCACGAGGCTCACTCTGTCACCGAGATCACCTCCAACTGCTTCGAGCCCAACAACCAGATGGTCAAGTGTGACCCCCGCAACGGCAAGTACATGGCTACCTGTCTGCTTTACCGTGGTGATGTTGTCCCCAAGGACGCCCACAGTGCCGTCGCCACTCTCAAGACCAAGCGCACCATTCAATTCGTCGACTGGTGCCCTACTGGTTTCAAGCTCGGTATCTGCTACCAGCCTCCCATGCAGGTCCCCAACGGCGATCTTGCTAACCTCAGCCGTGCTGTGTAAGTTTTCTTCTTGATTCTTTCGGGTCTTGAAACCTGATTAAAAATTTGGTGCTAATTATAATATAGCTGCATGCTGTCCAACACTACCGCCATTGCCGAGGCCTGGTCCGCTCTCGACCACAAGTTCGATCTCATGTACTCCAAGCGTGCCTTCGTTCACTGGTACGTTGGTGAGGGTATGGAGGAGGGTGAGTTCTCTGAGGCTCGTGAGGATCTCGCTGCTCTCGAGCGTGATTACGAGGAGGTCGCCTCCGACTCCATCGAGGGTGATGAGGAGTTGGAGCCCGAGTACTAGATTAGCCATGTTATTTGACCGGTCTTCGGACTCTTGGTTGTTTCACTTCTACGGGTTGGCTTGGGGACCAACGCGAGTCTGGAGGTTCGGTTTTCATGCGTGTATCGGGCTTCTTGCAAATAGAAGGGAACATACGTTTTGCTGCCAATGATTTTCTGGCTTTGTTGTTCGATATATCTTTAATATCCCTGAAGCAGGATGAAATTTCCCCTCGTTCCATCCACCTTTAGGGTTTCTACATACGTATGCCATTGTTATTACTTTCTAACGCTGTCTCCTTGGATCTTATAAAGTGTACAATTTGTAAGTAACTAAGTCGACTCTCCAAGTGTGTTGTCTCATAGTCGGACATTGAATCAATGTCTTGGGCGCCAGGCTTGCATAGCCCCAAGGCCGTGAAGCCATACGCTGTTTCTCAATATCTTTCTCGGATTTTGTATTCTGGTTCTCTCTGAACTACCTCACGCCTCAACTGAAAATGTATCATTGGAATATAGGCGGCGACGGTCTCACTGCCCCTGACGCAGAAGTCAGCGTACCAGTCCCTGTAACTACGCGGACAACTTACCACCGAAGCAATATGACTAGATTTAATCTTCTCTTACACTCCGCAAATGGCGAATACAATACATGTATACACTGCCTCTCATTCCATGATTTCTTACCGTACAGTATGAACTAGCTGCATGAGTTGATCAAGACCCGGAAGGCCAGGCAACCAAGTAAATGCCAAGCAGATGACTAGAACTGAGCTGTCGTAGGGCTTTGATTGTAGATTTCAGGGTAATACACATAATCCGCAGGCATAGACGTTACAGGGGAAAGACCAGTTCGAACGTTTATATATTCTGCTGCCAGCAGACGCTACAGGACCTTACGTTGTATTTCTTTCAAGATCACGTCGGTATCGGAAGTATACAAAAGGACCCTGAAGACACGTACCAATCGAGAGAGAGTTCTAACACTTTTTATGGTCAGGGTAGGAGCTGCCAATGTTGGATCTTGTCTATGCAATGTCTTGTAGTTCCCGCTTTGTCTATGGTCTTCAGTCTATCTATCAGTTCACGCCTTTGGGTGATGCTTTAGAGAGTTTCCCGAATATACTTGGCTTGCTTACTATAATCATGGTTTTCCTCTTTTCTCCCCTTTCTTTCTCCAGCTGGCATATATTGTCGCTTGTATATAGGCAATTGAGATTCAGAAACTACCACAGTAACAACCAATATCCTCGGATCAACATGTGCAAGAACCATTCTATCATCTGGCAGACTTGAATATTCATAAACATCTTTCAATTATCCTTTGTACCAAGTTAGAATTATCCCCCTTTCAGGGCGAGACAACGTGTTAGGATGGGCGCTAGACCGACTGACCGCCTTGAGAGCCACAGGAACGTTTCCCTACGACATCGATTCCAGCCACTTTCAATCCCCATTCCTCTTGAAGTTTATTTCCTCCTTGGAGCTCGAGATTTACCTATATCTCGTGCCCTTGCCGTCCCTGTCAAATACTGCGCTCCGCCCATGCTTGTTGCGAGTTCAGACTAGGCTGACAGCATCCCGTGTCTCCAACTTGTCCACCAAGGCACCCAACGATTGTGAACTCATTAGAAGGCGGGGAGTTAAGCTCCTCCTAGGACACTGCAATGGCTGATACCGGTAAGTAATACTTAATATTCCTTGCTAGAGCCAATACGAATCGTGAGAGAGCTTCGGCGCACTCAAGGGAAACGCCCGCCGACCTCCGTCATCACCACCCCTCCCCTTCTTGCACTCGCACTCTATATGCGCGATCTAGCGGAGCTGACGGAACACAATCTTTTAGCACAGCGACACCCGAATCTTCACCTCACTCCAGAGGAAAAGCGCGTATTCTTCCAGCTTTTCCAGGCTGCCGATACCACCAATCTCGGGGTCATTACCGGTGAAATCGCCGTTCCATTCTTTGAGAAGACTCACCTATCCCCGGATACTCTCGGCCTGGTATGTGGATAGAATATGGGTGTTAGATCGCAATAGTGAGAGGGATAGCTAATGAGTGGTCTTGTAGATTTGGCAAATTGCCGATAAAGAGAACAGGGGCCTCCTGACCCCATCTGGCTTCGGGATTGTTCTGCGGTTAATTGGACATGCCCAAGCTGGCCGTGCACCTTCGGACGAGTTGGCTCTGCAATGTGAGTGATGTTCCCTTCAGAGAAGTGGAATCCATGCTGATCGCGCACCTATTCATAGCTGGCCCTCTGCCTCGTTTTGACGGAATTGTGGTCGACACAACGGCAAGCGTCCCGGAATCCGGAACCAAAAGCCCTCCACCTGGAGCCAATGGACCTATTCGTGTTCCACCCCTTCAGCCTGATGATGCCAATAAATTCGTCTCGCTGTTCGAGAAGTCGGACGTCAAGAACGGGATGATCTCAGGTATGTAGCTCTTCCCTGCAGATAAGGTGCCAATCTCACAAGTTCGCTGTTTGATCTATAGGCGAAATTGCAAAACAGATCTTCGAACGCGCTCGGCTCCCAAATGAGGTTCTGGGTCGCATCTGGTTTTTGTCTGACACTAAGCAGCGAGGTGCCTTGGATGCCACTGAGTTTACCATTGCCATGCATCTACTGACATCATATAAATCTGGCGCCCTGCGCGGTATCCCTGCGACCCTCCCGCCTGGTCTGTACGATGCGGCAGCTCGCAGGGGACCTCCTGCACGGGTGTCTTTTGGGGCGAGACCCGATGTGCCCCCCATCCCGGCCATTCCCCAGCAATTTACTGGCCCTCAGCGAACTACAAGCCCTATGAACCAAGCCAATCGCTCCCCCTTTGTAGGCTCTCTTTCCGCCCAGGTCACCGGTGGTGACTGGTTGATTACCCCACAAGAGAAGGCCCAGTTTGATAGCATATTCGAGACTGTTGACACAGCCAAGTTGGGACTTATTACTGGAGACCAAGCTGTATCTTTCTTCATGAAGGCCCAGCTTCCTGAAGAGACGCTTGCCCAAATTTGGGACCTTGCAGATATCGACGCAGACGGCCAGCTGAGCCGGGAAGAATTTGCCGTGGCTATGTACTTGGTGAGATTGCAGCGTAGCGGCAAGGAGCCGCTGCCACAGGTGGTCCCGCCCGCGCTCATTCCGCCCAATATGCGCCGCCAAGTGCCCGCACCAATGGCAGCCCCCACACCTCCCCCGGCTCCCGCCCCCGTTGTGCGGACAGCTGCTGATGATTTGTTCGGCCTCGATTCGCCCGCGCCGCCATTCGCCCAGCCTCAGATGCCACAGTCTACCGGAGGCTCCAATAGTGCTTTCCAGACTCCAGGCTCGCCTTCCTCTAGGGCATCCCCTCAGACAGCATCGCAAACCTTCAAGCCTTTTATTCCAACCTCTACATTTGGCCAGAGCTTGCAGCCACAGATCACCGGTGCATCGGCGGCAACCCCGAGAGCAGTTCGCTCACCCCCGCCTCCATCGGATGATCTCCTCGGTGACAATGACCCCGAAGAATCAAACAAGTTGACCAATGAGACTACTGAGCTGGCGAACTTGTCCAACCAAATAGGTTCTCTGGCCAAGGAAATGCACACTGTGCAGGAGAAGAGGACCTTTGCTGAACAAAGCATTACACAAACCTCGCAGCAGAAGCGTGACTTCGAGGCACGTCTTGCGCAAGCACGGTCAATGTACGAGCAAGAGGTTACCAATTTCAAAGCACTCGAGGAGCGCCTCAAGTCATCCAAGGCAGAGACGCAGAAACTGCAGCAGCAATATGCCTTGCTGGATGGCAGCCGCCAGGATTTGCAAAACCAATACACGCAAGTTTCGACAGCCTTGGCTAGCGATGAGCAGGAGAATTCCAGCCTGAAGGAGAAGATCCGCCAGGCCAATGCTGAAGTTGCCCAGCTCAAGCCGGCACTGGAGAAGGCGCGATCTTCTGCGCGCCAACAGAAGGGTCTTGTTGCCATTAACAAAAAGCAATTAGCTACCGTCGAAGGCGAACGGGACAAGCTCCAGGGTGAAATTGACAGCCTGGCCAATGAGACCCCACAGTATTCCCAAGAGTCTGCAACACCAGCCGGCAGTGTGGCCGATGTTGTAAGCCCTGCTGCCTCTACGACAAGCCAAAACACCAACCCGTTTTTCCGTCGAACTGGTAGCTCGAGTGAACAGGCACGGTCCCCCGATGTGTCAAATGATCAGCAAAAGGCATTTGACAGCCTCTTCGGACAGCCATTCGCAGCTTTCCCTGCTGCCGGACCACCACCCACTTCGTTCCGCTCCGAGTCGCCACAGGTTGCAGTCACATCTCCTATTACCTCTGCTGTTACGACCCCATCAGTCTCTCCTCCCCCTGGCTCTTTGCCTGGTGCATTTCCTTCTGGGGCCTTCTCTGAGCCACCGCCTGCGAGTCAGTCCCGACAACTGACCCCAAACTTCCTGCAGTTCAACGATAATCAGTCTGTGACGTCGTCTACTATGGTCTCGCCTCCTGCGAGTCGATTCGGCGGCGCTGAAACCTCTGGAATCGCTACGCCTTCCCAGGCGGCTAGCAGTGATTATGGACCTACATCCGGGCCAGAATCTAGCGACTACACGCGTGCACCAACCTCAACTTTTGAAGGCACCCCGGCACGGTCCCCGTTTGAGGAGGAAGGACAAGACCTCTCAGTTAGGTTCCCCGAGCCATCCAAAACCGTTCAGCAGCCCCAATCTGCAGCAACTCCTGTCGCCAATGAGAGCCAGGTCGAAGACGGCAAGGACCTAAGCTTTGACGAACTGTTCGGCAGCAAGGCACACAAACGGTCTGAATCCCAGCAAGATAACGACTTCGAGGAGGCGTTTGCTTCTATGAAGCCTGTACCTGGAGCCGAGCAGCCAAATGGAGCTGCATCAGCACGTCCATCCGAATTCCCCCCGATTCAAGAGCTACACCATGACGATGACGAAGATGAGAGCTCTGATGACGAGGGTGCTTTTGGATTCGAAGATAATTTCACGCCTCCCGCACCAAATGTCCAAAAGGAGACCCAACAGGATTCTATTGACGCCGCTCAGCTGGCTGCTTTCCCTGTCCCGGGAACGTCAAACAAACCCCCATCTCCTGGGGTGCTGCAGAGCCCTCCAGAGTACGAGACAGCTAAAGAAGATAACGTTCATCTTCCTCCTCAATTCAATGGCCTATTGCCCGAGCGCGGCGATCCGACTGTGGCACCGGATGCGCCTCATTCAGTGGAGCACACCACGGGTGCGCCAGTTGTAAGCAATGAGACCAACCGTGATTCTGTCTCGGATGCTGCTATCCCACCCGGTGGAGCGAAGGTGGGAGGACCGGACTTTGAGGCAGCATTTGCGGGAATGAATCTTGCGCCCGCGATCGAAGCGGATGACGATGACGACGACGAGCCACAGGGTCAGGAGGCCAAAAACACAACTGACTTTGATTTCTCTTTCGACTCCCCGTCCCAGAAGCAGCAAGCTGTCTCCGGTGCCGATGCCCAATCCAGCTCGTCTCAGTTCTTTGCTTTCGACAACAATATCCATGCATCCGCCGCCCCGCCGGTCGGATCGCCCAACGGGGGAGAACCCAAGCCGGCTGCGCTGCATGAATGGGACACTCTCTTTGCGCCTCTTGACAACGCCAAGCCTGATATCGGCGAAGACGCGAACGATGCGAAATCCAAGCAGCCCGGATGGGCTCTGAACAACGACACTGGCGATGACCTGATCCTTCAGCGGCTGACCGGCATGGGCTTCACACGGGATGAGTCCTTGGATGCCTTGGAGAAGTATGACTATAACCTTGACAAGGTAAATTGCCTTCCACATTCTGTTTTACATCATACTAACTAAAGACTAGGCCGCCGACCATTTGACTTCGAGGACTTGATTATGACACCCTCCCTTTCCCACTGCACATATCTCCTACATATTCCTTTGCGTTTGCGCCTGTGTCTCTCATTCCTTGATGGAAGCCATGGACCTGATGGCCAATCCATCGCTTCCTTTGCATCGATGTTTCCCTCCGTTCGTCCGGCGCTGTGTATATCGTTCCCTCTCATTCCCTTTCATTTCCTTTGCTCATGTTGCTCCCACATTGGTATCCTATGGAACCGGCTTCTTGCGCAATGCCACTTGCTCGGAACCAAGGATTTGGGTGTGTTTTGTTTGTTTTGCCTGTGTAGTGTAGTTTATAATAATCCATAATCGAGTTAAATATTTGATTTTTCTTGGCGTAGCTGAAACATGTTCTTTCCTAGCGACAATACCAACTCTTTGTCTCCGAACTTTCTCCTTATCTGTTTCAAAATAAACCAGATGTAGCACGAATACTTAGACAAGATAACCTACTCCGTACTTAGAAGGGTCTTTCTCCTTTCACATTACATACCTTGTCTCGCTGGGCCGTGCAGGGTCGGGTCGGGTCCGATCGAAAGCGTCCGGCCATTCCTGTGGGTCCCACGAGATCCCGATCGGAACGAAAAGGGGAAGCAGTCACACAGATCGGCATCTGCCCTGACACTGGTAAGACTACGATCCCCAAATGGTAGACAGGCACAGCTACTACATTCTTAGGGCTGTCTCTATTGTCCGACCTGCGAGATACCAAGGGGCAAATGGCCTCGACTCGCGGTCATGGCGTTGTTTGTCTAAATCCAGGAACCTGTTAGCAATTGGTTTGTTTATATAGCGCATAAGCTGCTTGATCCCTGTAGAGTGGACCATGATTGGCTGGAACTACATGGCCTGAGCCCACCACCTTGATCTGGACACACAGCTTCATCGCCATTATCAAGAGTAATGAGGCTATTTAGAACCCAAAGCTCTCGAAATAGCGCCATTTCGGTATATATAGGCTTTGTGTACTCCGCACTCCGTCATTGTTAGCGTTTTGACATCAAATGCAATTCGTTCTGTCGAGTCTTGAATACGTAAAAGCACGCCATCCCGGACAAAGAATACTCATCGGCACAACGTGATATTACAAACTCTATGTCTTCTTGTTCATTTCAATCAAATTCAAATAGATGCCATGTTGGCAATTCTTGTGACTGTTGATCTTGTTATGGTCTGAGCGATGTCGTACACTCCCGAGGAGCTCAACCGGATTGCCATTGCAGGGCGAATCTCTTCAGTGCTCTCTATTCTGGGCTCATTCACAATAATCGGCGCCTTTGCTCTCTCGCGACACTTCCGGAGCCCTATTCATCGTATAATATTTTTCAATGCCTTTTATAATCTGTTCGACTCTGTCGCCACCATGATATCCACTAGTGGACCTGCAGCTGGGGATACTTCGTCGCTATGCCAATTCCAAGGCTTCGCGCTGCAGATGTATGTGGCATTGACAGAGATTTGTCGAGGCAATTTGGTTCGCAAAGACATTCTAACCCCAAAAATATAGGTTTCCAGTAGCCGACGTGCTCTGGACATTCGCAATGGCCTTGGATACATACTTGGTTGTCTTCTATCATTTTGATACTCTGTCTTTGCGCAAGCTCGAAGTCAAATACATTAGTGTTATCACTGCTCTCTCCTTCATACCTGCCTTTGTCTTTCTCTTCATCCGCGGTCATGAGAAAGGTCCTATATATGGCGACGAAACCGTGAGTACCAATCGACTTGAAGCTAAACATTGAGGCTGAAAACTTCTATAGATCTGGTGCTCAGTAGCTCGCAGTTGGATGATCCTGCGCATAATCTTCTACTATGCACCCGTATGGTACGCATACTTCCATTCGCCCGCCCAAGCACTCTTCTAATAGTTCCACAACAGGCTGATAATAGTAATCGTCCTAATACTGTACTCTCTCATCGGTATCGAGATAACCAGAGTGCGCGACGAGTTCAAATTGAGCGAGGACGATCACATCGCTCTGACCTCTAACAACTCCGCTAGCAGCATCACGACAAGCGCGGATGCGAATTCCCGGAGAAAAACTGGGTTGACCCCAGAATCTACCATAACAAGCGATATCACGGAACAAAATACGTTCCAGCGTCCGCCTCCATCCAGAAACGCCTCGACTACTTATCAAACCCCGAAACAGAGACGTGTGTCGCTGAGGCAGTATGTGATCATGCCATCGCTTTTCTTCCTAGCGATGCTAGCAACGTGGATTGCACCGACCATCAACCGTATCGCGGAATTCGCGCATCATGAGCATGGATCTTACTCGCTTCTGCTCTCCGTGAGTACGTTGGGGTCCCTGCGTGGCTTTTGGAATGGTGTTATTTTCATCACTATCGGTATGAAAGGGTGGAAGCGACGAGCTTCGGAGAGGAGGATGGCTCTTAGACAGGTAAGATTGTCTTTTTCTATCTCCACCTCAGTTGAGTAGCTGCTGACTTTACGATATTATAGAATAGAAATCTTCGTGGGTGACATGGATCTCATGATGCCATCGTTCTGCATGTTCAAATGATACCCTTGCTATTTTGTAAATAGAATTCTGTGATAATGTATAACTCATTTTATCTGATCCATTGCCTACCACGGTTACATATATACCACTACAGCTAAGCCATGATGACAGCAAATCCGGAACTTGATGTATACAAAAGTCAGACAGCTTTCACATAAATGAAGTATATAGCAATCTCTCTGGAAGAGAAATCTGACCTAGTTGTGGTTAGTTAGATGGCCCAGAACGCACTTACTGTATCCCCTTGAGTCTGATCATAAAGCGCGCTGCTCTTTGGCCTTCGAGACCCATGCCCATAGTTTCGGGTCCGCGATGAACATCTTCGCACTTCGAAAACGATTCAAATGCGGTCTATAGCAAACACCCCAATTGGAAACCACCGTGAGATTGCGTGCTACTGTCAAATCTATGGTATTCCTAGAATAATCCTTTTGCCATTTGCGAATTTCAGCAATAGGCCTGTCTTCTACTTGCATCTTTTCGTACAGTCGCACATAATGGGGCAAGTGTCTCTGTGTGATGATAAAAGACTCAAGGTCACAGTCAGGAGTGTGAACTGTATTCCAGAGGGTACGGAAAAGACGCAAATCGTCGGTCGATTCAAACGTAAGAAGTCTAATAAGAGACCAGGAAAACTCGCTGTCCTCTAGAATAGCGAGCGCGTCGGAAGAAAGAAACGACTGCCTTTCTATATGACACTTTAGGCGGGACGTCTCCTTATACCCCTCCCGAAAGACCTTGATAAGGTCCTTGCCAAGTGCATATCGGGATTGGGGGAGCCCAGGAGGAGCCAATAGGATCGCCAGTGGGACGGAAGAACAAAATGACCAGTCGATTATTGACGTAATATTGAAATCATCCACAAAAATATCGCCGGCACTTGAATCAGGGTGATGCAGAGGAAATGGATCCGGTAAAGAGTGTGTCAAGTAGCTAGTTGTGCGTTGGGCCATGATGTCTTTGAGGGAATCTCCCACAATGATGTAATCCAACCGATTCTCCGCGGAATCAATCTTGTCTCCAATGGCCACAAAGCCGTTCCAAAGATCACAGGCATCCTGATGGGCGGTATCGTTCTCGTAGTCCTCGCGGGAAGGTATTGGGGCAACGAAACAGTGCGGCGTAAGATGGAGGGGCTCTGCATGATGTAACACGGCAGTTATCAGACTGTTGTAGAACTCAGACTCTGTTGCAAAAGGACCACGAGGAACTTCGTCTAAAGAGTACCGTTCGTGGAGAATATGACCCCGGGACATGCATTCCCTTAACTCGAAATTATCATTCAGACATTTTGAAGCGGCCATCCTTGTGCCTTACTCATTAAGATATAGGAAATGCCGATCAAATAGTCGGTATATGCACTATTTGAGTTTAGTGAATGAGTCGATATCTCCTGCTATATGCTCTTACCTATATGAATAAACTTCCGGAATGGGAATATCCGTAACCTTTCCAAGGTACTTCAGTGTTGAAGCCTCACTCGCAAGAAGCCGTCCGCTCAATTCACTCGGGAATTGACCATAGTCAGATCTAGGTGACCGCATGATCCATTCACCATCATCCTCAAATTGGACAGTCACTGCCCAATTGAAACTACCATTCATTGGATGTTGGCTTGGGTCGCAGGAACAATGTATCCCGTTCCGGCATACAGTTGCCAAGCTGCAAAGAGCACCGGTATTAAATAGCACTTGGTACGATCCTATGGTAACATTTGAAGCTTCTAAGGTCTCGAGCCATTGAATGTGGCTTTCTGCGGCAGTCTACTTCTGGTAATAAAAGCAAAGTGACAAATGCGTGGATTGATGATCTTTGCTCTAAATGAACAGACTTTACTAGGCAAAGTGATATCAAAAAAGTCATTAGAAATGACTACAAAGCAAATATTACTCCCTTTCGGATGATTGTTCCTCCGGCGATCGAATTTGGGTTAGCGTTGAAACAACATAACACGTGGCCGAGGTAGCACGGCCATTGTTCCCTTCCAATCTATTCTGCAGCAGAAGCAGTGGCACTAATTAAAGCGCAAAGTTTGACGCCCAGGGCCCCAGCTTTCCTACTCAGCAAGGGCCGGGCGACTAAGTATACCATAACCTTCTCATTGGTTATGTTTCCAGGTAGTATTCTGAAAGTGCAGTATACAGTCTTTCTATATTACGACTGGATTTCGGGAACACAATGGACCTCGTAAACGAGGAATTCCTACGAATGGAGAAATATGTTTCTCCGACGCTTATGTCTTGACAGATTTGCGAGCATTGCGCTGGCCATTGCTATTCAAGCTAGCCATTGGTGGATTTCCCAGAGGGATTCTTAAGGTCTATTGATTTCCTAGTCTTTGCCTATCAGCTCTGTTCATTATATTTACCAAGTTAAAAGTCATATACATCTAAGTAGGTAGCTGCGCCTTGTATTGTGTTCATGAAGTCAGTCTTTTAGATACAATTCCCAATTGACTTTTCCCCGGAAAGTTTCCGAAGTTTGAAACTTTCTAGGCAACCTAATTCCCTAATTCCCGCAATCTCCACTATTCACGGTCCATGTATATAGTATATCCACGCTCTATTGGGCAGACCGCCTTGTTATTTATCTTGTTGCCTAAACAGGGTGTAGTAACCGATCCTAGTAAGGGGAATGACCCTTAAGGGAGAATACCACAGCCAATCAGCATGCAGAGTACCTGCGGTACCCACTACTTAAGCTTTTGCCGCGGTTCATGCAAAGCTTGGCTTCGGGCTTAATCTTTCCTTTCGAGGTTTGGATCTGTATACCAATCTGCTTGTCTAAGACTAGAGACTCGGGTTCTCTCGTTTATCTACTAGCTCATATACCATATACCATCTATATGTAAAAGCTTATTTCAATGTAAGACAAGAAAACCCCATTTCCAAGGCAGAAACAGTGAGCCCGGTGTAACTTCGTATGTTCTGTGGGGCTGAATATACTATAGGGTCAGCGAATTATTTATAGATCGGGGTGGTTTAGTACAGGCAGATCAATTTCTACGGGGATATGCGGGGTTTGCTGTCTACAGCCACGGGGGCTGAGGTTGTTGCCCTACGTCCGGTCTTTGTTACGACTCCTTCCCCAATTCTCCTCAACCTTTCCGATTTCACAGTCAACAGGTGTCCAACGCGTGTTGCGAATAACGCGTATTACAAGCTTTGATTTTCATTCTTTGTTTTCTTGCATCATTTTGCTTTATTACTTCCTGTCACTTCGTTTCGTTTCGTTTCTTGTCCATTCGCTGCGACAATGGACCTTTCCAAAAGACACCCTCACCCAATCCCCCTGGGTACAAAACAACTAGGGCCAATCTCCGATTTGGCACCATTTTCAGCCTTGATCATTTCTCTTGTACTGGTCATCTTCTTCCTCGTTCGTTTTTATGTCCTCGAGGGATTTCTTATCCGCCGTCTGTACGGCTCGATCTACACAGAGATGAGCGAGCTGAACCGTCGTGGCTTTGTGAATCACCACATTGCTGGAGTCACAAAGGTCATTATCTTGGTAGTCGCCGCATATCCGTTCATCAGTGTTGCTTTCTGCAAAGGGCCGTCATTCAATACGCCCTTTGTCAAAGGCTCAGTAGTGACACTGGGTGATATGCTGATTGTGGTCGCCCAAATCTTGATTGGGATCTACATTTTCGAGCTGATCTACCGTGTGAAGTTGTCACCCGTGGCCGTGATGCACCACGTTGGGACAATCTTCATTGGCCAAGCGGCCATAGCCATCAGTCTGCGACCTTTACGTGAACCCGACACGTATATCGAGTTCGTCCTCTGTACCGTCTGGGGTGAGTTTATGAGGCTCTGTTCTAGAGGCGAAACGAAAAAAATTCTAACAAGATTCGGGCTTAGGCGCATTCGACGCCGTGTTCGAGCTATTCCCCCACTTCGCCATCATCCTCTACCGGGTCTTCCCAAGACGGCACCAGCTCCTGAGCAGGATCTTCCTCATCTCCTGCTTCTCAACCGCAGTGGGGACACTCACCGAGACGGTTGTGACGATGTGGTTGTTTGGAAGCACGTGGGACCGGTGGCGACTTGCCTTCAAGGTTGTCACGCCGGTCCTGCATCTGGCATTCTCCGCAGCCCAGATCCATGGCAGCCTTGTCTTCTGGCGGATGTACCGCCGACAAAAGCGATTTCAGAAAGAGGCCGACACCGAGGCAGAACTGCTCGGTAAATGATTTCGGGTGGATTACGGTGGGGGGCGCAATTCTAGTTCGGCCACTGTTGAAGGCACATCGGTGCCATTGTATGTAGGGGCTTTTTAGGACACGAACAATGTACAAGTACTTTTTCCAAAGTGAGACATCAGAGCCTTGGTCTTGTTTTGTGTAATTTATTCAAATTCAGTCCAAAGAGCATGTCAAAGAGTAAGCTAAACTTGTAAGCTTATACAATCCAGATATCAAGGGTGATAATCAACTATTATGTCATTTTATGTAGTTATGTAGACGGATGATTTCTAGCTAGTGACACCATCAAATAGCCCTACTTCCAATGTAGACGGGAGGGAACATATCATGGTCTAGACCAAACTGCCAGGTTCTTAACATATTTTGAACAGAACCGTAGACTTTTGCGGCAAAAGACATCAAAGCCGATTGGTTTCAATGTTATTTCAAACGAATATCCACTTTTAGTATGTTTGGTGATTTATGACTTCTCCATATTCTCGTTGAATCACGTTATCACCAGTCATAGCGAGCTTGGAAGGCTGCATATACACATCCAGCTTAGCAGGGTTGTCAGGGAAAATGTTGGAAGGTTTGAGGAAAGGTTTCAATCCTAAAACCTTGGTTCTTTAAGCCGCTTGGTCGCTATCCAGCCTAAGCTCCGGGGTGCTTAGGCCGTATTTCCATTCATGGGTATATGCATAATGTGCCTAGCGGTAAACAGGTAATACTATCTCAGCTGTAGTAGTCAGTGAAGTCATATGGTTTGGATTGCATGCTTGACTCATCGTATGTGAGAAGACAATGAAACCAGCAACTATACAGGATTGTCAAACTGCCTCGTAAGGCCGCAGCGATGCGGTTTCTCCAAAATAAATGTCAGCCAATTCCGTCAAGGCTTCAAGGTATTGTGACAATAATCAATCCAAAATTGATACTGTATCAAAAGGTTTAGCAATATACAATAGCAGGCAATGAGTCAAGATAATCAGGTAAAAATTAGGGTCTGTTAATCACAGTTCAGCGTCCAGATAATAATAGAACGTGCAGGCCTCAACCCCTTGGGCATGGCCGCCTCATGAGAAACAAGACTTTGTCCCCTTCCATTCTTCTGTCCTCCTTGATTTAATAAAATCATTAAAATGCATCGATTAGAGGCATCTCCCCATTCATCATATCATTATTTCATCACCATCATCAATTGCAGTATGCGGGGTTACGAGCCACCACTAAGTGGTCTTCTCATGTTGTTTGGCCATTCGCTGCATGTTAAGGCCTATGATTGGTTAGTTTCCCGTTAAAATTCTGCGAGGAGACATTGAGTCTGTGCGAACTTACCGAAGTCTTCCCACGAGCGCTCTCCGTACTTCTTTCGAGGACTTTTCCCATGCATAAGGTTGTCGAACCTTTGCGAGTTATGCATCAAGATGTAAGCCAGTGTGTTTACACATGTCACACCAGAGGAGAGAATCCACACACGGAGGACGGTCAACCAGGATGTGGCTTGACCGAAGGCACCATATGCGGCCATCAAGGTTGCGGTCAGATCGACAGCACCCACGGCGACGATAAGGTAAAATGATGGGCAGTTTGCCCAGAACGATCTCGATTTAGATCCACTGATGCGAGTTATCATAATCAACCAGCTCTGAGTCAGAGCAATCTCCAGGAACAAGACCTCATCTCGTGAACCCCAGCCTTCGATAACACCGCCGTCCTCGCCTTGCAACAGAATAGTGCCCAGAGTCACCCAGGTACCGACTGCGAGAATGAAGCCCAGGACAATTGACTCACCCCAGAGCCTTGGCTGGTTCCATTTGACAGGGGACTGCGAATAAGTAGCGTTGTCATATGCAATGGCCAAGGTCGCAATGTCGGCAAAGATAGCGAGAAGAACAATCAGGCGGAGGTCGAGGGTCTCATTCTTGATCACCATCCAGAGCCCGAGGAAGATCTCCAAGTGAATGGACAGGGCGATCCGGAACACCACATATGAGTACATGCGGTGGAAGATCTGCCGAGCGATCTTGATCGCCTCGATGATTGCGGACAGACCGGGTGCCAAGAAGACAATGTCAGCAGCGGAGCGGGCCGCATCCGACGCGCCCTCTACCGCAATTCCCGTGTCCGCCTTTTTCAACGAAGCAGCATCGTTCACACCATCGCCAGTCATCGCCACCAGATAGCCGCGTCGCTGGAGAATCTCAACTACACTGTACTTGTGCTGGGGGTAGACTTCTGCGAAGCCGTCAGCGGCCTCAACAAAGTCATTCACTTCCGAGCCGGACATGGAGCCGGCGCCAGTGACACCAAGTCGTTCGGCATTGTAAATGTTGGTTCCGAGACCGAGTCTACGTGCCGTTTCACGTGCAATGGCCACCGCATCCCCAGTGAGCATCTTGACAGAGAGTCCCAGTTCTTGAGCTTCGGCAAGTGTCTTAGCAGTGTCATGGCGTGGGGGATCCAGGCATGGCATGATTCCCAGAATCTCCCATGGCCGTCCTTGACGCTTGCGGGCAACTCCGAGTGCACGAAATCCTCGACTAGCAAACTCGGTGACCTTATCCTCATATTCCTTGAAGAACGGCTCGCACAATGTGGTTTCCTTCTCCACTGTTCTCAGGATGGTCATAGGAGCACCCTTGACACAAAGGACCTTCTCACCATCCAGAGCTTGCACATAGGCAGTGACCTTCTTTGACACCGGATCAAATGGAGAAAAGTCAAGAGTCTTGTACGAGGCGATCTGAGATTTGGCCCACGGGTAGTGGCGAAGACCTTTGAGGAATACCTTGTCGATGGCATCGACGCCGCCCTTTTTCCGAGTTGCCGCAAGACACGCAGTCAGCATAAGCTCTTCCGCACTCATTCCGGGGGTTACATATGGAACTCCCAATTTCAATCTGTTACGAGTGAGTGTTCCCGTTTTGTCTGAACAGAGGATCTCCACTCCAGCCAATGACTCGATAGCTGAGAGCTTTTGCACAATAGCCTGATGCTTGGCCAGGTAAGACGCACCAACGGCCATTGTCGTGGTGACAACCACGGGAAGACCGACGGGGACTCCGATCACGGTGATTGCGACCGTGAACTCAAGTATCTGGACAATCGGATTTGAGCGATAATAACTGCTGATCCACACAACCAGCAGGGTGAGAAGCACCAGAATCAGAAGAACACGGGCCATTTCGCGCAGTACCCGAGTAAAGTGGCCATCGTTATTGCCAGCCTTGTTAACCAGGACCGCTGCATTTCCGACAAAGGTGTGATCACCAGTGGCCGTCACAACCATGATTCCAGCCCCGCGTTTGACTACCGAAGAAGAAAAGACAGGGTCACCTTTGTGTTTATCCACAGCGAGAGATTCCCCCGTGATTCCAGACTGATCAACCTGAATATAGGCCTTGTCGCATACCAGTCTGCCATCTGCCGGGATGATGGTGCCCTGAATGGGATATTAGCCTGAGTCTTTTTTTCCTATTTCCTCATGAACTCACATCTTCCACGTGAATGATATCACCAAGAACGAGGTCTTCGGCATTTATCTCCACGATGCAACCGTTACGAACGACCAGAGATCTCAGGGCAAGAGTTACCTTGAGGCTCTCGACAATGTTCCCCGCTTGGTATTCCTGGGCAAATCCGACCGCGGCATTTAGTATGAGCAGGGCACAAATGATTCCGAAATCTATCCAATCTTGCAGGCCGCCAGCTAGAAGAATGGTAACCTGTAATTGAGAAAACAGTGTGAGCATATATTTTTTCCAACTACGCTATAGTGGTCAATGATGATCTTGCTTACCTCCATGACCCACTGGACTGGGCCATTGAAGAAGGAGATGAATTTGAGGAAATGGTTCCGTTTCTGCTCCTTCATGCGATTCCAGCCATACTTCTTGCGCCGAACGGTCACCTCTGCGTCGTTGAGGCCCTCGTCGACCTTGGTTTCCAGCAGGGAAGGAGGGAATGGGCGAATTTCCCCAGCTCGGAGAGTGGTTGCATCATCGTCAGGTTCATTGCCATCTTCGGCCTCCAGTTCATCAATGAGGCAATCCAGAGATTCTTCGCTCTCTTCCTGGAAAGAGGTCATAGGTTTCAATGTCTCCGGGAGAGAAAAGTCGTCGTTCTCTTTAACGCCAATGACGCAGTCTTTGCTCTCGCTAACGATGGAAGCATGCGTTTCAGATTCGGAAACCGCATTAGGACCAATTTGAGGATGGTCAGGGGATGTCGGAGTGCGCTTGGAACGGCGTCGATCTTCCTGGGCCTTGGCACCAGCAAGTAGACTGGAACGGAACAGTCTAACCTGATCTTTCTTCTCGGATAGCAAGCTGTCGCTCTGTCCACTTTCGTCTTGCTGTTCAATAGGAGAAGTGTCCTCCAAGCTGTTGCTCAAGCTGGCACGAAACTTGTAATATTCCTCTTCATCCTTGGATTCTTGGGAACCATCGTGCTTCGACTGAATATGGCCTTTATTTTCCTCTCCGGAAGTGGTGGTCTTGTTCGGATGGAATGGAGATTTGTCGAGGAGCTTGGACAGGAAAGGCTGCTCTCCACTAGGGCCTGAATTCGAATTACCTGAAGGGCGAGTCGAGGAATCTGAAACCACCCCTGCCAGGAGACTGGTCTGAATGGGAGGCAGTTCAGAATGGTCTCGTCGCTTGAAAGGACTGTGAGATTGGTTATGCTCCTGGTTCTGTTCCTGGGAACGGCCCCGTTGGTCGCTCTCAGAGAAAGTTCCACACGGCGGAATAAAAACAATACGAGAACCATGCTCGTCCCTGGCTTCAGGAAAGGGAGGTCCGGGCGGATGACTCCTGAGAGGTGCGTTCCGCTGATCCATCGGGTCAACCTTGGGTCTGGCCATGATGGCGAAACGGTAGTAAGATCTGAAAGGAATCAGCAAACTATCAAACAAAAACAGACAAATTCAATTCAAAGGTTTGTGCAAGAGGTTTGGTCTGATACATCACTGACTCTGATACAGCAAATTGCATGAAACATGAACGGGAAGTCACAGGGGAAAGATTTTGCTCTTCAGATAAGCACGCCCAGCTCTCAACGGATGAAAGAACAATAATCCAGGAAGATACATACCTAGAAGAAGGGATTGATGCTATGGCTTCAAGAGATATGGTGATAAAAGGTGAAGAAGAAAGAAAAAGGGTTGCAAGTGTTGTAGGAGAAAATATTGGAAACGCCGAGCCTCGGCATCGTGGGTTTTATATCGAAGGAACGACCCTTGATGACTAGGCGCCAACTACTATCGAGGACACATGGCCCATTACAAACGCCTGCCTCCGCCTGCCAGGGCTTTTTCCGACATGCAGCGTCATTATCGGCCTATGGAGAATGAGCAAATACTGTCAGAAATTGCCTCTTCATTCTATCTATAGAAATTCTTCGAAACTACGGCAATGGGATTCAGGATACTGACCGGCCATACGCTTGAAGAAGGTATACTGGCTTATCGGAACCTGACAATGAGTGGCAGGCTACGGCGTGACAATGAATCATGCGGCACCCTGGTCCTGGAAAGGAATCTGTCCAAGAAGTGACAGAAATTATATTCACGATGACATCAATTGTTCGGCTGGTGAAACTTTGGGAGTCATTACCAACTTCGCCTTGCCTGTCAAGCCTCACCGGGACAAAGATAAGCAAAAATAACAAGGTGTCTTCAAATATTCAATTATACTGTGTTGCTCTCAGTTGACATTCAGTCAATGGTATTGAGTGCAATTCGGGTGGTGAATGTATTGACTCTTCGCAATATCCGATTCAATTGGAAAGCGCGACCATTCAATTGATTGGCATATGTGTATTAAATGTGGGAAATCAGAACTTGGAGTTAATCAATGTGAATCTTGTTAGATAAATTAGGGCAAATTCAAAATGAAAGCACAACAAAAGCAGAAGCAAATACAAAAACAAGAACAAAAGATGTTTCAGTTCAGTTCAAGTGTACTGCCGTTTAGGGCAGCTATCAGAACTGCGGCCTGAGGCACAAATATGATGTATTACATAATCTCACGTCACTCACGGGTCTTCAAATTCAAGTCTGATATAACTGCCTGTTCATGTAAATCGATTCAAGATCTTCCACATCTCATATGGTTAATCAGATAGACTTGTGTTTGTTTATATTCATGCTTAGCTTTGTTGGGGTCGAATCCACTATGGTTGTTCGTTTGTGCTAGACACTCGAAAGTGGAAGGCTCATGACTATCTTGATAACTTGAACATAGCTGGGTCACTTTCCCTCTTCGTGCATTCCCTGATATCTACCTTCTCGACATCGCACATTATCAGCAACTATGACTCGTGAAATCCCTGGTTTCTATTATGGTACGTCGTGTTTTGCTGCGCTTCTTTCCTTCTGCCGAGGTGCGCGAGGACAGTACGTAAAGGCGCGGGCTGTTGACTTCCAGCGACACATACGGGCTGTATCGAACTGTCTAGCCATGCCACTGTTTTATACACGCAGTGATCAACTACCCTTCTACACACACTGACCGAGTATCACAGACCCGGAGAAGAAGAAGTACTTCAAGATTCAAGCCAACCATGTTGCACCCCCAAATGCACAATACTCGCAGCAATCCGTGAAGCGAAAGCGGTCTGAGCTAGCGGTCAGTAGCAGGGATCTATGTATTTCATCAGATTCGCTAATCAATCGCAGACACATGAAAACAAAACACGGTTCAGACAACGTGAGAATAAAGAGATGATCCGAAAAGCGCCATCGTTGAGACATCCCTTGGTCAACCTCCAAAGAGAGATTGGAGCCATTGAATCTTCCTCCCGTGCGAGACAAGAACAGCAGGCTCGCATTCAGGCCAGCCAACTACATCGTGGAGAACTCCATCGTTTCGAGCCATGGCCTAGCTCGTACAGTATCCGATATGTCTTGCGCAACCCACGTTCTGGGACATTGATTGCCGGTGAGTTTCACTGGCTTTTATGATCTCGAAACGTGACTAACACGCGCGACAAGGCTCGGCTCGCGGATATGAATCGTCTGTGTCGTAAGTTGATGAGCGCTGGCGAATGTCAATTACCACTAACCAGCGAGTAGGGTCTGTTTTCCTGACATTGACGAGTCACAGTGGAGCTATGATCACACCATGGAACGGGTGCTATTCAGGGAGCCGTATTCGGTGAGCACATTCGATCCCAGCACTTCGTTCCATTGAAGGCACATTAACACCCCATTCTAGTTAGGATCGATGTCTTTGAGCCACTCAGGATACCTACTGTACGTCTCCATACAAGGCTGTTAGATATACTCACTGCTAACAACTCTAGTGCAACAATGAACGAAGGACCGCAAGGTGACTGCTTCCTTTCGGCCCATCTCCTCCCAGAGCCCGACGAAGGCGGCAACTACCGCTGGCCAACATGTACGACTCCATATGTATCTCTATCCCTAGACACCGTGCTTACCCAAGACCTTCCAGTCTCTCACCCGATTCGGATCAGACCCCACTACCCGATGTCCTTCTGGTGCTCCGCGGCCCAGCCCGCAGGATCAAGCGCCTACTTTGCCATAGGAACTTCAGAAGGGCTACACACCCTAGAGGGTACCAGTAGCCATTGGACCCTCTCGAAGAAACCATTTAAGGGCAATATACTTCCCACACGCACCAGAGCACCCCCCAAGCACAGCAGCCAACGCAGCGTGCATGCCGTGGAATGGATGTCGCAGGACGTGATTGCGGCGGGACAGAAAAACTCTAACATCTTCCTCCACGACATGCGCAGTGGTGGCAGTGCCACACGTCTCCGACACAACGATGCTGTGATGGAAATGAAGCAGATGGACGAGTACCGGCTCGTGGCGGCGGGACCTAGCTCGGTATGTGACGCTGTCTACGCCTTCTTCTTCTCTTTTCTATCCGATACGACGTCCGGGCTGGTTTTAACTGACATTCACCTCAGCTACGAATGTACGACCTCCGCTTCGCGCCAAAAATGCTTGAACGTCATGATTCCTCAAAGCCCTACCTAACTTTCCCCGAATTCTCTTCACTACCGTTCCCAACCTTCGATCTGAGCACCGAGCTCGGTCTTCTGGCTAGTCGTATGCTCCCCTCAAAAATCAGAATATCCCGATTTTAGTTCGTCTAATGCTAACATACATTTCACTTTAGCATCCCAGGACTGCAAAATCCAGCTATTCTCTCTCCAAACCGGACTGCAGGTCTCATCGCCTCTCACAGGGCATCAATATTCCTCACCACCTAGCTGTGTGCGATTCGAGTATGGGAATGATACCCCGGAGTGGCGGGGCCCGCATGGACCGAGTTTGTTGGTTGGCACTGATGATGTGGTTGAGCAGTGGACTTGGTAGGTGGTATGGCGTTGGATTTTTTTTTGTTCATCCATCTTCTCTGCTATAAGGATCTTACCTTACGCATAGTCTTTGGCGTTTCTTGGCGATTGGGTTTTCAGCTACTTTGTTATTCCTTGTTGGAGTTCGAATGCAGGTATTGGATTTGTGCTGTATGATGATTAATTTTTGCATGCGAGCATAGATTGTTAGGTACACTGGAGGATTAGCGACGTCGAATCTCCAAGATATCTTCCGAATCTATACCCCTGCGCACACCGTAGGAATTAGCCATTCGAGGGAGAACTCGATGAACATGGCCTTGCAGCAACACGCAACTCCACAACTAAGAGATAAGCAAGCATTTTACTGGCATACGGATAGGCAATGATCAAGTAGAACGATGACATGGGTATAATTGACCTAACCATAATTAAAACCAGTATGCAATGCAGGGCCAACAAGCCAAGAACTCCCGTTGATAAATGCAAGAACAAAGCACCAGTACAAAGACCAACTCCTTCATCTCAAAGAAAAAACGAATCAGTCCAGACCGCCAGCCAACCACTCACCAACCTCGACACCAATACCCTTAGCCAGCTCACCGACCCAGTCGCCAGAGACGTTGACACACCACTTATCTCCCGCATCGGCAGTGGTATTCCCACTACTAGTCGCCATGGCATTGTGGCTAGCAGCGGGGACAACGAGCCGCAGGCGTCGCAGGGTTGCCAGTTCGGCGTAGATACGGTCTGCAACGGCTGAAACTCGAAGTGGTGTTGCTGGGGGGTTTGGGTCGATCGCATGGTAGATGGCCAGGAGACGTTCTAGGGGGAAAGAACGGGCTGTAAGGATGGTGGACGGGCCGGCGATGCCTGCGCCACCGCCGACAGCTGATGTGGTGGCCGAGGAGGTCGCAAAGGCGGATGATAGTGTTGATTTTGTAATGCGAGTTTTAGTTCGCTTTCCTTTCTTGTTGGGGGTTGAAGGGTCATCGTTTGCGGCTTGTCTCTCTTCGGCCTGGGCTTGGGAGAGGACTTTCAAACGTCGACGGTGGTGGGCACGCTTGTTCCGGGCTGAAAGGGATGAAGAGGAGAATTTAGAGAAGAAGATTGTATCTAGTCGTTGAGGCGTGTGCGAGGCCAGATATGCGGATGTGAGGATCAAGGTCGAGAAATATGGCAGAGAAGGGAGGGCCGAAGGCATAGCGGTTTTTGCCAGCGTGGTCCGTTTCTCGCCAGCAGGAGTCTCATCGGGAACAATGTGGTGCACCAGCGCAGACTCGCCCTGATGTCGAAAGATGACTCTGTTTTTGACAAGCAACCGCGAGAAATCCCACTCACTGTTCCCGCCCGGGGGTGTTTCGCCATTCACTACAGGCGCAACAAACCGAGGCCACAATCTTTCACATATGGACCGGAAATCCGGTATAGAGCCTGCTGTTGGTCCCACCAATGAGTCGTAGACTGTAGATACAAAGTACGGGTATACCCGCGAGGAGGTTTCATCGGGCAACCCATCCACGACCGGCGCGTCCGAACTGAGAATAATGTGGATAGCCTCCTTGCGGGTATAGGGAGGGAAGCTGACGTGCGGAACAGCCGCACTTTGGAGGAATAATGGCCGTGGGGTCGAGCTGAGGACCAGAACAACACAAAGAGATGGAATCTACAAATTATCGGGTTAGCAACATTTTACACTTGCAAAAGTCGTCCAAAGCGGCGACTCACGATATCGCCTAGCCGCGCCAGCGCCGAGAGCAAAGTATGCGGTGCCTCTCTTTGCCTGTCAATCTCATCCAGCACCAGCACGAATTTGCCTAGCGTTTGAACGGGCCTCGCTGCCAGGCACTCCTCAAGTAAGACTGCAAGGCCACTGACGTGCTCGCATCTTCCTTTGCCGGAGGTCTCCCATTCTTCCTTCTGGCCCAGTGCCTCCAGTGTATTCCATAGTATTTTCGTCAGGAGATGCCGTCCCGTAATACATTCCGAACTTCTGACAATGGCGTGTGGCACTTCGAGGGTAGCAAGGACGGCCCGGAGGATAGTCGATTTGCAGGTCGCAGAAATACCATGGACAACCAAGGTTGGAGGGCTAGGAACGTGAGGCTATTCAAATATTGAGGGTCAGTCACTTTCTCCGAGGGTGATTGGCGAATGGAAGGAATGCATAGTAAACTCACATTCAACAGACTGGCTAGCTGCCGCATCTGGACATTGCGACATGGCCATTGTGTGCTCAATGAGCTGGCAACCTCTTTTGGTAGCATGAGAGGCCCAGTAAATGGTTTGGACCTTGTAGGCTGACTTGGTGTCAAAAGCAAGGTGTGGTATCCTGCTAAAGCTCCGAAGTGCAGCTCGGTTGGTACGCACGTGATCACGCGTCGCGCTGCAGAGTTGACAACCTCGGAAACTTAATGAACTACGAAGACAAAGAAATAGAAATCTACTAGAGTTGGATATTGAGAAAATTGTATGAAAACTTAATTCAGCTTTCCATTGCTAAAATACATGCAAAAACTGTGTGCAGGATCATGCATGACGAATATCTGGTCCGAGTACCAAATGGCAGTATCATCAATCTGAGGAAGCAATAAGCTGGCCGGAAAACAACCAAGGTCATCAATGAACAAAGGCTCCATACTCATTGTAATATCCATGCTCGGCTCAGCTTGTATGCGACAATGAACCAATGTGAAGGATGGGCACGACACAAAACGCAGTTCGAAAAGAGCAAAGCGCAAAAGTACAACGATGAATGGGTAAAAAAATAAGAGTTGAAAATCACAATGTGGAAGCGAAAAAGGAAAAAAAAGAAGAAAGACAACCCAAGCCAAACGAACCAGTCCTCAAATTAAGGCAATGGAGTACCAGATTGTTCCGATGAACGATCCAACTATTGCCAGATATCCTCAAGACCTAGGTATGAAAGGCAACTGGGAAAATAAAGGGGGGAATGGAAAACAAGAAATACAAGATGTTGCGAAACACAGGGAGCAGAGGAACATAGTTCCAACGAGCTCTGCATCATGCACGGGTCGCTTCATGAAAATGCAGTATGCAACATGGCCAAATGCAATGATCATGGCACATTGCTTCGAAGGTGTATGCAGTAAAACGCAAGTGTGGTAAATCATGGGATAAATGATCATGGCATGTGCAGTTGATGTAGGCCCAGTTCGATGACAGTGTAAAAAGTAACCGTAAAATCGTGAAGAGAAAAAAAAGAAATGTTTCGTCGCATCGTCTCACTATGAGTACACTGGGGTTGTGAAAGACAAGCACTGATGTGGGTATCCCAGACCCAATCAGAAGTAGTTCTGGACTTGCTGCGATCCAGCCTTTGCGGACAGCTGAGGAGTGGGCGCAGTGTAAACAGACGAGGTGTCACTTTGTCCAGAAGGAGTGTTAGAGACAGAGCTCTGGGAGGATTGAGGTACGTAGGGCTGGTTGCTGTATCCGCCGGATGAGCTCGAAGACTGAGTACTCTGGGTACCACCTTGGTGGTATGCGAAGGGCTTCTGCAGCAAGGCCTTGGGGATCTGTGCGCTGCTGCTCAACTCATTGGGGGTGACCTGGCCGCTGGTAGTAGCACTGCTACCATTGCTGCGGCTGTTGGTATCCGCGGCCATAATCTTGCCAGCAATACGCCGACCATGAGGAGTTTGACGGATAGATGGAAGAATAGGACGAACAGCCTCCACAATGCGGTTGCGGGTGTCGAGGTCACAGAAGTCCATGGCAGTCTGGACAACATAGTTCGCAAATGAATCACGCAGCATCTTCTCGAGCTCATTGCCCATTAAGAATTCATCAATCATCTCGCGCTTCATGTAGTTATCAGCAGTCCGGAGGCATTTCTCAATCACATTGGAGCTAAACTTTTGCTTTGACAGCTGAGGAATGTTGCCTCCGAAGGTAGCACACAACGGGTTGGTGAAGCTAGGCTCCGCAAGATCCAGAATGTATTGCACAACATAATTTCCGAAAGGATCCTGGACCAAAGCGAACGAGTGTGAGGTAATCTGCGAAATCAGACGAGCCTTTTGATGCCCCGAAGCATGGTCAATGCAACGCTGAAGAACACAACATCCATGGCGATGAGTACCGACAACTACACAATTGCCTCCGACAGCTTCGTAAATGAACTCGGCATCCTCGGGAGTGAGGCGGTTGAGGCATTTCTGAATAACGTGGTTACCATTCAGATCCTGCACCAGATCAACGACATGATACTGCAATGCATTGATAACTGTCTGAGTCTGCTGCGGGGTCGAGATAAATTCAATCATCTTCTGCAGTGCACGAGTACCATGCTGATTCAGGGCAATCTTAACCAACTCAGGGGCAGCATTGTCAATCAAAGCAGTGCGTTGTTCATCGTTGGAGTATTCCAGCAATTTCTGGCAAAGATAATTGCCAAATGGATCTGTTCGAGGATGAAGGTTAGTAATGACAATGGGTTAGGGTGCAAGGGGTAAATGTTTCATACCGGTCATGAGCTCAATGACATGCATGTAAGTCTCACTGAAAATCAGCTCCACGTGCTCCGGGTTACGCTCCTCCAACTTGCGCTGCAAGTATCGGCAACCATGCTGGTCCTTGCACAGGCTGTACAACTCACCCTTGTAATGCTCCAAGGGGTAATTGCCGAAACGAGTGAGCTGGGTCGCATCATTCTCTTGGCGACGCTGAGCCATGGTGCCTCGGGCTGCAGGTTCATTAAAGCGGAACCCAGGACCATAGTTGGGGTAGGCATTGTTGTAGGCGGAAGCTCCTCCGAAGTTTTGCATATGACCGTTGATCGGGGTTGCTTGGCCGACATAGCCCTGCATTCCATAATTGAAGGCAGGAACCGCAGGCACTTGGAATGGCAATCCCATTTGAGCAACCGAACTAGGAACGTGGTGGGTAGATGGAGCCGTATTGATCTGAGGCCCGAAGGGAGGGGCGCTCGCGTGCAAATTCGATTGATTACCATAGAAGTCGGTCTCATCGAACTCGGCTTTGACCTGGTTGTTC